CCCTTACGAGGGGAGAGTATCAACTCGGCGTTTATAAACCCTCTCTGCAAAGGAGGTCGGCACATGGTGGGTTAGGTATATACAGTGTTTTTCAATGCAGAGAAAATCGTTGTTTATCTGCCTACCTCGTCTGCATTGGGAAAGTTGATGAATTGATGAATAATCATGAAAATATATCGCATTTCAGTTAAGAATGTTGAAAACAATGTTCAGACTTCATAGATTTATATTCTGTGTACGTCTCACGATTCAAATTTCAAATTGATGCTTAGTTTTAGATCCGAGCAGCACACTGTTTGGCATTCATGGTCCTTATTATAAGCCACGAAATTCAAAATGTAGCAGATGTCTGTCTACTGGGATGACCACTATTCGGAAGGAGAGCGAATATGAAGCAATTCAGTTACGGTTGATGGAAATATTATTCAGGTATGTTTCAGATTCAACATCAGTTTCAATTCTCATGGACTTTCTTATATGTGATGTTTAGTTGCAGATCCGAAAAGCAAAGTGTTTGATACTTGTCAATACATTGGAGAAAACCATCCAGTCAAGACGGACCGAACAGAAAATCCGCAAAGAGAACTGACCTGAGTATAATTTTCAGAATTCTGATCCTTATATTCGTACGGAAGGCGATATATTGAATTCCTTTCCAGATTCTCAAGCAAACAGATAAACATCAGATATTCACCTTTATGTCTCTATGGAAACACGACAGGTACCCTCACGAGGAGAGAGTATCAACTCGGCGTTTATAAACCCTTTCTGCATATAAGGAGGTCGGCGCATGGTGGGTTAGGTATATACAGTGTTTTTCATTGCAGACAAAATCGTTGTTTATCTGCCTACCTCGTCTGCATTGAAAGAGTTGATGAATTGATGAATAATCATAAAAATATATCACATTTCAGTTACGAATGCTGAAAAAAATATTCAGACTTTATAGATTTGATGCTTAGTTTTAGATCCGATAGCAGCACACTGTTTGGCATTCATGGTCCTTATTATAACCCACGAAATTCAAAACAATATTGAATTGATGAATAATCATAGAAATATATCGCGTTTCAGTAACGAATTTTGAAAACAATATTCAGACTTCATAGACTTATATTCTATGTACGTCTCACGATTCAAATTTTGAATTGATGCTTACTTTTAGATCGGAGCAGCACATAGTTTGGCATTCATGGTCCTTATAAGATGCCTACTGAGAGAATCTATCACTATTCGGAAAGAAAGCGAATATGTAGCATCCATGTTCCACCGCTCATGAAAATCAGTGTTAATTTTCATGAACATTCTGATATGTTATGTTTAGTTGCAGATCCGAAAAGCAAAGTGTTTGATACTTGTTAAAAAATCGGAGAAAACCATCCAGTCAAGACGAACCAAACAGAAGATCCGCAAAGAGAACTGACCAGAGTATACTTTTCAGAATTCAGATCCTTATATTCGTACGGAAGGCGATATATTAATTTCCTTTCCAGATACATTCTCAAGCAAAGAGATAGACAGATATTCACCTTTATGTCTCTATGGAAACACGGCAGGGACCCTTACGAGAGGAGAGTATCAACTCGTCGTTTATAAACCCTCTTTGTAAAGGAGGTAGACGCATGGTGGGTTAGAGGTATCATACATTCCATCCAGGAGATATTTTATATGACCACAACATGCTTATAGCTGCAGCCCCAGGAAGCCCTTTCTGAGCCGATATGAAGAAAGAAACATTTCAACTCACCGAAGTTTCAACTCACAAAAATTCCAATTTTGTCATGTGTAGAATGATGTTTGCAAATTTGGAATTATCCTTCAAAACAGCTCCTGAGGTTACCGTGGATTTATAGTAGATATCATCAATGACCCAACCTCAGCAAGATTACTTCTAGCATCTTGAAGGATTTTTTGTAGTACCACAGATATATTGAAAACCTGCAAAACTCTCACAGGTACCTTCTTCATGAATGGTGCTCCACTGAAACAATAATAGCAAATTGTCATGATCCTATAGGTGTGTGATTTGTATTCACATTAAGTCATGATCCTATAGGTGTGTGATTTGTATCCACATTAAGTGTACTCATTTTTATAAGGACAATATACTTACCTACATCAAGTTAAGGTAGGTGGTATCGTAGATTTGGTGTTCATCTATATCTTGTGAATTCAGTTTTTTTTCATCATTTTGATGAAATCTGAGTAATCACAACATAAAACTTTGTTCAGATGACCTAGATGATTTTCGTAAGCGATTATAGGTAGATAATTATTTCTTGGTATCATTTTGTCATACTGAATTCATCTGAATAAAATTATCTATCTATGTATTTTATGTTCTGGAACTGAATTTATGGATTAATAATTTTTGAAAATGAATGTAGACATTGACAAACCATGTTTTTCACTGTATAAGTACAATGCATTATAATGAATTAATATTTTGTTCAAAGACCTACTTGTGTCTCTCCAAAGAAGTACTAACAGAAGGATCTACCAGTTTACTTCTCCCATCAGTGCTCATGTTTAGTGTTTTCTCTCCTCCCCTTACATTACATTGAGGTAGTTGTGGAATAAAAATATGAACTTTAAAAACCTACAGGAAAATCAATACAAAAACACAAAAAATTAGAACTATATGAGGTACTTACCAATAAAATATAGTATATTTCCAAGATACAATTTGTAATACAAAGGATATGTTCAGCTACCTAAATAATCATCGATATCTCCTTAAACTTGAATTCAATTTCAAGGAATGACCAGAAACAAGAAACAACTGAGTATACAGTGTGTCCCACTTATCATGCTCAGTTTTCCAAAGTGATTTCGAAAAAAATATGAAATTTATACCAACTCTTCTAGAATTTGAGATATCAGCACCAACTTTAGTTTTTCAAATGTAGGTCATAGCTCACTATGACTTAGTTACAAATAACTTTTTTTTCTCTCACAGATGATATGTCGCAGTAATAGCTTTGTGTTGATAACAACGGAGTTATCATCATTTATACAAAATCAAAAAATTATTCGGAAGCCGCCATCTTGAATTTATAAATTTAAACAAAAAAAATCATGATCTCCGACCTCAAAAACCCCCACTTACCAATTTTGAATGGAATCGGACCAAATCTTGTCCGCCATCTTGGAGCAGCTATTTTTTTTAATTTCAACAAAAATTCCATAACTTCGATAAACTTGAAATTTGGCAGGTGTTCATAATTTCGGTGACAATACATTATACAAAAAAAAAGTTATTCGTAACTATAAGTCATAGTGAGCTATGACCTACATTTGAAAAACTAAAGTTGGTGCTGATATCTCAAACTCTAGAAGAGTTGGTATAAATTTTATATTTTTTTCGAAATCACTTTGAAAAACTGCCATGGAATGTGAAATTCCTATTTAAATATATTTTCATAAATAAAGAAGTTACGATCTGTTTTTCGAGTATAAAACAAAAACGAATAGATTTTATCGAAATATTTTTTCACATTATAGTTGGGCTTGACAAACTCCACATTTGGTGTCATTTAACCGACCTCGTATCTCTCACCGTTGAAAAGATACCCATGGTGAGCATGGTAAGTGGGGCACACTGTATATTATGAATCTGGGTTTTGGTTGAACATTTTGTAGCTTTTCGCACTCATTTGCAAGATACCCTGGAATGACAACTCTTCTTCCTTGCTGAAAATTTTAAAAGATGTTAGTAAGGTCCTAAATAAACATTTATAAATACCCAGATATTTGATCTGTTGGTTGTACAGAATTGTTTGAATTATTTTAACTCAATAGTTTTGGAAGTACATGCAATCTAAATTGGCTATCATTACTATAGAAATAATACTACAATGATAGGAATCTATAAAATCCTATGCAGGATATCATGAATATTATCTTAATATGATTCAGAGAAGGCAAGCATTTCATATAGAACCATAAAATACTGACCTGCACATTTTTCCAATGTAATCTTTCTTGCCCACCCTTGTGTATTGCAATTCAAAAGTCCATTATCACAACAGGTATTTGAAAGAGAAAGGGACATACTTATTTTTCCTAGTCCTAGTTTCTGGAGACTTCATCAGAAACTGACCATGCAAAATATGAACTGTTGATCATTTTAATCATGTTCTTTAAGATGGGCACTACAAATAGTTGATAATCGGTAATAATATATATTATCTATGAATCACAACTTAACCTTGTTTTCATTAATTGGAGCAATGAAAGTGGAAAAAGGTAAAGGATATAGGAAGTTTTTTTAACTTTTTGTAGTAGGTACATATTCATACATCCAGTTTTCAAATTCACACTCGATGCTCCACGATAATCCATTATTTCCATGCAACTGAACTGATTTTTCATTTTCAGAAAATGTGCCCACCAGATGACGTATCGGAATCATCACCTTGCCAATAGGTTTTTTTAGTTCCATCAAATTTGACATTCCATTTGTAAAGAAAAACCGGCTTGAATGATGGGGTTGAAACCTGAGCCACCCCCATAGGGTTCATAAAATATTGTGGTAGAACCACAGGCACTGGAGTCGCCCTATCAGTTATAACTGTATCCCCAAGTTCAGATTTAAACAAGATACATGTACCATAAGCCTCTTGCTCAAGCATTTCAGAGATGCCTCATAGTCATAACTAGTATGGCCATTATTTTTCATTAAAATATACTGTTGAGACTTAAAAGATTTTTCCGCATACTTATGTGGACGGTATTATTTCAAAAACAAACAAAAAATCATTAGCTAGCAAAACGCTTCGAATATACTGATAACATATAGCATTCCATGTAAAAGAGAGGCACTTGACAATGTGGATTTGTATTGACTCTGTATAATAAAAGTAATTTTCATGTGTTATACATGACGGCTAAGTATCTAGTGTTTCTACTCACAAGATTCAACAGTCATTTGTCATAGGATTATGCATCATATTCAAATATTTGGAAAAATCTTACCTTGAAAATAATACCAGGTTGATAATTATGTAATATTTTTTAATCCTATTTTATGGCACTCTTAATACGCGTCTTCATCATAGAAATTAGACTATCATATTAAATACATTTGTTATAATTCACTCTTCATATTCAAACACAACAAAAATAATTAAATTCATCTGACAGAACAACAATATAAATTTCAAAACGTCAACAAAGTATTTAATACAAGTCTGTAGTTTCCATTTGAAAAATACGACGGTAACAAAACTACAAATAGAGGGCATAACATGGTAATTATGTTGGTTCAATAAGTATGTCAGTATATTACAGAGGGGAAGTACACAAAGATTTGTCACGACTGTTTACATCCTGGCAGACTTCGCACAGATATACAGGAAATTGGTTTTTTCCACCCACTGCTTCTCTTTGAACTTTGGTTTGATTGAGCATTTCCGTTATCAGACTCTACATTTCTTCTTTCAGACTCTGAAATAAAGATAAAATACTCCTGCATATACTTCTTAAACAAAAACAAACAATGCAGCATTTCTCAACCTAATGGGATTTCCTCACATCAGGGTGATCAACTAGACCGGGAGCCCACAACGTGGTTTTTGTGTCTCATTCCACCTTCCACTACACCAGTGGTTTTAAACGGTGGTCCGCGGACCGCTGGTGGTCCCTGGAAGGGTGGGTGCCGCGTGGGTGAAGTTATATTAAAAAACCCGTCTCGAATCATTGAAAGTTATCATTTGTTGCGATATGATCGCCGAACATTTTGGTTGGATCGGGGACAAACCACCCCCGCGTACTTTTGTCTTCAGGGTGTATAGAGTATGCGTTCATCATACATTAATGTTCGTCATTGATTTTGTCTATTTTTTTAATAAAATGGGAGCATGAAAATATTTGCCGAATAAATCAATTGGATATTGACCTTCGTAGTCTTAAAATCCAATTTGCGTTAACAATATCATTTGTTAACGTTCGGCGATGGTGATATAATTGAAAAATTGATGACAATAATAATAGTAATAACTTTGGATTTTCAAATGGAATACCCTGTATACCATTGCATGTTCGAATTCTGCATCATTTTCTGAATTCAATGATTTTTGTATGTTCTGGTTCCCACGAAAAGAGATATCCTGTAATGTTCAAGAACATCGTGAGAACCAATAAGCGAAATAAGGTAGGAATTGGTGTTCTTCTTAAATTTCTGCAGGTTATATGCCTCGGGGAACACCTCCTTTGGCAATGTGTTGCAGAGCCTCGCTGTTCATTGGATGAACGAGTCTTTGGAAAGAGATGTTCTGCAGGTCTCCAAAGTGACCACGAAGGGGTGCGAAGCCTCAACTCGACGGGTTAATCTCGCGGGGACTGCCAAGGGAGGAACAATTGTTGATATTTCAGAAGAGCATCGTCCATGAAAATATCTATAAAATAGAGCCAGATCGCCAACTTTTCTACGGTGTTCCAGAGAAGTGAGTGAGTTTCATTTTCAATTTTCCACCTGAGTTTGCTATAACCATTCTGATCGACCGGTCAAATTTATTGATTTATCTCCAAATTAAGTTCATCGAAGTGGTTTGATGTAGCATGATTCTGTTACACCCAGAATACAGCGCCAATGCGCATCGTATCCACCCTACACGTTCGGCAATGCGACCAATGAACTCAATATAAACACCTTGGAAGCAAGACAAAAATGAACTGTCCTTCATGGGTAAGTTGAAAATTGTTCAGATCGATTCTTAGGAAAACTATAGTAATATATTTCAGGATGTGTGTGTGTGGATGTTCATAACTTGAATTCTAAGGACGATGTTTTTCATATGGACATTGATTTGCCTCTACAACTTCCAGCTCCCAAGTTTCAAAGTTTATTGATAATGAAACCCTCAAACTGTTCCATTTGATAAGAGCTATTCTATTGCAAAGAAAAGTGAAAACACTGAAACCAAAAGTAAAAAGGAGAATGACAATCTTGATGAGGTACTAAAAACATTTTGAAGTTTAAAACTACAAGTTCAAATGTTTGAACTCAAGAGCTACATCATATTGTCTTTTCAGGTTTGCCTTTGGAGCTTCTTCTTCTCCAGAAAGGAAAAAATGAAGGTGTACATTCTGGGCGACACAGATATTCATCTTGATGAAACAATAATTCGTCCAAACATTGTTCTTTTATTCACCTTTTATTCACCTTTCATTCACCTTTCAATGGTAAAATCTTCATGGAAAATAGGTACTTTCGAAAATTAGGCTTAAAATAGACCTTAGGTACTCAATACCGTTCAAGAACCTTTTTGCAAATTTTTTCTAACGTTTTTCTTCGTCTTCTGATAGTGCTGACACATAGAGCTTCGCTCACCCTGTACAATATAATGTGACAATTGAATGAAAATATATAATTTGACTTACTAATCCTGTAAGAATAAAAATGAAAATTCACTTTTAAGTCAATAAAAAATTCAGTCAGACACTCGTCGTTCACATAGGATCCCTTCCAGTTGTTTACATTGAGTTCAATGCTTGCGACATACGTCGAACGGTAAGTAATGATTCGAGATTCGAGACCCCGGGTTTTTTATTTTAATACAACTTCACCCACGCGGCCCCCACCCTTTGGTCCACGATTTTTATTCGGCGACCTCATATCCGTGTAGTGGAAGGTGGAATTTGGGTGGTTCTTACACTGCTGGGTGTGAACAAATGAGACGGAAAAAATATGGGCTCCCGGTCTAAACCTGATATTTTCCAGATTTTCGAACAAATTTGGTTGGTTAAAAATTTCGCCATTTGCATTGTGAATGTGATATCTCGAATTATTTCCATTCGATTTGAATTATGAGTGTAAATTTATGTACCTAAAGACTTTTTTACAAACTTCATACGTTTTGAAGCTGAATATCTCTTTCAGTCACTTTTAATTTTTTGAATAAAAAATTTGTTGTCAAAGTAAAAGGTTAAAGTGATTTTTTATCCTGGTTCCTTCGTGGAAATTGAGATATTCTAGATGGCGGATCCAATATGGCGGGCGAGTTTAGTATTGAGAGAAAAGTTAACTATCGCTGTCTTTAGAGTTGATATTGAAATAAAAAGTGTTACGTGTCACTTTGTAGTATCTGATGAATAATTTCATTTGCTTTTTTATTTTTCGAAATCGGATAGTTAATAGCAGCGCTATGGCTTGGAGCGGTTTTTGTCAGTCAGCCTATATATATGAACTTTTCTTCTTGGAAATATGTGTTCTTCAAGCTGTTAAAATCCTGCTACCAAAAACTGATTCACCTTGTAGTTGGAATGATAGGTGTCGCCTCAATGAGGGCTTACATTTTCTGTCTCACCAGTTCGCGTTAAAACGTGAGGTCAATGTCAAAGTAAAAAATTCCAACATTTTGCCGGATAGCCCGAAAGGCTATCGAAAATATCAGGAAAAATGATGCAGAATATTTGAACGGATAGAAACATCAAGATATGGAAATACTTGAGCAGACTTAGGTTTTTTTACTCTCAATAGTCACAATGTGGAACTTTACGACCAATTCTTACATTGACAGAGAAGAAAATATCATACACGAAGAGAAGTATATTTTTTATCAGTTTTACCAACTCTGATCTCACGACCTCAGTGGCGCGATGTGGTGGACAATAAATAATGTTACACATCATTTACCATTGGTACAGAAACTGCATGTTCGTTTTAACGAGCATGGTGGCCGAAAGGGATATGGTATGGGTTGCGTGCAAGATTTGTCAGATCACTTTTCTTATTTGTTTACAAAAGATTGAAAAAGTTTTTCACAATTATTTTGGCATATGAATCGTGTTTTTCGGCTATTCAATAATTCAAGCATGTCATCACATTGTGTTGTTGTACAATGCACAAAAATGCAGTCAGAGACGCAGGAATCCGATTTTTCAGGTAGGTGAGGTAGGTACATTGTGATATAAAAGTACTATAGTCACTTACATAAGGGTTTCATTTTGAAATTTTGTAATTTCTCATTGGAATTCCTTCTGCAACAGGAGCTAATATAAATAGTCGTGAAGTTTCTGAAAGAAGGCAAGATTGGATTGCAATCAAACGGGAGGATTGGTCTGACCTGCTGACGAAATATGATCGTGTGTGTTGTAGACATTTTCACTCAATTAGCAGTATTAGCTTCTATTGCAGAAGTAATTCTAAAGAGAAATGACAAAATTTCATAATGAAAACTATGTGAGATACTATGTAGTTACCTAAAAAATCATATTCCTTCGTCTGTCACTGCATTTTTTGTGCATTGTACAACAGAACAATGTGCTTGAATTAATGAATAGGCCAAAAAAAAAACACAATTCGTATCGCCAAATATTGTGACAAACTATTTCAATCCTTTGATTCCTTTGTAAACAAATAAGAAGAGTGAGGTTGTGTACTATAGTCATTCACATATAGTTTTCATTTTTGAAATTTGGAAATTTCTCTGATTCCTCATCGGAATTCCTTCTGCCATAGGAGCTAATTGAAATCTCATGAAATTTCTAAAATAATGCAAGAAGATTGGATTCATGCAATCAAACGGGAGGACCGGTCTGACATGCTGACGAAATATGATCGTGTGTCTTGTAGACAGTAGGAATTTTAATAAGAAACGACAAAATTTCTTAATGAAAACTATGTGAGATTACTACTTACATTGTGCATTGTACAACAGCACAATGAGTAGGCATGCTTGAATTAATGAATAGCGCAAAAAAACACGATTCGTATGACAAAATATTGTGAAAAACTATTTCAATCCTTTGATTCCTCTGTAAACAAATAAAATGAGTGAGGTTGTGTTTCAATGTTTCAAAGAAAAGTGAGGTTGTGTTTCAATATTTTACCTCCAGGGTCGGTCATCGTGCACGCGACCTAATAGGTCGCGTGCAAGAACTGTCAGATGACCGACCCTGGAGGCAAAACATATTTGTTTACAAGTGATCGAAATAGGTTTCCACAATTATTTTGGCATATGAATCGTATTTTTCCGCTATTCATCAATTCGCTAATGCCATCACATTGTGCTGTTGTAAAATGCACAAAAACTGCAGCGGAAGATGAAGAAATCCGGATGGTACATTATGATTCAAAAGTAAGTACCTACTTATAGTCACTCACATAGTTTTCATTTTTGAAATTTGGTTATTTTCTGATTTCTCATCGGAATTCCTTCTGCAATAGGATCAGCTAATAGAAATATACCTGAAATTTCTAGAATAATGCAAGAAGATTGGATTCATGCAATCAATCGGTAGGACTGGTCTGACATGCTGACGATCGTGTGTGTTGTAGACATTTTCAATCTATTAGCAGCATTAGCTTGTATTGCAGAAGTGGCAGAAGGCAAAAGGAATTTTAATAAGGAATGACAACATTTCATAATGCTAACTATGTGAGATTACCATTTACCTGAAAAATCATATTCCCTAGTCTCTTGCTGCATTTTTTGTGCATTGTACAACAGCACAATGCGAAGGCATGCTTGAATTAATGAATAACGCAAGAAACACGATTCGTATGCTAAAATATTGTGAAAAACTATTTCAACCTTTTGATTCCTTTGTAACCAAATAAAAAAGTGAGGTTGTGTTTCAATAATTCACAGAAGAATGAGGTTGTGTTTCAATATTTTGCCTCCAGGGTCGGTCTTCGTGCACGCGACCTATAGTGACTTGGTGAATAGGTATAGCTTCCTATAAAAGCTATGTTAGAATCAGTTTACATCGGCTTAAAATCCTACACTTTTTGTGCAAGTTTGCCCTGAACCCATATCATTGATTCAAGGATAGTCTTTCAGCAACATGCAGTTAATATTAACAACATAACACAAAAGTAATATTAAAAATACCAGACAAACTGACTTACATAATGAATATTTACTTGACTAGACCGGAGCGATAACTACATAAACAATAACTATTATTGATCATTATTACCATTCAGTTCACGTTCAGTGAAATACTGAGCCTCATTCGCACTATCACATGGGTCATCGTAATAATGGTCAATCAGGTAAGGCAACACTGTCATGTTGTGCCAAGTATCACCCTTCAATGGTGGAAATGGCACATGTGCACTAGAAATCGATGGTCGTCTCGTAAACCACCTAAAATTAAAAATGTCTAATAAGAAATTTAGAAGGTGCCTAATAATATTGAGTAACAAATCTGGTTTGCAAATTTTGAAAACAAATGACATGAATTCATCTCCGCGTGTCTCGCTTTAAAGTTGAACGGTCCCCCTCTATACCGGGTGGCTACGGAAGTATTGCCTACGGAATATCTCAGTTATTGTATGAAGTAGGATTGTGAAATTTGGAGCGTCGATATAATGACATTGACATAAGAGCTAGAATTTGAGCATATTGACATGTCGAAGTTAACTTCCGGTCTGACCAGAAGTGATATCAACTTTCTTAATTTAAATGGAAACCCTATTTTTTTCTTTTTGCTTTATTCAGTATTCAATTCCCTTTCTAATGACCTATCACAAGTTGGTATCTAACCAGAAACTAGATCAGAAAAAAAATATTATTGAAATTCACCGAGTAGGCCGTGGAAGCAAAATGAAAGCCAAACATTGAAAAGTTGGCTATGGAAACATACGTCACTTGATAACAGTTGCCACTACTGTAATATTTTATTTTCATTCGTCGGCGTTATAAAAAGCCGCAAAAAAAATTTTGGAAAAATTGGGAAAAAAACAATACTCTGTAGGTCCATAACTTAAATAGGAACATGCAACTTTTTCTTGCCTGTACTATTCAGCACAACCATTCCTTTCTAATGATATAATAGAGAGATATTTTTTGGCTTTCATTTTGCTTCCACGGCCTACTCGGTGAATTTCAATAATTATTTTTTTCTGATCTAGTTTCTGGTTAGATACCAACTTGTGATATGTCATTAGAAAGGGAATTGAATGCTGAATAAAGCGCAAAGAAAAAAAAATAGGGTTTCCATTTAAAATAAGAAAGTTGATGTTACTTCCGGTCAGACCGGAAGTTAACTTCGACATGTCAATATGCTCAAATTCTAGCTCTATGTCATTATATCGACGCTCCAAATTACACAAACCTAGTTCATACAATAACTGAGATATTCCGTAGGCAATACTTCCGTAGCCACCCGGTATATTAGCTATGGGTCGTGCGATTCTTACCAAATTTGGACTGTGGTATGAATAACCATCCGTTCGATCAGTTTTTCAGAGACATATCATTATGGACAGTGCCGTTCATTTTGATTGAAATAAAAATGAGTCGATTTTTCATGAAATCATATTAAGAATTCTTTCGCAGAAAATATAACTGATGAATTCAAATTAACTGCAATTTTTTAAAATAGCTCCAGTAGGTAGACAAATACGCTGTGAAAGAACAAACAGGATATGTTTCCAAGTAAATATTTATTTACGTTCGCAAATATGCTGTTTATATGTGCTTGTTATTCTGAAACACTCGATAGAAATTTTGTGAAAATTCACACATGACACGCAAAACGCACGGCACCGTCCAAAATAATGTTTGTTTCTGAAGAACTGATCAAATAAGATTCAACATTCCAAAGCATGTAACTACGAAATTTGAGTGCTTTTATGCATATACATATTCAGAATTCTTGAATAAGACTATATATTTTCAAATGATACGAGGACCAGTATCTTTATCCAATTTCAAGGCGAAACTCAAGAAATATGTAACTGCATTACAGACAAATAATGGGTAATTCTAGAAGTCCATTTTGTTTATTTCAGTAAAGCTGGTTGGTATACCTATATGTCTTCTCTTTTCACACATATGTAATTATACAGGGTGTCCCTAAAACGTATTTACAAAAACCTACCACATATTCCTCAGACCAAAACAATAACAAGCAAGCAAACTTACCACAGTACAAAGTTGTTTAGTTTATTTTCGAATTGTTTTTGCTTTACAACTCTGAAATGACTCATGAGATTTGACTCAAATTTGATTGGGCAATAAAACCCATATCATGATTATGATGAATATGATTCCATGGGCGTAGAACTTCGACGCCAATGAAAATAAAAGGGTTCGAATATGAAATTTGAATTGCCTAACTTGTTTACTAATACTCCTAATTGAATTTTCAACAACCTGCTGTTTATTTTGGCAATTCTATGTTCTATCCAATAAAACGATTCCAACACACTATCACACTTGAAGTCTAAAACGATTAATTTAAGAACTATAGGTAAGTTTAGAGTTATTCAGCATGTTTGGTTGGTTCAATCAGGTTCAATATATTTTTCTCGATGAAAAAAACAAGGCAAAATTATAATAATCATTTATATTTTACTAGTTGTCCGGTCCGGCTTCGCCCGGTTGGTGTACCCATTTAACAAAATAAGACATTTGTTGCAGTCGTTCTGAGCTATGCGCGTATCTACAGTACATACTTTTTTTTTCAATGTATTGTGCTTACCTATAGTCATTATTATATAGGTACTTACTTACACCTATTTTCATTCTCTCAGTATCTTTGGTTTTTTTGTTGTTTTACATATTACAAATTTCAATCCAATCCGTCAAGCTTAGTAGTTGACGGTTGACGTACCAACACCAGCGCCACCTACCCTGTGTATTGTATTTTTAAATCATCCAGAAAACCATCGAAATACCCATATAAAATTTCAACCCAATCGGTTCAGCCGTTTAGAAGTTATGTGAAAAAGGTAAGTACGGAAGGATAATTCTTACTACCCGTTGTCCTATTACCCGTTTTCCCGTAAGAATGAAGCATTTTCACGCGGTAAAAAGTAGCATAATTATGTTCATCAGGTATGTCGGCTTCTAATGTTAAAATAATTTTTCAAATCGGTCCAGTACTTTCGGAGCCTATTCAATACAAACATACAGGCAAACAAACAAACAAACCAATCGTTCCTCTTCTTAATAATAGTATCCATTGAAAAACGTAGTCAAAAAACTTAGGGACAAAGGATATTGAAGTACCTGTAGTTCTTGAATAAATCGATTTAGACCACAAATGTGATCCTATAGCCCTGTATCTCGAAAACTATACCGGGTGTCATAACTTCTAGACCATTAGGTGTATCAAAATGAGATTTGGTATAGGTAAATTGTATGTGAAGAGGAGAGTTTTTCCTTGACGATAACACACTGGTAAATATGGTTAATAAATATATTGTTATTGACACATTAACTATCTGCATATAATGAGGGTCAACATATTTTGATTGTCCACCAGATCGCACTACTGAGACGTGAGTTCTTGCATGACATATACTTCTTCTTTCATTTCATTCGGCCCCCACTTCTTCTTCTTTGTTATTGTGAGGCTGCGCGTGAAGTACTACTATGGCGTTTCACACATATAAAGATGTGTCCTAACTTGCTTCGTTTTCGAGATACAGGGTATTAATATTTCCAGGAAAAATCGTTTTTCTATTCATTACTCAATTGTCTTTTCAACGATTTCAATAAAACGTTTTGGTTTTGTTTCTAGCAATATGGATCTTCTTCTGGTGCAATTAGATTCGAAATAATATTTCCAGTGGCGTCACAGTGGGTAAATTTATCGATATTTATTGTGATTATCATCCTACGCCACCATCATATTTCCATTGGATTGAACTATTGAAATAGCAACTTTTTTATCCTTTGTTTAATTTTTGTATCTCTTAGTTTTTGAGGAAACAATGAAAATTTGATTTGACTCCAAATTTGTATGTAGATGTTTTCAAGACTTCCATTGAGATTACTCAATAACCCTAATTAGAATCATTTTGAAATTTTCGGGCTTTCTCAGTCTCCAACCATACTGAATTTTGGCACCATGAAAGCTTATACAGGGGGGTTATATATAAAAACAATTAATACTGCCAACATCCTCAATCTCCCTGTATTGTTCAACAAGCATATAATAGCTCATTATATGCGAGTAGGATACTATACTATGTCCACGACTACTACTGTCTTTGATATATAAATTTATTTTCAACAACTGTTTCATCATAACTTATTTGACAAGAAGGAAACAAAATATTGAAGAGACCTCTGTTACATTAATTATTTGTCCAAGACTGTTGTACTTCCTCAAGCAAAACGATAGTAATTTTTCACACCAGTGAATAACCATTATTCACTGGTCTAGAGTTCCTAGGGTACGCGATATAACATACATCGCATACTAGTATGGGACTGCTTAGAAACCCTAAATGCACTGGGCAGTCAGAACAGATTGACTCTAGCATGGGTACCAGCACATACAGGGTACGAGGGCAATGAAGAGGCAGACTCACTTGCCCGAGCAGGAGCAAAGCAAATCTCATGAATGGTGGAACAACTCGCCAGGAATGAGAAGGGCTAAAGAGTTTATTAAAAAACCATCGCCAACATTCACAGAATATCTACTAAGCCAGAAACGAAGTTCAACTAGAATACTAGTGGGACTTCTCACAGGGCATTGTAGGCTCAACAAACACATGAGTACGATAGGTCTGACTGAAGAACTGCTGTGCAGGTTCTGTCAAGACGAGGAAGAAACAGCAGTACACATACTTTGCCACTGTGAGGGCTTGTCAAGACTGAGGTTCCTTACGCTGGGTGAGGAAAAACCAGGAGCCCAGAGATACACAGGAGATCTGAAAGCTAGCCTATGGAGTCTCATAGAGAAGGCGGGGCTAGCCGAAGAACTCTAATCGATTTTGAGGGCAGACACAATAGATCTGAAAAGGTCGCAGTGTGGAGGCAGATAGCCCGAAGGCCCCATTCCAAATCTAATCTAATCTAATCTACATCGCATACCCTAGGAGTCATCCGACCCATCATTTGATTCTTTGATTCCCAAGGCCTGAAGAATGTTTCTTTATTTTTATAAATATCAATATTTATAATAGATTGAGGAAACAACTGCCCGGTCGAAGATGAATTTGCTATTAGCTGTGCGCACCTCATAACCGTCCGACTAATGGATTTATTGAAATCTGAGTGATTGTACCTTCCGCACGGAAATTTGTATCATTGTTATAGGGTGGAATTTCAGGTGGAAAGAGGGGTTGCGTCCCAAATTCTATTTTGATTTATGACTCTAGGGCTCTGGAAACATCAGCAGGAAGGCAGGAGTACACCGCAAGTGTTTGGGATCACACGTTAAAAGGTAAGGCCCCCGTCATTCCTTGCTCACACAAGTCTTTCGAAGACTTCTGAGGGTTGCTCGTAAGGGGGCAACCGAATGACGGATAGAACAATTTTAGAACAACAATCCCAATGATTCCTACATGTACCAGCCTATTTCCGAACACTCAATTTATGTCGCGGTGACAAATAACGTGAGAGAAGATTCTGGAATGTTCTGGAAACAATTGATGGAATAATTAGAGAGAGAGAGAGGTATTGTTCTAAGAAGCTTCTACAACAAAGAGAAGGGTACAGAAGATCATTCGAGAACGTTCGAGAAGCAAAGCCTACCAAGGGATCTCATATTGCCGGCCGGACAACTGCCGTCAGTCAGTCAAGGAGCGAGTGTCAGAGAGACAGTCATATACCGCGTGATATAAATCATTTTACATAAATATTAGTTATAAGTTCAATATGAATTAGTTTTCCTTTAGTTAAAATAAATCAGTTCGAAAATAAATAGTGTGGTGTTCGCTTCTGCATCCGAATAACGTAACAATAGTATCCCTTGAGCCTTCTTAGGGTTTCAATTAAATGTATTTATTTTAATGTCACCCCATATTACACTACACTGTTTTACCATTAACTAAACCGATTTTTAAACGCCTCAATACGTGTTTCGCTAACCATGTTAGCATCTTCACGGAAAGATCAAAACTGCTTTAATCTTCTCCTGAAGATGCTAACATAGTTAGCAAAACACGTGTCGAGGCGTTTAAGAAATCGGTTAGGTTAGTGGTGAAACAGTGTAGTGTATATCATGCCAAAGGTGCCAGTCTTCGATATATCACCTTATATTATGTGGTCATCATCTTTTAGGACATATACAAATTGATAAGAATCCCAATTGCAGAAGAAGTTATTATTTCTTGCCTTATTTTCAACTTTTTCACTTGAATAAAAAATATTGGAGATTGACCTCCTTTGACATGAAATTATTAATAGAAGTACAAATTTTGAAAATCGGTATGCTTACTTACGAGTGTTGTCTGATTTGCTGCAAATTAAACCTATTTTGTGGTTCTTTTTCTAACATTCCAGTGAGCAAATTTCTGAGCGGTTCTCCAATTTCATCTGGAATCGAATAATCACCTTTTCCTATACTTTCAAATAGCCTATAGATATTGTCCCCTTCGAATGGATAAAAACCCGTAGTAATATTGTACCTGGAAAATAGATGAACGGCAATTATATAGATTTACCTTCCTTTCGAACATGACAAAGATATTTTCTTCATGTTTTATCTTCATCCAACACCATTGAATAAAACATTTGTAAAATAAACAAATACTTTTTTCTACGGTCGTGCAAAAAGTTAATACTTTTTGCACTCTCACAAGATCTGAACAAAACTTTTTGTAATTTGAGTTTACATAAGAACATGGTAACTACATATTATATTTATAGGTACAGGGTGATTCACCATAAATGCCCCCCCTCTAGCTCAGTTATTTTTGAACCGATTTCAAAATTTGAAATATCATTTCAAATAATTTTCGATAAAGTTTTTTTCTGTTACATCAAAAGATACAGGGTGCTCGGAACAAACGATCTACAGGGTACTATTTGATTTTTTTAAATGAAACACCCTATTTTTCATTGTATTTTTAGATTCTCCCTGACGAGCTGATTTGATCGATGTATCACACTTGGGGTCAAGCGGGAATGATTACAGAGATATAGGGTGTTCAAAATCGAGATTTGTCAACTTTAGGAACTTTTTATGACGAAACTATTCATAATCGGTCAAAACGGCTTCCATGTCCATACCACAACTTTTGATTTACTATCTACTGACATTTAATAATTGGAACAGATACAGGGTGATCAGAATTCTGAATCTTGAACCACCCTGTAAATGTTCCAATTAAATGTCACTAGATAGTAAATCAAAAGTTGAGATAGGGACATGAAAACCGTATTGACCAATGATGAATAGTTTCGACAGAAAAAATCCTAAAGTTTGAAAAATCTCGATTCTGAACACCCTATATCTCTGTAAACATTCCCGCTAGACCCCAAGTGTGATGCATTGATGAAATCAGCTCTTCAGGAAGAATCTTGAAATACAATGAAATACAGGGTGTTCCATTTGAAAAAATCAAGTAGTACTCTGTAGATCGTTTGTTCCGAGCACCCTGTGTTTTCTGATGCAACGGAAAAGAAATTTCTGAAAAATCATTTCAGATTATTTTTCAAATTTTTAAATCGGTTCAAAAATAAGTGAGCTAGAGGGGGGGACATTTATGGTGAATCACCCTGTACTTAGGTACCATTAATTATTCCTCAAAACGTTATACTGTTTCATATACAGGTTGTCCCAAAACTCAACGTCATCCTTTGGAGGGCTGATAGTCCAGATCATGTTGGTAGTTCTGCAGATATTTGACTGAGTATTTGTAAATTTGTATATACAGTATTATTATCCCTACCAAGCAGAGAAGCCTCTGTGGAATCTTTGTGTTCTTTTGGCTAAAGAAATTGTATCTTCTACTGAGTTAAAAAAATATTGGCACTTTTATGAATTTCGTGAAAATCGAAACTTTTGATCAGTATTTCATACTTCATAGATTATGATTCTAATTTTTGTTATGCAACCTGCAATAACCCTTCTATCTATTGATCACAATGCAAAATAAAATAAATCCAAAATAAAAATATTGGTGCAATACCAGCCTAAGTGAGCTAATTAAAATAAATTAACTCGTGAATCAGGCAAACATTTTTTTCTACAAAGGTATTGCACCAACATTTTTATTTTGCATTGTAATCAATAAAGAAATCATTACAGGTTGTATAACAAAAATGATATTCTTAAACTATGGAGTTTTGTATCTGCGGCACAATACTAATCAAAGGTTTCGATTTTCACGAAATTCATATTGGCAAGATGCCAATATCTCCAAAGCTATCAATTTTTTACTAAGGCCATATTGTCATATTCTGGTCAGTCGTGAGTTGGACTATCAGCACTTCAAAGGATGACGAGTATAATGGAAGAAATTACTGCAAATGAAGTTTGTTCATCAATTACCTTGGTAAATTGCTCTAGCTGTAATATTGTAACGTTTCTCTGGATAGGAATAAGAGTTACACCACTTCTCCAGATAAAACTTTATTTTCATAAAAAAACAATCAATAATATTTCTTTTTCACTATAGAAACAGTCCTGTCTACACAGGGCGATTGAATTTGAGTAATAATATTCACACAAATATTAAAATTGAAATTAACTCAAAAAAGTATAAGATAGATTTATGAAAATAATGTTAGTTTCATATTATTGTAGAACTGATCAATGAAATTTGAAATAAAAATAAAATTCAATTCGATCATAGTGCACCAGTTGCACAAATAAAATGTGCTTATTATTTGGGAATGTGTTTTCATTTGATTGGTTAAGTGAAATTTCTGAATATGTCTGAAATATCACAAATTGTGGCTATTCTATGATTATTTGCAATTTATGTAATCAACCATAAATTAATAGATGTTGTTGTAGATGTTTAACTTTCAAAACCGTTGAATAGTGAAGTTTTTTCAATAATGTTGGTGAATAAAATATATTCTCACAATGTAACGCCGCTGCTCCATATATCTACTTTGAAGCCAGGGAATGATTCTAAGCCATTTGCTATTTCTGGTGGTTGAAAAGCTGGTGAGCCCTGACCAATATAACAGGTGTCGTCTTTAGCAAAGAGGTCAATAGTCTGAAATTATAAAGATATCAATCAATGTCTGTATCAAAATATTATATTTCAGAAGTGGTGATAAGCTGTAGGTCCCGCTCTTTCTAACCCAGCACGAGATTCGACTTCTGGGGAGTTGGTTCCCAACTCCAGGTAGTGATATACAAATTTTAAAGATTTGTTTGGTCCAATGTAACAAATGAAGTAGCGAAATTTAATGCCCTCAAATTGAATCAATTATTTTCAGTAGGGTGAAAGTGAGTGCACATTTCGATTCATTCCATGTGCCAGAATTAAGTTCTCTCCATCAGAACAACATAATAATACCTACAGTGAATGAACAAAAAATACATTATTGTTGGAAAAAAACAGGAGAACTTATTTAAACACTCATAATATCATATTATTTTGAAATTGATAGTTTTTGAAAATATAAAATAATTGTACAGTTTATGTCATTAAAATTCTTGAAAACTTTTTTGTTTCATCTCTTGAAACACACGAAAGGAAATTACTGTATTACAAAAGGTTGTGGGTCTCTGCTTCCTCTAAAGAAGAACATATTTCAACAGATCTCATCTAAGATGCAAGGAGATCGATAGTTTCTATTAAGTATCATTCGACAGAATTGTTAAAAATGGATTAGTTCCTTAAGTTTGAAAAGCTTCAAAGATCATCTGCACTTTCATTCATGAAAGACTTTGGTCTTTGCATACATGGATTTGTATAATCTATATAGAATAAATTACTGAAGGAGAAGAAAAAAACAGAGATAATCCACCGCGTACTGAATCTAGGGATGAAAATTATTCAGAGGTAATGAACATTTTCGAAAAACAGTGTGAAGATTGGAGGTACATTCACTTGCGAGAGCATTCATCCTGTTCAATGTAGATTCTAGTGTTACCCCCCAAATAACCTCCTGTTCGAATGCCTATGAGATATGGAAAATACTGAATGATCTTGGCAATAAGAAAAACGAATATTCCCTTCATGCGTTAGTTAGGTCTTTGGTAGGAATAAAATGTCCATCAAGGCACGTAATATCAGATCATATTGCCAAATACAATGAACTGTGGTCAAGGCTAGTTGAGCGAACTGATAGCATATCAAACGACGATGAAGATTCATTGGGAGCTGGTTTCCGCCCTTAAGCAAATTATATGAAAGCTGAAGGGTTATTATTCCTAACTACATTTCCGGATGAGTTGGAAAATATTGTGGATAATTCAAAAACTAAACAAAATCTTACTTAGGATGATATTTATATTTATTCTCGTCTCATTGAACTATCAGTGGCTAGTCCTGCGGATAGCACCACATCAAATCAAGATAACCAATTATTCATCGTTATAGACAGAAAAAAGCAAAAATGGTATAGTTTCTATAAGGAGCATAAAAAGTGGTTCAGAGGTCGAACAATCCAGAATTGTCGCAACAAGAACAAGGATAACGATAATGCCAATAACGTGAATGGATCATCTGATGAAGAAATAGCTTATTCTGCCATAAATTCTGTTAGAAATACCTCCTATGACGGGAAATGAAAAAGCATCAACTAATTTGCGTCCTTATTCTAGTTCAATACGCTTGGGTAATGACAAGAAGGTCGCAATAACTCATATAGCACATGGCGTGCCATGTCTCTCATATCTGAGCGACATTGAACTTTCCCAGGGTGCTTTGTCTCTCATATGTGAGAGAGAAATATTATACTCTATCAGTGCATGTCTCTCACAAATGCATCACGCTGCCGTACATTTTAAATGGGGAATCTAGAGAGTGGCCCCTGGAGAAAACCATGTGAATCTTGATTTCAGCAAAATTGAAAACGTATAAAGACTCTTTGTAGTACAAAAAGTCAAAACTATCATATTTCCGTACAAAAGGAGGTGAAAAATCAAACTAATATATCTCAGTGAAACATGTCAAACAAATTTGTGGATGATACGATGAGTAGATGCTTTTGCGGCTGATATATCTTGAAATGCTCGTATCGAGATTTTTGTTGGGGCCTGCTTACAGAGAACCCAGGAAACAAAAAAAAATACTGAAGGAACAGTCGCTCATATTTGAATCACGCAACCTCCAGCGATAAATTTGCCTCTTTTTCTGCTACAGGGCCACGCGAGGGGCCACGTCTCTCATATATGAGTGATACAACGAAACGAAAAAAATATAACCAAAAACTACAAAAAAACACGTAAGTAACAAACAAAACTTTATTTTAACATAAAATACTAATAGAAAACTGTGGTTTGGTCCCCATAGCCAATCCCCAATCAAGGCTTGGCATGCAATGTGATGGGAGAAGTAAAATTGACAAATTGACAAATCAACTGTGAGGGTTACTCTTTACAATATATTATTTGCACCTGTCTTGGGAAACTATGAAGTCTAAATAGCCATGCAAGCGGGTTGTGATATTACTTTCTGGAAGGATGGTAAAATCGTTGGATGGGTACGTTCAGAACACAAAGAGAATATTCTTCAAGAAGTAATGCCAGGCTCAACAAAAGTCCGAATTTTCACATGGCATCGAAGATTATGACACGCTCCAATGAATACATTTTTTATGTGACGGGAAGAATTTCATGTCTGTTCACAGGTCTTTTTCCATTCTTCCATTTGACTTCACGGTTATTTAAATTACTAAACAAACACTAAATTCGCAATTTTTGAAAATCAATTTACAGAATTAGACTGACAGATATTTGATTACTTCAAGAGAATGATAAAGATGCCTGCAAAAAAATGCCTGCACAGCAGGTGTCATTCCTGTTAGAAACCTAAACTTCACGACGATTATTTCCTGTCACAGAAAAAAATTGTGTATTATACACGGGAAAAATATTAGATTTTAGCTCACGGAACTGGAGCTAAAATCTACAACTATTTTCCTTTGTATAATACATAACTATTTGTGATATCAGGAAAGCTGTAGTTGATACATCTGTTGTAGTAATGCAATGCTGGAATGACTGATAATACTTGTTCTCTGATATTAGAAAAAATACATTCCGATTCAGCTGATCCATTCATTACAAATGAAAGTAATGTTTGAATTAGCAATTAAAGAATATATCACAAGAATGAAACATCAAACCGGACAAGTACAGATTTTCAAATCAGATAATGGTGGTGAATATACATCAAAACCAGTACAAAATTATTTCAAAAGTATTGTAATAAAATTTGAATCATCTCTACCAGGAATGGGCAACCTGCGGCCCCCGACCAAAAATTGTCCGGCCTGCCAATGAATTTTGCTTTTCTTATTAGCAAGACCCGCCAATGACATCTGACGTTCCAGCGGAAGCATCTAGATTTTCGTTATATTATTAGTAAGAAACTGGAGGAACATTCTGTCTTTCTCAGAAGGCGAATTTGTGAAAGATATGATATGAGTCAGTCTTGTGGAAGTTGTGAACAAATGTGCATTTTCCATAGCATTGGACGAATGTAACGATCTTTCTGATACAGCGCAACTAGCAATTTTTATTCCTGCAGCCGACAAAATATTCAGAATAAAAGAAAATTTGCTCGCGCTCGCTTCAAGTTATGAAATAGTTATTTATGTACCAAAAGTACTAAACACAGTCTATTTTAGTCGAGTCTGCGAATTGATAGCCGAGGCTAGCAATCAGGTGAGGCAATAGACAGTTTTTCACCGAGGTGCATATTACATTTTTTCGTCGACCTCAAACACTTATATTCGCGGGAATCAATGTTACCAGGTGGCGCTCGGTTTTCATCGTTCCATGTCAAAGCCACGTCAAAACTGGGGGAAAACAAACTCAATCCTCACTCAATTCCATTAGTGCCATTAGCTTGTGTACTGTGTACTGATAAGAGTGATGTTTTTTAATTTCTTGCCACTAATTGTCAATATTCGATCGAAAACGCTAAAATGCCTGTTGTAGATGTTCTTTTGGCAGATATATTGCTCTGTTTAGATGGAAAAAGCCGACCAGTAGTGGAAGGAGAAGCAGTTCTCCGTGCTTATCATGTGATTTTGTGTGAGGCAGAAGACTTCAACAAAAGGCACATTTTTGCACTTTGTCTATAAACTTCGGCGATGAAATCTTCCCCACATGAAGTAAAATTGAAGTTGGGGTCCAGAGGAACTCCTGTAGAACAATTGATTTGTATTTGTTCCTGCAAAGCAGGACAATCTGGGTATTGTAAACATGTAGCTGTTCTTTTATATGTCAATTGATTTGCTGGTCATAATTAGTTTGAATTGTTTGAACTATCTCCAATTCTTCACCCATTCACTGTTCACTAAACTAATAAAAATGTAATAATGTAAAAAAATTAACCAACTCAACCATCATCACTACCAACAGTGGTCCACTACCAACAGTGGTCATAATTAGTTTGAATTGTTTGATATATCTCCAATTCTTCACCCATTCACTGTTCACTAAACTAATAAAAATGTAATAATGTAAAAAAATTAACCAACTCAACCATCATCACTACCAACAGTGGTCCACTACCAACAGTGGTCATAATTAGTTTGAATTGTTTGATATATCTCCAATTCTTCACCCATTCACTGTTCACTAAACTAATAAAAATGTAATAATGTAAAAAAATTAACCAACTCAACCATCATCACTAACAACAGTGCCAACACTTTATGTCATTGACATGTTTGACTACAGCTACAGCAAGCTGAATGCAATGTAGTCTATGCACTTTATCCATAGACAACAGTTTGTTTTCCCCCAGTTTGAAGTTCGTATTATGTAACCTAGATGTCGCCCACTTCGTGAATCTCGCGAATTCACATCAGTCCTACTCACACGTGAAATCTATCGGATTTCGTAAATAATTTATTTGACAACAGCAAGTGACAGTTGTTGTCACTCACTCTCCGCGTTGTGGACCAGGGTTGCCAGTTCGATTTTTATTCCATTAGTAAATATCTTGTCAAAAATTCAGTAGATTTGATTAGATTTGTTTACGATCTATTTTATGCCATAGGAATTCCAAGAAAGAACTTTTAGTAAACATAAAAGTGACCTATATCCATCAAAGGAGAAACAAACAAAACAAACATTCTCACACAGAAATAAGCATATTCCTAATTCTCCATTCATAAATATTCGCACAGGCGATGATCCAATTTTATAATACTGAATAATAATATGTAAATTATATATTAGAAAAATACTTAATCATGGATGGGGAGCAAACCCACAACATCACATTTGTGAGACAGGCATTCCCAATATTATCCCAATCAAGATTATAATCAACTATTGAATAATTGGCATTAGGTTGACAAAATTTTAAAATTTCAGAATTAAAAATAATTGATTCAACAGGATACCTTAAAACAAACAAGCACAAGATTTACTAGTAAACAAATCTGCAAATATAAGATAAATTAATAATCTAAAATTAACCACTTATCATCAATTTGGAATATTTGGACAGTAATTTAGTATAAATAATATTTATCTATAGTACTGAGATACAATCATAAATAACACACTTATAATGAGCAACAATAAAAATAATAAAGTCATCTTGTACTCATGCACAGGACATGCTTTCCATGAATGATATGAAATAATAAATAATGTTGGCAAAAAATTCAAACTTCCTCAAACAAAATAAAAACAGGGACAAGAAGTGCAACATGAAAAAAGTCATAAAAACTTGAAATGAATAACCCCAACTATGAAAAATAGGTTCAATTTGAATTCGCCTTTTTACTGATAAAGAGGTCAAATATTGTTTATCAGTGTATTCAATCACACTGAAATCTGAGGCATGATCACTATAGAAGAGCTGGTCCACAGTTTGATGGTGAACCTTATAGTGTCTCCAGCCGTTTAATTATTCTGATAATATTTGCCTTGGTGTTTTCCTGCAACTAGTGACCTTTGACTTGCCTAATAATACACATTAGTTCAAAAAAACTCAGCAGTGCATCAATGAAGTCATGGTTATTGCTACAGTTTCTGGGACAGTGATCTCATCTATTGTCTTACTTTTCATTTCAATCAAGTAGGTATTTTTCATCACATTCAATTTAGATTCATTCTTATTCTGAACTTAGTCTGAATTTAGCATGAGGTTAGCTCAGGAAGAATAATTTCAAGTCAATGCAATTATTACATCAATTAAAATAATCTGGAGATTAATGATGATAACAAAAAACATTGGATTTAGGTCAGTACTCTATGTGCCTTTGGTAAAATATATATCAGGCATACTTGAATTCCTTTATTACCCATGTTTTTTTGATAACTTATGTCTTCTGTTTTAAACATTCACAGGGGACAAGAAGTAGTCACTGTAGGAGTCCTTGTGTCCTTAGAAATTTATCTGACAAGAATGGTAGATCTAGTGAAAGGGACACAATATCCATCAACAAAATATGTCCTTTTCAAAATTTATGTAGGAGTCTCCTTTGCAAAGTGATGAATTATTCAAGTGTATTTTGCAATGTATTTTGTTTAAATCTGTTGAATTCCTAATTAAAGATAGGTATCTTAAATGGTTTCCCAAGTCATTGGAATACCTTGATTGGAAAGGGATTGATATATACAGAGAATTGGTGATTGCCTCGGTGATTGCACACATTACAAGTAGTTTCATTTGTTTATAAGACTTATTATCTAGAAGATTCTGGAGAATGTTAGTTTCTTCTCTAATATGTTTTCATTTTCAATTTATTTTGCATGTGTTGAAAAATATCAATTTCTCATATAGAATTCATATAACTCACCTCTGCAACTCCTAAATCAGTTATTTTCAAATCACCTTCTAGTGTAAGTAGCAAATTACCAGGCTTTATGTCTTTGTGTATAACTCTCATACTGTGCAAATATTCTAGTCCATCTATGAGTTGTAAAAAGTAGCCATGTGCTTGGTGGTGTGGAAATTTTTTATCTGGTGTGGAGTCCAGGAGACCTTGTAAAGAGCCCACACAAAATTCCATAATTAAATACATTTTTTGCTTATCATGGTTGTACAGTTCATCCACCAAGTTTATAACATTTTTGTGTTTAAGTTTCCTCAGCAATTTTATCTCCCTAGAAAAGATAACACTTATGAAATTTACTCATTTTAATGCATTTCACAGGTACAGGAGTAAAATGGCATCACTTATTACTTGGCTGGTGGATAAGGTGGTGAGTTGAGAATAGAATTAAGCAGTTAAATGTTTGAGCAATAATCATAATTCACATTACCTTTGTACATTTTGTTCTCCATTTGGTATCCTACGCAGCTTTTTCTGTTTTAAAATTTTAACAGCTCTTCGACAAAGCATTTCTGAATCTAACATTTCTTTAACTTTTCCATAGGAACCCTCACCCAATAAATCACCCATCACATACTTTCCAACAAGTTTTAGTTTCCTTTTCTTCTTTTGGTATATGATTTGATCACTATCTACTCTATGAAAAAAATTTGTTATGTTAATGTTCTCAAGATCATCGTCGAAATCAACACTATTTTCTTGGTTTATCCAGAGTTCCGAATTTTCTGCTGATTCTCCTAACTCTAGTTCATCTTTACCACTGAAAATCACATTGGATATTTCTTTCTCTTGATCAGTACCGTCCGCTTCCTCACTCTCAAAACTTTTTGTTATATTACACATGTTATTGTCCATTATCTGTATTTTTCAACTCATTTGAGATATTATTTATATTTTTAAATATTAAATACAAACTTGTGATGACATTTGGATGTTTTTGTTGTGGTTGAGCGGTTGAGTCAGTTAAGTGGTAATGTGGTTTGTCACTTGCCATTTGCCATCCCCATCACAATCACAGAACGTTAGTTAAGGTTGATGTTGTTTTTTGTCATATATCTACTATTTTTATATATGGCGCATCGCCAATACGATATCTCAACAAAAATGGGACCAAAATGAGAGGTACTTTTTGAATCTATAAAGCTCTCTACTGTGTAAGGACTAAGGACGGAAAGTGAAAGTGAAGGATGGAAACAGCCATATTGGTTTGACATGTTTCGTATTATTTTTTCCCTACGTCGGCATCAACGCCTATTGGTCGATTTCGTTACCTATAGAGACAGAAGTTGGTCCCGCTTCGAGGAGAGATATGCTTCATCATATATCTACTACTAATATATGAATCATCGCTGTCCTCAAAGCGGGACCAACTTCTGTCTCTATAGGTAACGAAATCGACCAATAGACGTTGATGCCGACGTAGGGAAAAAATAATACGACAATATGGCTACTTATTTCAAATTTTCCATCCTTCACTTTCCGTCCTTATAGATTCAGGAAGTACCTCTCATGTTGATCCCATTTTTGTTGAGATATCATATAGGCGATGAGCCATATATAGAAATAGTACATATATGTGCTCTGGTAACATGAGACTACTCTATAACTTTAACTTTATAACCATTTGTGCAAGTGACGTCAAACGTAAAACGAACCTTATTATTGCGCGATTTTGACTTTGGCGATGCTAGCGATGAAGGATTCAACGTGTGATGTTACTATAATGTTACTATCGATACTTATCGATCAACAAATACATCACACGTCATAATCGTGGTCATATCTTGACTTGAGTCCTTGAATCGCACCTGAGATATCGCACCATAGCAACCATGGTCGCACGCAACGCTCCGCCCTAGTCAAACTTCTTTTTCTTCAGGTTTGTACGACTCGGGAGCAAAACCTTTGCGACGAACTTCATTACAATATTCAATGTCAAAAATGTCACCTTGAATTTTTTGCAGTTGAGGTAGTGATTTGATTTTTTGAATTTTTTATCCAAGTAAGTTGGATTTCCTCTTTTTGTTTACTTATTATTTGGCAGTTTTTTTTAAAGGAGTAAAAACAACAATAACTATTCTTCTGGATCCAGTAATTTCACAGCTGGTGGTGTAATTTTGTGTTCTATTTGATCTGTTGATATTGTGTACAGTTTACGTGAATTATGGGCTTATTTATTTCATATTTGAGGAATATTTATCAGGTTTGACCTATGACACTAATAATTATTATTTCAACATGAAGTAGAGGTGAATTAACAACATATCATCATGTATCAAAATAGTTTGTATGTTGTCTCACAAGTCCACTCTTGTTTTGTTTGAACTTTCTTTATCGGGGATATAGTATAGGTGATCATGATATGTGTGATCGTTTTCAAATTGTTTTTGTTCATTTCTTTTTTTAGTCTCAGTATAACATATCATGTAACAGCTATGTTGGTACGACCTTTAGTTCTGTTTTGTACTATTACACTATTATGCATCTTCAAATTCATAGACCATGTAAGGATTTATGCACATGACAATCATCTTTTATATAATGCCTGTCCTGTTTTCATACTGTCATTTATCCTCCAGCTTCTAGGCCCCAAGGATAATAAGGAAACCCAGGAGGAGACTGTTGAAAGTAAATCAAACTCAGTCCCAGAAAAATCCAAGGCTAAGGGCAGTAAAGTACGTCAGAGAACCAGAAGGCAACATGAAGATCCTACATTCAGCACCAATTTATCCACACCCATAGAAGACATTATTGAAGAAAGTATCACAGAAGAATACAACACAGATTCATCAAAGAAAAAAGGAAAACATAAAAAAAAAACAGGAAGTAGTGAGGGCAAGGAGTTGAAAAAGCATAACAAAAAATATTCACAAGATGACATTGGCTATTCATTCTTTCCAGTTAAAAAAATAGATGTCCCAAGAAGTGAAAAAAATCACAAAATAAAAAATATTTCACATGAGATAGAGGAGAAGTCTCTATCAGATGAGGTAGGATTTTCTTTTTTGCCTGTGAAAGAGAAAGGTAAAAAATACACAAAACTTACAGAAAATAAGGACAGTAAAGACACATTCAATACAATTATTGCTGAACACACTGTACCAAAAACAAAGGAAGATCTATCTAGGCCCTCTATAATTGATCACTATAAAAAAAGATCTGGATTAATAACAGCTGCTGGAAGAGTTTCAAAGAAAATCACCAATAAATCAGATGTGCCACAAATATTTTATGACAGTAGTAAGCTTGATATCCATTTAGACACTACTAATAGGGCAGAGTATAAGGAGACTAAGAAAGTTACTGCTTCCATTTCATATGCAAGTGTAGTGACTAATAAGTTATCTGGAGAATTTCCATCAGATAAAGAATCTTTGAATGATTTTGAAATTGTGGCTAATTTAGACACAGATAATAAGGAAGAAAGTGGCCCAACTTCCATAGAAATCTTGAAAGGCAACAAAGATGTGTTGTGTCTAGAGAAAACACAAGAAACAGAAGAATATATTGAAACAAATCCTGAAAGTAATTCCAGTTCTATAGAAATTATAAATGATACTATTCTTGACCAATATAATGCAAAATTCTCAGATGAGAACTTGGAACAATCATTTGGAGAATGTGGTTTAGATTATACCCAATTAGGCCATATTGAAGACAATTCTCATTCAAAAGACTCCTCAATTTGTATCTTGGATACTCAAACAGAGTTTGAATGCATAGATGATCTTCCTCAAAACATTCAAGTTGAACAATCTGATATAGATCCTTCTGATCAAATACAACAAAAAGGTATTCTTCAATCTATCAATCTACTTGAGGACAGTTACCAGAGAAAATCTTCCACAGTAAACAGTACTGCACCTTCAATTTCTGAGTCTTTGAATGAATTTATCAAATTTGAACGCCAAACTGAAAAGAACAATAGACAAGAGAGTGAAACTGGAGTGTCTTCAGTAGAATTCAATTTGTCTCAAACACAGACAACTGAAGAATTTCAGTATAATGATATCAATAATATAGTAACAGAAGGAGGATTCAGCTCTCCCCAAATTCATAGTAGTTTCTCAGAAGAACCATTTACAGGAAAACATTCCGATATTTTCAATTTCTCAGAGATTGTTCCTGAGACTACTAACTTTGTATCCCAAAACTATTCTGAAATAAGTGAATTCAATATATCCCAACAGCCACAGTCACTAGGGTATAATAAAATAATCTCTCAATACTCTGATTCCCAGTTGATAGTTGATGGCATAAGTCAAGATCAATCAGTACATGCTGGGCCTGAACCAATAGATATTGATGCTCCTCTTCAGAAACTAGATTATAAATCTACTACTGCTTCCTTTATTGAAGAAGAAAAGTTTGTTCAAAAATTTGCTTATGCTACTTTTTCAAGTACTCATACCAATAATAGTACTAAAGATAAACAATTACAATTAGCCAAAATGCAGCAAATTAGAGTTTTGACTCTGAATGATCAAGAACACCAAGAATGCACATTGTATCGTCTTGAGAAAAACTGGATTATACAGTTTAGAGTGGGACCATCTTTATTTGGAAGGAAAGTGAATCTGTATTGTAATTATCCATCTGCTGATAATGGAAAATTGAATGAATTTGATCGAAATAAATATCAATATCAATTACTAGAGTGGGTTTGGGATGAGGGGTGTGAAAATGCAGATGACACTGCTGCATATTCCCAAATTCAAGTAGAACATGTTGGAAGTTTCCATTATTATTTCACCTATAGCAATGGGTAAGTTGTTTCACTTAATTTTCAATAGCAGATACTTGTATCAGTGTGAAACCAGCCAAGAGTTCCAGCCAGAACTTCACCAAATATTCTTTCATTACTAATTTATATTCATGGCTGGCGATGAAATTACTAAAACCTCCAAAATATGTCCATGGATGAAACTATCTTCCATCACTGTGGTCCTCTAAGGGTCCTTAATAATCTGTATATCCCTCGATATTTTGTCCAGCAAGAATTAACCCCACAGGCTCCCTTTTTTGGAATTTTGAAAAAAAATCATAACTTTCAAAACACACCTGGATGGGAGTTTTTTTCTATGAATGTGTTCCTCTAATGGTATTTGATAATGTGAATATCTCACAATATTTTGTCCGGAAAGAATTAACTCCACAGGCCCCCTTATTTGGAATTAAAAAAAAATCATAATTTTTTCAGGTGGATGGGAGTTTTTTTCTATGAATAAGTTCTTCTAATGGTACTTGATAATGTGTTGGTACTTGATAATGTTTATATCTCACGATATTTTGTCGGGCAAGAGTTAACCCCACAGTCCCCCTTTTTTGGAATTTTGAAAAAAAATCATAACTTTTTCAAAATACACATGGATGGTAGTGTTTCTCTATGTGTTCCTCTAATGGTACTTGATAATGTGTATATCTCATAATATTTTTTCGGACAAGAATTAACCCCACAGTCCCCCTTTTTTGGAATTTCGAAGAAAAATCATAACTTTTTCAAAATACATGTGGATGGGAGTTTTTTTTTTAAGATGTGTTCCTCTGATGGTACTTGATGATGTGTATATCTCACAATATTTTGTCGGACAAGAATTAACCCCCCCTTTTTTGGTATTTAAAAAAAAAAGACATAACTTTTTCAAAATACACGTGGATGGGAGTTTTTTCTATTAATGTGTTCCTCTGATTGTACTTGATAATCATAGAGATACATAGCAGCTTTTTCAATTTCATCCGAACCGGCTGTGAGATGTTTCCAAAATAATTTTTTTTTGAAATATTCTGTCAAATGCTTTACATTGATTTAAGAAGGGCATCATCGTCGCTTCATTTTGAACACTTGAAATCATCCAAGCACTCTTACATTTATGTATTTGCTCGTACAAATATTCTCTTGGTGAGATTTATAATTTGGATACAATTTTCAAATGATCAGTTATTTTGCGAAATGACTCACCAAACGTTCGAACAATTTTTGAAAAGCGAAAAATCATTCACGGAAACATATAATAAGAGTAGGAAAAATCTCACCTGATGTAAATCACAACACGTAAAACTCGACGTAACCAAAAATTAAATGAAATAATCCACATATTCCTATGTATATTTATATGAGCAAACAGGTATTGTTGTACAGATTCATAAAGGAATAAACCTTTCTTTCTGTAAAAAGGTTAGGTTAGAGACCAAGGTTTAAATCTTACCGCGGTCACACCCGATACCGTTGACATGAAGTTAATCCCTATCCGGTAATTTTCGATGAAAACTAAAAGTAGTGAAGGACTATCTGTTTATTTTGGATTAACTTACATGAAAATTGTTTCAAATTATCTATAATGTATAAATTCTGAAAAACTGGTCTTGTAGGGTTAATTTTTGCCCGACCAATTATTGTGAGATATATAGTATCAGAGGAACACATTAATAAAAAATACACTCCCATCCACGTGTATTTTGAAAAAGTTATGTTTTTTTTTCTTCGAAATTCCAAAAAGGGGGCTTGTGGGGTTAATTCTTGCCCGACAAAATTTCGTGAGATATACATATTATCAAGTACCATTAGAGGAAAATGTTCATAGAAAAAAAACTCCCATCCACGTGTTTTTTGAAAAGGTTATGATTTTTTTTCGAAATTCTGAAAAACTGGTCCTGTGAGGTTAATTTTTGCCCGACAAATTATTGTGAGATCCATCAGAGGAACACATTCATAAAACAAAACTCCCACCCACGTGTATTTTGAAAAAGTAATCATTTTTTTTTAGAAATTCCAAAAAAGGGGGCCTGTGGGGTTAATTCTTGCCCGACAAAATATTGTGAGATATACACATAATCAAGTAACATTAGAAGAACACATTCATAGAAAAAACTCTCATCCACCTGTATTTTGAAAAAGTTATCATTTTTTTTTTGGAAATTCCAAAAAAGGGGGCCTGTTGGGTTAATTCTTACCTGACAAAATATTGTGAGATATACACATTATCAAGTACCATCAGAGGAATACATTCATAAAAAAACTCCCATCCACGTGTATTTTGAAAAAGTTATGATTTTTTTCCGAAATTCCAAAAAAGGGGGCCTGTGGTGTTGATTCTTGCCCGACAATATTGTGAGTATACACATTATTAAGTACTATTAGAGGAACACATTCATTAAAAAAAAATTCCATCCACGTGTATTTTGAAAAGAGTTTTTTTTTTAAATTCCAAAAAAAAGGGCCATGTGGGGTTAATTCTAGCCCGACAAAATATTGTGAGATATACAATCCACGTGTATTTTGAAAAAGTTATAATTTTTTTTCGAAATTTGAAAAAAGGGGCTGGTGGGATTAATTCTTGCTTGAAAAAATATCAAGAGATATGCAGATTATAAAGGACCCTTAGAGGAATACATTGATGGAAAATAGTTTCATCCACGGACATATTTTGACTGTATTTGACATTTATCAATAATTGACTAGAAGACCTGGAATGATCAGAAGCTTTCATAAGATGTGTTAATTAATGAAACTCCATGGCAAAACTTTTAAAACACAAAAAAGTTCATTAAAAGATCACATCTCTTGTATATTGGAAAAGGAGCTTCTATACTATGTTTACATTATCTTAGATTATCTCAAAAAACTTATATTCTTTAAGCCGTTGAAGTCCTCCTATAAAAACTGACTCGCCCTGTATACCGGGTGTCAACGAATCTATTAGACAAGTCATAACTTCTAGACCATTAGGTGTATCAAAATGATTTTTGGTATAGGTAAATGGTATGTGAAGAGGAGAGTTTTCACATATTTTTCACTTTCTGGTCACTTCCAGTTTCAAAAGTAAATAAATTATTATGAAGTATTCTCGTGTAATATTCAATTTATGTTCTTATTTGTATTCCAATCACAAATAAATTAGTATCGTTAGATTCGTCAAAATATCCTTTTTTCGGAAAGTGCTTGTCAAAAAATGGTCGCCATCTGAAAAATAATAGTTAGACACAAAAATGTAATTTTACCAACTTGTCTTATGCATATTGATCATACTTGTCACTAAAACTTCGTGATTGTAATTTCCTGATATCACCTGAGGTCCTTAGATTAGTTTACTTCCGATCATGGCCACCTGGATGTAATTTCAAAAGTGACTCCGAAGAAATTAAGTAGGCATAAAAACTTTCGAAAATGTCACATTCTGATCTAGAATTGTCTCAGAAATCCAAAAATGTTACAATATACAGGGTGTTCCATTTAAAAATTTAGAACCGGAGCCATTTCCGGTGAAACCGGAAGGGACCGGTAAGTCAAAAATATGTGAAAACTCTCCTCTTCACATATCATTCACCTACACCGAATCTCATTTTGATACACCTTATGGCCTAGAAGTTATGACTTGTCTAATAGATTCGTTGACACCCGGTATACAGGGTGACCCATTTGAAACTTTTGACATCGAATTATTGTTATTATTTCATTATCCATAGCACACTTTCATGAAAATATTCCGTTACGAGGGGAATACAAGAAGTATTTATTTGTAATTTCTCAATTATATGACTAGATTGTGAATTGAAAATGTGATTGTGATATATCGTTATTATAGAGGTTATGTTATTCCTTGAATCATAATTGCCAGAAAACAATTATACTTTGTATTTGAAATGAAAAAAATTGGATGCACTTCTGGTCCAATCAGAAATGTCATATTTCGTCTGATACTAGCAAATGCTAGCAATATCATACACTCATGTAATTAAATCTATGTACCAAATTTGAGGAAACCACACTTTAGAATCACATGCCCTGTTGAGATATCTGATAAATTGAACACTGACATTTACCCTCACATTTAATGATTAATCTTAAATTTTATGAAGTATCTATTTCTTGTCATATATTATTGTATTCAGAAAAAATAAAACTAAAAGGGTGCCATCAAAACAAAATTGACAGTCGCTGACGTTACAGTTGAAATTTTGAAAAATAATGATCAGAGCATACTCATAGCATCTGATGAGTTATTTCAATTGCTTTTTTGTTTTTCAAAATCGGATAATTTATAACGGGGCTACGACTCTGAGCGTTTTTTGTCAGTCAGTCTGAATATATAAGGTGTTCCATAAAGAATCTTAATCTTAAAATAGCATACCATCACCTGTTCATTATTCCTTTTATTCTTCTCCAGTGAAAACCATGACAGACAAGGTTCTGGATACTTCTTAGTTGATCCAATATTGAAATATGGTAACAACGAAGATCTTCTACTAGATTGCATTCAGTGCCAAACTGTGTTATCAAAATGCCTAGGTTCATTTTCATCATGGGAGAAAAAGCTACAAGTTACCAAAGAATCTGGTTACAATATGATACATTTTACACCAATTCAGGTACATTTATACTCGCATCTAGTAAAAGTTTTTTTAATGAATATTTTCTAGGAATTGGGCGAATCAAATTCGTCATATAGTTTAAGTGAACAACTCAGAGTGAATCCGGTTTTCAAAAAAACGAATGGTGAACTCCCCACATTCGAGGAAATAGAACAATTTGTTTCAAAACTCAGAAATGAATGGAAGGTAAACGATTGAAAAATTACTCCACCTCTATTTCATTCAATTGCACTTTTAGATTGTTTCGATTTGCGACATAGTCCTAAACCATACAGCTAACGAAAGCAAGTGGATTCAAGTACACCCTGAAGTAACCTACAATTGTGCAAACTGCCCTTATATGCGCCCAGCTTACCTTCTGGATGCTGCTCTCCACCAATTCTCTCTTGACGTTAAAAAAGGCTATTACGAAGACAAGGGTATACCCCCTGAATTAAACACAGAAGAACACTTGAACGCCATACGATTCCACTTTTCCTCAAGCGTTTTGGAACCTTTGAATATCCCACAGCTGTACATTTGCGATGTCAACAAATGTATCGTCGAGTTTCTTGCATTGGCTAGGTCTGTGCCACCTGTAACTGCAAATTCAAGAGAAATGCCAGAGCAATTAGAACTCATACCTGATCCTGATTTCAAACGATTATCTGCCTCGATAAATATGGATCTGGCTTTAAAGTTATACAATGTGTATTGGGCCGACACTTTCGACGAAGACAGTAGACTCAAACGTTGTGCTGAAGAACTGAAAAAGAAGCTGGAGTCTCTCAACCAGGCAGTTATTGAAGAAGTAAACGAACATTTAAAGGTAGCAGTTGAAAACGTTATCGCTGGTATAAGATACTATAGAGTTCAAGCCGATGGTCCTAGATTCAAAGAAATAACGACGAAAACCCCTCTAGTGTACCGATACTTCACAGACCATGGGTCTCCTAAATCCCTCGAGGAGCACGAAGAAATCATGTACAGCGATAAAGGTTCGTTTTTGATGGCCCACAATGGTTGGGTTATGAATTCAGACCCACTCAAGAATTTCGCCGGGCCTGGCACGACAGTTTACATTCGGCGGGAACTCATAGCTTGGGGAGACAGTGTGAAGTTGCGATATGGGGACAAACCTGAAGACTGTCCATTTTTGTGGGACCATATGAGGAAATATGTTGAGCAGACTGCTAGTATTTTCGATGGAGTCCGATTAGATAACTGTCATTCGACGCCCATACCTGTCGCTGAGTATTTACTGGATTGCGCTCGAAGAGTACGTCCTAATCTGTATGTTGTAGCCGAATTGTTCACCAATTCTGATATGACTGATAATATTTTCGTCAATAGGTAAGTCTACAAATGAGTTCGGAGATCTATCGTTGGAATATTATTTTTTTGACGGTAGATATTGCTCCTGCGTGGTGGTACCACAGAACTCAAAACGTTTATATCTTACGACAGTTACGACTAGAATGCGTATCCAATATGGCGGACAAATCATGCATCAGCTGCAACACTGAAAGTGAACCATAAACAGTAGCGGCGCTTGAGTTCATGGCGGAATGTTTTTGGACGCCAGTGGCGTATCTCGACGATAAGATGAAACATAATTATATGAATTCTCGGAAAAGATAGAATTCCAATTGAAAATTTGGATGACATAAGTAAATGAATATGATTCTCATTTTTTGCGCTTCACATGTCTGACCTTAGTATTTGAGATAGGTATGCACTGCACAAATATAGAATATATTCAAAATAAGGAAATTTCTCATATCATTATTTCTGCACATTTTATAACATATTCAATTGTTATAATTCATGGTTTCAATAAGTATTGCATTCTACTATATAAAATCACTGAGTTCATTTCAAAATACTTCTTCCACTTCAAATAGAGACTGAAAGGCTATAATGCCAATATAAACTTATGTAAACTTTGTCATTTAACTGTTTATAGAATTCACATTTCAATAACCTTGCTTCACTCCATTTTTCATTGTGCTGTAATGTTGTTTTTGAGTTAGGCATCAAATAATAACTGTTGAAAATGCATGTCTATGTCTCAGTAGTTTCTCTTTCTTGTATCACCATACAGCCACGTAAGCCTGACCATAATTTGTTCAGAAATTTTGTATGAAACCATACGATCGCGCGTTCTAGTCGTAAGATATAAAGATTATCAGTTCTGTGGGCGGTACTTGTGTGTTTGGGGGGTTAATTGTCATCTACATGACAAGGAAATGGTGGAAACTACTATAGAAATGAGAACAGAGGTTATGATGTAGCTGTATTCTGTGCTTATTTCAGACGTTCTCGAGCAACACACACCAATACAAAGTTGAGGCATTTTATAAACTTTTGAATGAGCTACCGTTAAAAAATTTCGATACGGAAAATTTATAAAGAAGGTTTACAGTTGACATGGGGTTCAGTCTATTCTGCTGTAGAAAATGAAACCTATTTCTTTTTTCAACCATAGTTTGTTAGCTTGACCTAATATTTGATGACAGTTATTAGTTGAAGATCGAATGAATAGCCAACATTTCAACAATGTTACATATCAATGTATCATATTATCTCAATCTCAATAATCTTTCCTTTGGCTATGGAAGTGTTTAAATTTTGACAGTGTCAATTATTATTAATTTATAGATCGAAAAGTCTAAAATGTAATAAATTGGTTCGGATACTGGAAGCATAATAATAAATGAAATAATAATAGATATCTACGTTATAAGTATAGTAAACACTCGATATGAGATGGGAAATTTGTCAAACAAGGCCGAAAGGCCGAATTCGATAACCCATCGATTATTGTAATATGAATTTACGATACGAATATAGTATAATATTTTACCCACTAGCAATAATGCTGATCATTCACTCAAAAATAGATAATTCGTTGATTATTGTGGTTTTGGTTGTTATACAGTGCTTTTCTTTAATGTCCCACTCTTGTTATTTTTTGAACGGGTCAACTTAAAAAAATTTAAACTTGGGATAATGACATTGATGCATGAATACTATATTAGAAGTAAAATTAACAGATGAAAATTTTAAGATGGCGACTGGGCGCCATCTGGGAAAAAAATTAATCAAATGCAAAGAGGGGTAACCATCCCACATCACCAACAAAACAATTTTTCTACGGCTATAACACAAAATTGCTCTTTTTTACTGTGTTCGATACATCAATGAGGTACTTTGTATGTCAGTATCTGATATCACAATGACTTCATTGTGTTATTATATCAAAAAAAGCTCATCGAATATAGAATGTCAAATTTCAAGCAATCACAGCTCTGTCAAATAGATGAGCATTACTTGAGATGAAATCAGATGGCTACAACAAGAGTTCCTAAATGTACTTGACACTGCTGTTTTGACGTTTTTTGTATATCAGAGTACGGACACTAGACAAGCAGTGACAATCAAACATAACCACAAACGATTTCGAAGCAAATCATATGTTATGCCAGACAAGGAAAAGAATATGTTTTTCGCTTAGATAAAGGATTCTCGCATCTTCCTTCCTCCACAAGTCCTGGGAAGAGTACATCCATATATCTTCCTCTGTCTTTGATTTTTGTAGGAGAGTGTATAGCGTCTCCTCGACTGGGTAGAAGGGTACGATAAATTGATTAGAAAATCATTTCTTCTCGAAATATTGAATGATAAGGCTGAAGGACCTCAATGGAGGTCGATATCAAGTTAGTAGGTACATATATATCAACGAAATACATACAGTATTCCTATGAAATAAGTCTCTTTTATGTAGGTATATATATATATACGTTCAGTTGAATATTTGTTTATAACAAAAGTTCAGAATGGGGTAAAAACTGATAAATTTCAAGAAACATACTTTTATTTCGTATGGAACAATTTCACTTGTACAAGAGTGGTATGTAATAAGTAATTAATAAATGACAGCTGATTTCAGTTAGGATAAATAATAAAGGTTCTCCAAGACATAATATATGGTAGTAGGTATAAATGGACTTCAGCGCTCGACTCACTATAGAACGCCGTTCACATTGCTAAAGGGGACTGTTAGTTTGAACCCGGCCAAGTTCATTTTCAATACCTAACATAAATGATCCACTCGTTAAGCGTTCTTGTTCTGTGCTCTGATAATATCTTGCCCCTTTCTTGGTAGCCAAGAAGTGGTTCAAAATCCACTAGGAGCTATGTAATCGTCTAGCACTTCTCAACTACGCATGAACATGCACATTCAGACTTGTTATTTCAACTTTGAAGAAGCGATACACGAACAATATATTCAACTCTTTGATATTGATACATCAATATCTGGTATATCAGAGTTCCACAAAGTGACTATATGTTTTCACAAAATTATTATTCGCGGGAATCAATGTTACCAGGTGGCGCTCGGTTTTCATCATTCCATGTCAAAGCCACGTCAAAACTGGGGGAAAACAAACTCAATCCTCACTCAATCCCATTAGTGCCATTAGCTTGTGTACTGTGTACTGATAAGAGTGATAAGTTTTTAAATTTCTTGACATTAATTGTCAATATTCGATCGAAAACGCTAATAATGCCTGTTGTAGATGTACTTTTGGCAGATATCTTGCTCTATTTAGACGGAAAAAGCCGACCAGTAGTGGAAGGAGAAGCAGTTCTCTTTGCTAATCATGTGATTTTGTGTGAGGCAGAAGACTTCAACAAAAGGCACATTTTTGCACTTCGTCTACAAACTTCGGCGATGAAATCTTCCCCACATGAAGCAAAATTGAAGTTGGTTTCCAAAGGAACTCCTGTAGAACTATGGATTTATATTTGTTCATGCAAAGCAGGACAATCTGGGTATTGTAAACATGTAGCTGTTCTTTTATATGTCAATTGATTTGCTCGTCATAATTAGTTTGAATTGTTTGAACTACCTCCAATTCTTCACCCGTTCACTGTTCACTAAACTAACAAAAATGTAATAATGTGAAAAAATTAACCAACTCAACCATCATCACTACCAACAGTGCCAACCTTTATGTCATTGACAAGTTTGACTACAGCTACAGCAAGCTGAATGCAATGTAGTCTATGCACTTTATCCATAGACAACAGTTTGTTTTCCCCCAGTTTGAAGTTCGTATTGTGTAACCTAGATGTCGCCCACTTCGTGAATCTCGCGAATACGAGTTCGTATACGAAGATGATCGAAAGAAGTCTTGGTTGAACAAGGATGTAAAATCTGTTTGAGTCAGTCAATTCAGGAAGTTGCCACTATTTCATCATCAGATGATCGACCATGATCTCCATGGTGACTATTGTGATCTCTGCTCCATCATTCCTTCACAAGCAATAACCAGAGTCTGAAGTGGAATAAGGTTCTTTTCGATACTCGCTCAGTTTATAAATTGTGGGTTCGGCTCTTTCTCTCAATACGATCCTATTCTTCAGATCAATAAAAATGCGTTGAAAAATGTTCTATATCCTACAAAGAAATTTGAATACCTCGCAAATTTTGTGGTCTAAACCTATATTCCATGCCTGCCGCATCATATTCTGTTTCCATTTTTGTAGAATTACGTTATCCGATGGAAATTCGAATAGAGTGAATTTATTTCCCGTGTTGTCACAGTTGGGAACTGCACAAACTTGCATCTTTCTCCTAATTCTCTCAATTTGTCAAACCTTTGAAATTTAGGTCATGTACATGAGGACTGGAAAGAAGAATGGATAGAAATATGTAGAATCAACGAGAAAAGACTATTCAGCCTCCTAGAAGCACCTCCGAAGAGACCTTGGTTCGACAAGGAAAATGTCAGCAGAGAAATAACCTCCACAATGTGCCGACTGAGGTCGGGGCATTGTCTTACCCCTGAACATTTATTCAGGATCAGGATTAGAGACTCCCCAAGATGCGACTGTGGTATAACCGGAAACCTACAACATATATTATTGGAATGTCCCAACCACACTTTGAACTCAAACATACTTTACAAAAAAATGATATCAAGACACAATACCCCAATCCTTACTGCCTTGTCAGTAGAAGACCTGCTTAAGAATCCCACTGCGTATACTGCTTGGATCATTCACACGAACCTAAAATCAATCAACTTGAAACTTTAATTATCTATGTTACATGGAATCTCAAGGATGAAGCTATGATCACAGAATCAGACGCATTCACGTGCAGCTCCAGCCCTTAGGAAGCGGACAACAACAGAGAAGAACCTGGGTAAATAACCGAAAAGGTTAAGCCCATATCAAAGAAGGAAGGGAGGAAGGAAGGATGTGCTTGTCATAGTGTCCGTACTCTAATATACAAAAAACGTCAAAATCATCAGTGTCAAGTACATTCAGGAACTCTAGCTACAACACGAAGAAATCGAATATGTCGCTGTTATCTGTTACAGCACGGAATGCTAATGAAATCACTATCATTCCGTGCTCGTTAAACAATAAACTGTTCCAGGCTAGGAATAACCTCCCTGATCCGCGAAGCGATGTCGGCTTGGGACTCCCACGAAGAGGGCAGGCTGGTCTACCGGTACGGCGGCCTTCCTGTGGGCTCCTTCCACCAGCCGAGCGTCCGCCCACTGGTACCTTCGATCGCCCACGCCCTGTTCCTCGACCAGACCCACGACAATCCCAGCCCGGTCGAGAAGCGCTCGGTGTTCGATCTGCTGCCCAGCACCGCGCTGGTCAACATGGCGTGCTGCGCCAGCGGCTCTAATAGGCAAGTACACTGATTTCTATACCTTTTCAACTTCAATTTCGGAATCGGTAAGTTATATTTCGGAAAAAGTAATCTCGATTTCAGAAAAAGTCCATTCAATTTCAGAAATGGTAAGTTGTATTTCAGAATTGGTAGGTTCAATTTCGGAAAATAAATCCTTATATTTGTTTGAAATGTTTTTAATTGCATGTGAGATTACCAAACTATATTTACAATATTTAACTTTTCAAAACCAATTCAATAACATAATTATAATCTCAATTCAATCCACAGATATGTCTTCCATCCGAATCGCAGAAGGATAGTGGCGTTGCACATGATTATAAGAATGCAAACACATTTGAGGTGTTATCATTCCCATTGAATGATCTGCACATTCTTCAAGACATCGCAGTCTGAATTCTATCTGGTTGAGTAATCTGTTTGGATCCCCAGCTATGACCCTTTGGCGATGCTCTTGCAAAAAGCTATTCATTTCTGACTCGAAGGCACTCCATATATGTTCAATCGGGTTCAACATATGGCTGTAAGGTGCCAATCTGCAAAATATAACATTTTGAAATTCTTCCTCCATGCATATCTCTTCTATTCTTGAATGTGCAGGTGCATTATTCAGAAATATACCACTATGGTATCTGCAGGATGCTCATTTCAAACGCACGCTCTCAAACACCGTTTCATCCATTGTAAACAATCTTCTGTTTTGCAATTGAAAACATTTCAAACAAATATGAGGATTTTTTTTCTGAAATTGAACCTACCACCTGAAATTAAATTGACTTCTTCTGAAATTCATCACCGATTCTGAAATTGAGTTTACCATTTCTGAAATCGAACTAACCAATACTGAAATCGAGATTACTTTTTCCGAAATATAACTTACCGATTCCGAAATTGAAGTTGAAAAGGTATAGAAAATGTACTATGACTGTCTGTAGGTTAATCGAGGAGGTGGTACATTCATTATTCCAGATTTTTGGGATTTTCTCTCCTCGTCTCTATAAAATAAAATATAAATACTATTTCAATATACGTGTAGTCAGTGTCGGATTTAGGGGGGGCTATGGGACTATCAGCCCCCGGCGGTGAATTTCAAGAGGCGGTAGAGAAAAAGAGAAAAAGCAAGCAGCAATACAGTCGTCGCCAACGAGGCGACAAATATATTATATTGTTTCTTGCTTTTTATATGCCGCCTCTTTAGGCAAACGCGCAATTAGCTACCGCTTGTCATCGCATCAAAAGGACTTAGTTGAGATACTGTTTTTGTGAAAATCATAAGATGCACTAATCTAGCGTCAGCTGTGTCTTGGACGCTACAATACAAAAGCAGCGGTGGTACATACTTTTATTTGATGATAAAAAAAACGCATTCTACTCAGTAGACTAGGGGTAATTTCATGACTCATCTAACTCAATAACAGAAAACAAAATCGGAGTTCAGTATTTAATTAATTAATTTAAGAAGGTGGTTGATTCTGGAAACGGCAGAAGATCGCTAAACAAAAGCAGTTAGACGAAGTTGTCAAGAAATGCCCTAAAATACATTCATTTTTTATAAATTCAAATGAGACAGAATCAGAACCAACAGAACCGTCTCCGGGAACTTCACGATCTCAAGTCGGGAATTGTAAGTTAGGTGATTGAAGATACACTTCATAAAATAAGCCTGAACAGAGAGGAAAAGATGCATGTTCGCTGTCAAGCTGATGCACTGGAAAAAAAGTATCTACACTAGAATTTGCTATTCTGGTTCTTTTCTGGTATGATATATTAGAGAGAGCAGATCAAGTCAGCAAGTCCCTGCAAAACTCAAGCATAGGCCTGGACACGTATCTCAGTTTATATATTTCATTGAGAAAGTATTATGAATGTTTGCGGAAAAGTTGATGGCGCTTTTGCACAAATACAAGATCACAGATACTTCCTGCAACGTGGAAGTAGCTCTAAGAATTTTCCTATCCCTGATGATAAATAATGCAAGTGGTGAAAGGTCATTCTCAACTTTAAGAAGAGTGAAAAACTACCTTAGGAATTCCATGGTAGAGGATACATTGAATAGCTTATCAATTTTAAGTATCAACAGCGACATGTTATTAAATCTGAATTTTGATGTTGCAATTCGACGACTTTGCATAAAAAAAATCAAGAAAAGTATTTTAGTATTCATCTGAAAAAAAAAATTGTTGTTTGTTGTTATGTTTAACGTGTGAAGTAAATATAATTTGATTCGTTGCACATAATGATATCATGTCATTGGTAAATGCTGTAAAAAAAGCAGTGAAAGGATTATTTGAATTTTGAAACTGACAATTGAAATTTAATATTTGGCGGCGGCGCGGGAGTATAAATCCGGCACTGCGTGTAGTTAGGACAAATCAGATGATTTGCCCCAAAATGTCACTGCGTTTAGAGAATTTTCCTATCAGAGAGCCTGAAAGAAAAATTCACTAGCTTTTCAGTGACAATTTGTATTGAAAAAAGTTTGGAGAAGAGAAATAAAGGTATATAGAAAAAATTTTTACTTATCTTTGGACGTTTCGGGAACGAATCTGCTCCCGTTTTCAACATAAAAAATGGATTCTTTGTATTGCAAATTCGTATTTGTCCTGACACTTCAGTTCTCAGTGACAATTGGTGACGTTGGTAATCAAATGAGTTACATGATGTGTTCATTAATTAATCTTGAACTTACCACTTTCATTTTCAGATTTCAATAGTGAATACCATGTTGTCTTTATATCAACTGAACAGGAAGCAATGCTATTGTCTCCGTTCAGAAGAATGCAAGCAGTTTCCTTGATTTGTCTCTTCTGGTTGTTATCTCCTCTTCCGATGATTTTAATATTATTCCACTCTGCCATATGTTGTCCAACTTCAGTAAGGATATGTTCAGCTAACTTGCCTCAAGAGGCATCATGATTTCCACGTTACTAGAATAAATTCTGATACCAAATACAAAGTTTGAAGATGAATAAATTTATCAAAAAAAAACATGAAATATTGCGTACGATCCAAGATATAAAAACGAAATCACTGATTTTTAGTTTTTTTTTTTTTTCAAAATATTCCAGGAACGACTGACTTTTTGCAAAACGTCATATTGAAGAGGTTCAAATTACGCAACTTTTGTCTAATTTAATCAACTTTCCATTTCTTATCGTTAAGGAAATATCAATATTGTCCCTTAATATTTATGTCATTTACTACATCAATGAATATTAGTTTATCTCGAAAGTTCACAGTTGGATTGAGAGAGATATTTACTTGATATTTACTTGAAATAATACAGCTAGCAACACAGAAAACGGGATTATCACGTTAGTGCTGGGTCCCTGTATGTATTTGACACTTTTGCTGAGGAATCTAGTGCTGGGAAGAAGAGTTTATCGCCGAACGCTATATTTGAAAGTTCCATGAAACTATAGGGAATTCAAATGGTGTTTTTTCAAGTATTACAGCATATTTTATCGAAAAATAAATTGATGCATTCATGTTATGTTATAAATATTTCAATTATATGCACATTTATTTGTGTTCTTGCCTATAGGGGTTACGATGAGCTCGTTCCGCATCATATCCATGTCGTGGACGAGGATAGAGAGTATACAGAGTGGGGAGACGGAGAAAGCGTCGGAGTTGTTGATGGAAGGTCTGCCCTGATAGGGGCCAAGAGAGCTATCAACGATTTGCATTTCGTTTTGGGTAAAGAAGGTTTCAATCAGGTGAGAGGGGGGTTTGTGAATAATAGAGTGGTAATGAATTTTCCACATTCCTGTGTTGATTTAGACTCCGAAACTATTTTCATCTAACAATTCATATTGATGCATAACTTAAAGCAAAAATATGTCAAGTGTGATTTTTATGATAATGATAATAATAATATCTTTATTGCTGTAAAAATCTATAAAGACAATAGCAACGTCAAAAAATGTAACCACTAATGAAATTACATTAAGAGCGACCAAAAAATAGTAGGGAACAATTATTTCCAACAATTAAAATCATAATACATGTTTTTTTTTATAAAACAAAGGACTGCACTCCTGAATATATATTGCTCTCTGTGTGTGTATTTTTTTGGAAAAATGTAATTGAATATTGTGGAATACTCAGAATATTTATGTTACACATTAGATGTGTATTCATCCGAATTTTTGTTAAACAAATATTTATGTGATATATGTCTCAAAGGCAAGTCAAAACAATGTATTTTATCTAACGGCACCTGTGTCAATTACTTTCCTGAGTAAAATGATTGAAAAATTGCACCTCTCAGTATGGTTATTTGCACTCAATCTCGCGATTTGATAATAAGATATGAATTATGCTACTGAGGGATGTAACCAGCCTCAGCCACAAAGATCCTTATTCTTCAGCTCTTAAGGAAGAACCTAAAAATGCAATAATATACAGGGTGTCCCATTAAAAAATATATAATCTGCCGATATCTTGGAATTCGAACACCCTATAAATATGAAAATAATTCTAAGTGATAGTTCTCATGAAACCCTATAACTGTTGTATTTGAATTTTTTCTATATATCTGACGGTTTGGTCAATATCGAAGGAGAGCACACTATTGACTCACCCTGTATATCTAATCGCTCTCTTATGTACGGGTTCCATACCACTGTTGGTCTGACAGGTCTTCAATGGTCTTCATGCACGTACAGGATATAAGTTTCAAAACTGGTTCTGGTGCTGGTGGCTGTAATCTTGGGTTTGGCTGCAGACCTCCATTGGTTTTTTTCAAACCCTCGACATACTCATTTTTGTGAAGGTGTTAGGGTCATACCTCTTTTTTATTTTTTTTGTATATTATACTCAATTATTCCTTGATATCTTCAAGGTTGAGTGAAAGAGCGCTGCTCTCTGCTTCCTGCAGTTAGTGCAAACTATGGCTTTTGTCAAAATTTTAAGCAACACTGATTTCTTGATTCTTATAATTTTTTTGTAAATTGTTGCCAGTAATAGCATTAGTATTATCATTATTATTATTACATTTTAACAAATAAAGGTCTTTCACACTAGGTGGTCTATGGGCTTTCATGCTGAATTGAGAGTGACGTCAATATGTCAACACATGCAGTGTTGCCAGTTGAAAGGAAATGACCTGATGACTAACCGCCCGAATATCCATATGTCTAGTGTTACGATCGCCGGATGTATTTTTTCTTCACAACCAATTCAAAAGCCGTCCATTTATGTTCGATAATCAGCTCTTGAAGTTGACGTTTACTGGCACAATAAAATTATTAGTAGGTCAAAGTCCATCGTGCTCTCCTTTGGACCTGAGCGAGAATTTTTAGGAAAGTTTTATATGTATTTCTGAAAAACTCTAACAATAACCCATTGGGGTACTTATTTATTAAATGTTTCTCTGTTCTTACTACCGTTTTTACCATGATGATGTCCTCGATTGAATATTGGACCTTCTCCTTTTTCTTTAACATTTCATAAAAATTACTTGCAGGTATAGCAGTGATGCTATTTGATAATAAAGTTTTAAACGGAATACAAAATTTCTTCATTTGATTGTAAAATAAATGTCAGCACTAGTATCCTGCTTATATGTTCCATCTTTTTCCAAGGTTTATGTTGATCAAATGGATACGGATATAGTAGCAGTGACTCGACATTGTCCTGATACTCACCAAAGCTACATCTTAGTGGCTTTCACTGCTTTTGGTCACCCCAACGAAGACGCAGGAGATTATCAAAGAGACATCAAACCCCTTCGATTTGAAGGAGTTCTTGAAGAAATCGTTTTGGAGGCTACCCTGAGTCACAAACACAATTAGTAAGATACTTCGATAGTTCAAAATGAATATACAAACTATAAATTGATGCAACATTTTCAGTTCTGGTGGTTCAAAGTTCCAGAAATGGGATGAGTTTGTCAGGGATCCCAAATGGATTAATGGTCTTTCTGACTATCAGATCTCTATAAAGGAGCACATACCAGTTGCTGAATCCGACGCTGTGGAAAAAGTTGATTCTGGTACACAAAATACGACCCAGCTTAACTTCAAAAATTTCAAACCTGGATCCATCATAGTTGTGAAGTAAATCATTCTGACCCTATAATACTACGTTCATCATCTGCAACACTTTATTTTTCTAGAGTATCCCTTCCTGAACCCATGAGAAAAGCTATAAACACTGTGCGTAATTTAATCGACAATTTTTCATTGACTAGGCAAACTGAACTGTCGGCAATTATAAAAAAATTGACATTGGCAGATTTAAATAGGGCTCTCTACAGATGTGATCAGGAAGAAAGGGATGAAGGATTCGGTTTTGACACATATAACATCCCTAACTTTGGATCAATGGTTTATGCAGGATTTCAAGGTATGTAGTAAATAATGAAAAATCAATGTGGTACAACGTAGTCTTGTTATTTCAGGCATTATGTCATTGTTATCAAATATTAGACCTAATAATGACCTGGGACATCCAATGTGTGCAAATTTGAGAGATGGAAACTGGATGATTGGTAAGAAATTTGTTATGAGGCTATATATCCACAAATAAATTATGTTTAGAAATAAATTGAACTCTTTTTGATTAATCGTTCTCGACAATTAACATCAATCATAATCTGACAGTAGCAGGATGGAAACTATTGATTTAATTTTACCGTTTTTTTTGCCATTCTCTCAGATGAACGCAGAATATTTCATAGATCGCTCAACAAAAACTCAACAGAAGAATTGATTTTGAATTCCACTTTTTCTGTAATGAAACAAATTATTTTCATTCTACTACTTTGTCCCCAACCTCCCCAACTTTTCTTCCTATGTAAGTATGTGTACGAGCGGCATGATTGAAATGTTCTCGAAAGATAAAATCCAACCATACCAATTATTTGTTCACAAGATTGTATTTACCTACATCTACTGATTTGTTTATGTAAAATCGTACTAGTCAATTTAGGCCCACTTCTAATAATCCGCTACACTGTTTTACCACTAACCAAACCGATTTATTAACGCCTCGACACGTGTTTCGCTAACTATGTTAGCATCTTCAGGAGAAGATTAAAAAAAATATATATCTAATAATCCGTCTTACGAATATTAGCAGTGGCGGCTCCTCAGAGGAGGCAACGGAGGCTGAGCCTCCTCAGAGATTCTCCTTAAACTGATATTATCTATACTATCTCATTACAAGGACACCAAAATACATGGATTTTGATTTTATTACCTGTCTTTAGGTAAATATTTTTGAATTGGCAACAGTGCTTGCCACGCATCACACGTTGAAATCTGCAAATCACGCGTAAAATATTCAACTTGGCAACATCTATAGGAGGCTAGACTCCTTCACATCGCGCAACTCACGCGCGCTATGCAAATGCCCGAATACGCCCGAATAACACGTGTTTGTTGTGGTCGTGTCTCGTCGCGAATTGCGGACAATCGCGAGTGCATTGTTTATGTTTATGTTAGGATAATGGTTAGGAGCTCTATAAATTTCTGAAAAAAGAGTGTTTCAAACGATTGCGATTTAGTGGACCCATTCAGTGCTTTGTCCTATGAAGATAAATTGACAAACGTCCGACACCGGAATTAAAAAATCTGATTGTAACAGGTAACAAACAAAATCGTTCGTTCAATTCTGATGAAAAAAAAAAAAAATATATCTGGTTGACGGGATCTGAGGTAAGGAATAAGCTATTTTGTTCGTACTGCGTATTATTTTCAACCGATAAGTCGTCATGTTGGGGGCGATTAGGATATAATGATTTGAAAAATTTGCCTCGCGGATTGGATAGACACTGCAAATCACAGGAACACATCTCTTCAAGTATTAAGTTCAGGTTAACTGGTAAACAGAATGTCATTAAAGCTATTGATTTGGGTGAGTCGTAGAGAGTTGTTTTTCACAATAAATCTCATATCATTCAGTCTTCTTTGTCATGGAAGTCACGAGCCGCCACTGAATGATTACATTTTACTTGGCACTTTGCTAAAAAAGAATGAGGATGGTTTCTTCAAGATGTTACACGATATTATTTTCTGCTCGGATTCTCCCTAAAAAGACATGAAACTTTCAAGGTGAAGGATGTAATCCGAGCAGATGTTTATATAGTTTGTCATCTTACAGGCACCATTTAACTTTTTCACCAATAGCTTCCAAAGTGTTTTTATACCAATCTCAAAGTAAATCAGATGAGTAGAAGCGATTCAAAATTAACTTTTGAGATTTGACATAAACACAGGTAAACTTGGAATAAAGCTTATTGAACAGTGAGGGCTAACATTATTGTCCACCAGATCGCGCTACTAAAACGTGAGGTCAGAGTTGGTAGAACTGATAAATACACTTCTTCTTTTCGTGTTATTTGGTCTATTCCTATTTTATTTTTTCTCCGTCAATGTAAAAATCGGTCGTAAAGTTCCACATTGAGAGTAAAAAAAAACGAAAGTCTGCTCAAGTATTTCTATTTGTTCAAATATTCTACACGTCAATATTTCCGAATATTTTCGATAAAATAGGCTACAGCCTTGATGGCTATCCGGCAAAAATTTAGAATTTTTGACTTTGAAATTGACCTCACGTTTTAGTAACGCCAACTAGTGAGACTGAAAATGTTTGCCATAATTGGTGTAGTCCACAATGAACTCAATGTGTTGTTTATATTGAGTTAATTGGTAGTTTATCATGCATGAGCTTTTCGATGAGCCCATATTATTTTTTAATTTGAAAATGAAAGTCGGGGTCAGGGAGGTTCGGGGCTGACGGTTTGATGAAAAATAATTTATTTTATCACCAATTCCATTCTGTAGGCATTGAATGCTAAGAGGGACATTTGCCATTATACAGACATTATTGATTGAATTCTTCAAATCTTATTTCATCTGAATTTTTTTCCAGAATATATGTGGAAGCGTTTGAATGCAGAACAGGGAACTAAAGAACTTGGTCTTTGGATAGAAAAAAACACATTGTGTTTTATAGATATTCCCAGATATTTAGTTCCATGTTACTTTGATGCTGTAGTAACTGGTATTTACATTCTTCTGGTAGAACAATGTCATAAGTTGATGAACAGGTATTGTATTCATGTGATATCCAGAGAATGAAAATATCTTGAAATTGTTTTTTTAGTTTTGTTGAAAACGGATCTACATTTGTGAGAAGTTTAGCTTTAGGATCTGTTCAATGTGGTGCATATATCAAATCTGCGAACCTGCCAACTTTGTCGCCAAATTTGAAAGAACCCAAACCTCCTTTGAGAAGAAATGAAAACGGAGAAGATGTACAGGCTTGTATCACATTATCTGCAGGTGAGCTAATGTGCAAAATCTTCATGTCACGGTTGACAGAACTTTCGAATAATATATTACTACCGGTTAAATATTTTTCATCTTACTCAAACCTAAGATGGCTCTCAAACCCATTCACTGTGATCGTAACAAAAATTAGAGGAGAATGGGAGCTATAGAGAGGTCGGTTAAGGTATGGATATTCACCTCAAAAATAAGAGTAGGTACCCTGTACCTATTACAAAATAAAGTAAGTTAATTACCCATCTTTCTAGAATTATGCAGTCGTAACCAAAATGCTTCCATTCAACTCATAGTGTGAAAGTTATTACAATTGACGATAAACCAATATTTAGTCTCCTTGTTTGAAAAATCTTTTAATAAGAAGAATCTAGTATATTGAAAAATTTAGAATTTCACTTATCTTTGGAAGTTTTGGGAACGAATAATAATAATGAAAATAATATCTTTATTCATTATTTACACATTATATGAAAATAAATTAAAAATAATGAAAGAACGGGGTTCAGCTACAGAGATGCTTTTAAACCCAACCGCAAGAATATTAACATACCACATACATACTATTTTAACAATATAAGATGACCTAGATACAAAAAAACTAAATGTTCAAGACTATGTGTACATACATATACCATGACCAAGATGAGTATAAGAGCCGTTGTACAAACATTTTTATTGCTGCCTTGCCAGAAACATAACTTTGAGTATTATTTTGAAATGTTTTAGGGAAAGTTCATTTTATCCACAGGGGTGTCATTGTAAAGTTTAGCCGCATTATAAGAAAAACTTCGTGTGAAAATCGACTTATTGTGCTTGAGAATTAATAGTGTATGCCGTTTTTTTCTCAGTGGTAGATGTTTACATAAAAAAGTGAGTGTCAGGATATTTTTATTAATGATCTTGCATTTATCATTATAATACTCAGATTTTGGGAGTAAATACCGTGTTCTATTGAGATCAACTTCAATAATTGATATTTCCTTAATATAAAACAACTGGCAATATAGGGAAACGGATTATGACGTCAGTACTGAATAGCCGAGTTTGCCGCCGAACGCTCAGTTTCAACGGTCCATAAAATTATAAGGTGTTCACTCTATTCCGATTAAAAAAATGAATGCATTCATATTTCAGCTATATGAAAATTTAAATCGAATTCATCTATTGTATTCTTGCCAATACGAATTTGTTTATTTCCAATTTGGGTATTGGATATTTATTTTATTCAATTCAGACCAGGAAAGAGTTCCTCTTATCCTGATATCTATTTGAAACAAAATGAAAACGGTATTGAAGTTTGATGCGAACAGCCCTTCTGTACCAAATAAGTATTCTGGTAATAGAAAAAGATCGAATGGAATAAATAAATATCAAAAACTTGAGAACAGTAAATTTGGTCATAATGTTGATATTTTCTCAAGTGTATGGACAATCTCGGTCTTTTGAACTTTGATTGATCACGTGGGTCATAATCAACTGCATTTCGAAGAAGCTGATTCTCATGAACCTCAGCATTTTCGAAAGTCTTGATGTTTCGTTCTCTAATGACGGACACGATTGAAGGGAGTTTCAGATCCCTGGCGATCTGGTTATTCGGAACATACCAAGGAGATCCTGTCACCATTCTCGCGATTTTGTATTGTAATGTTTGTAATCTGAGGATATGAGATATGTAAATATTCAATTTTTGTCTCAAATCCAATTCACTTCGTCTGTATAGAAATGAATACAGGGCTCCAATGGCTCGTTTAGCTTTTGAAACTTGCTGTTCAATGTGCTGGGTCCAGGTGAGCTTTTTGTCAATGCACACACCTAAGTATTTAACTTGTGAAGACCACTCTAACTCATGACCATCCAGGAACTATTCTGGTTCTGGGAGGCCTCCGCTCCCTTCCGAGTGCGACCAATTGTTTTTTTATGTTCTGGTTCTTACGAAAAGAGATATCATGTAATGTTCAGAGAACATCGTGCGAACCAAGGGAAATAAGGTAGAAATTGGTGTATTTCTTGAATTTCTGGAGGTTATATGCCTCGGGGAACACCTCCCTTGTGTTTTTGTAGGATTCAATTTGATCTTCCATCTTAGGAAGTACTCCTGAAGAGAATTCAGCGCGCTTTGGAGGTTCATAGCTGCTTGCTCGAAATTTGTCGAATATGCAAGAACTGCCGTATCATCAGCAAAAAGCGACATCTGGCACATCACTGGTCACGGCAAATCGCTAGTACATAAACTGATCGTTGATCATCAACTTTCACTTAAAAAGTTCGATTTTTTAGAAATTGTAGGGTATTCACTCTATTCAGTTTGAAAAAATGAAGGCATTCATACAGCAGCTATATGCAAAGTTAAATTGAATTCATGCATTGTGTTCTTGCCTATACGAATTTGTTTATTTCCAATTTGGATATGTTGAATCCATGCTACATTATTTATTATCAATCTGAATATTATCATTCTCAATTCCAAAATGGTTACTTTCAATTAAAAGTTGATGAGGTATAGTTCAACTTCACGATAATCTTTTTCCTCCTATAGGATTACCCCACTTCTCTGTCGGCTACATGCGAAACTGGGGCAGAGACACCTTCATCGCTTTGAGAGGGCTCTTCATCCTGCCCGGTCGCTACCAGGAGGCCAGAGAGCACATCCTGGGCTACGCGGCCTGCCTGAGACACGGCCTGATCCCTAATCTTTTGGACGGCGGCCGCAACTCGAGGTTCAACTGCAGGGACGCCGTCTGGTGGTGGCTGTACTGCGTCAAAGAGTATGTCGGCGAAGCTCCCAACGGTATCGCCATACTTTCTGATAAGGTGTGTTGATTTTTATTGCTATTTGTATCATCTGTATTATGGTGTTTTAATCGTCTAGCCGGACCATACCGTTACCACCGATACAACAAGGCCTGCATGCTCCGTGGGTGACGTCACTTAGTGAGGCCTAACCAGCGGCTCGAAACGACAAGCGCTTATAGCGCTATAAGGCGACCGCGTATTTCGATTTTAGTTTTAGATCATCATTGAGCCGATTTTGCTGTTTTTTAAAGGGCTTCCGGTTAAAAAAGGATGCCAGTCGTCAACTGAGCCCTTCTTCGCACCCCATTCGATTTTATTATGGAAAAACGAAGTTTTAAAGCAAAAACCAGGATAAAACACAAATATCCACCTACAGCAACCCATTCGAATTAAATATATTGGCAAAAATTGTGGTGAAGGTAAACTTCACACCTACTTATACAGGGCCCGCAGAACATAAACTTATCGTGAGATTGATCGAAAGAAAATTGTGGAAAATGTATTTTATTTTGACTGACATGCCGTTTGTTACAATTACCTATATTTATCTTGGAGAATTCCTATTACCTGAAAAAATAACCAGTGAGTGTTTTCAATTTTCTGCTGTTGGATTTTTACCCAAGTGGATCGTTACACTTGAAACCGTAATTTTTAAGGGTAAAACTGCATTTATCATGCGATGGTTTTTTTTTGAAAATTTTTTCAAGAAAAAGTTCGAAATTTCGCCTTCTTTCTCCCCTTGTGTTGGGGGCATTTGAAGCTACTTGCTCTTATTTTGTCATTGGACACTTTATATACTCATGATGTACTTCGATGGCACATTTTTATATAGAAAATTCAACAGGAAATATGATTTTTATGGCGAGTTTTTCATATTTAGTGAACAAGCATTCCAGATGACGACCATTTAATCAATAGTCAATCAAAATACGAGATGTCAAATGTCAATAGATTGCTTTCGAATGACATTACACACGCCATTATTTTGAATGATATTCTTCCTTCTTTTCACTAAATATGGATTAATCTCAAGAAAATCATATTTATAGTTGAATTATATATAAATTGTCCAATATGATGAAAAAAGAAGGGAAACTTGTTCTAAATGCCATCCAGAAGACAGGTGAAAAAGAAGGTGAAATTTGGAACTTTTTAGTCAAATATCTTCATGATAAATATCATGATAAATGCAGTTTTACCTTTTTAAGTAGAGTGTTTGTAGTTCATGTTAATATGATAGTTGCAATTTGATCATTGGAATGAATTCTGCATTCATTGCCACGAGGCAAATGACCGTTTTCAGAAGGAAATTTGAGAATGAGAATTAAAAATGCCCGTTTATTATGAACATTCAAGAAAATTTCCTCGAATTCAGAGATGATTTTGTTGACTATAATATACGAATACAAAACTAACTGCACAATCAAAGCTTTTCTATTTTTCCTCTACTTATACTTTTTATGAGAGAGTAATTGTCTTCTATTATTAATTCATCATTATAAATTAAGCTCTGTTTACTACTGAACTTAGATACTTAGATGGAGTAAAATCCTCGCGGTGAATTGCATATACTTACCCACATTTTCGATAGCTCCTCGTCCAACGGGAAACTAAAAGCATGAACTTTTGAACCACCCACATAATTCCCCCGACAAAAGGGAACACAACACTTGAAAGGCATTGTTATTTCGCCGATCACAACACAAAATATTTCACAAAACAGTAAATTTTCGTGAATCACCGATGAATTAACACGAACTGACGCGTTAGTAGACAAGCGATAAAATAAAACACTGGCCTCTTTTGGCGACGTCACGAGCTGTTTACGCCAGAGTCTGCTGGCCTTGTTGTATCGGTGGTAACGACCATACTCCTATGGGTCCCAGAAGTCCGCATACACATTGCATCATCTCAATCGTCTGCCTTCTCACGCGCTGTACGTTTATTATTTTTGGTTAGGCCCAAGTGATTTTAAGCTTTCTTTCATCGTTCTGTTGTTAAAACTCAACGAAGATTTATAAGGCTATTTATATGCATTACAAAATCAAATGGTGAATGGTGAAACTTCATAGGCCGAATAGCAGATATTAGAAGCGTATAGATAGCAGAGACTTCGACGGCGTAACGAGTCGTAAAACAGTCCCCAAAAAATCATCTTGTGAAAATTAACCACTCTTACACTAAACACTTAATTCGTATCGTTTCAGTTCACGTCCGGATTATTCATTCATGCTGATGAGATCGATTTTACTCTATTTATTAAACTCTTAACTGCCAAACTTTTTTTGTGTTATATACAACCTCGAGATCTTGAGTATAATAATTATTTAATCATTCTTTGACGACTGAAGTGTTCTATTACAGGTGTCGAGGATATTTCCCGACGATGATTCATCGGCACAAGATCCCGGGGTAGTGGATCAGCCTTTGTGCGATGTCATTCAAGAGGCGCTGAGGGTGCATTTCCAAGGGCTGATATTCAGGGAGAGGAATGCTGGTAGACAGATCGACGAGCACATGACTGATCAAGGGTTCAACAATCAAATTGGAATTCACCCAGAAACAGGTATGATTTCATCACAAATTAATTTGTTTCACAAGTCTTACCATGTCTCATCACCTTATTATTATTATTATTTTTTGTTAAATTTCGTTAATTCAAACAACATTTATTACAATATAATTCGACATATGTAAAAATATCTCCAATCAATGCTTCAAACACTGGGATCGAGACTAACAACATTTAAAATTAATACAGTGTTACAAGGGCAGTAATGTTTAGATAAACCTTCAATGTTCTAACAAATCTCCTATAATTAATCAAGTCTTTTATAAACTGAGGTAATTTTTTTTTTTCTTGTATATATTTGGTAGATGTTATTATGTGATATTGTTTGGTAATCATGTACATCAAAGCAAAAATCATATTTATTTACTTTTTTGTTGATTATTAATTATTTTATAAACAAGTTTGCATTGTTCTATATCCAGAATTGCTTTTATTTGAATTAAATTCAATTCTGAATAAATTATATTTGTGCTAGTGAGCCAATCATACTTGAATAATATTTTAAAGGTTTTGCTTTGTAATTTCTGAGCTTTATCAAAATAAACTTCTCTACACATTCTCCACACAGGCACAAGATACCTGAAGTGTGTTAAGAAAAAAGAATTATAAATCTTATTTTATTTATTTCTTTTTATTTATTTAATTTCGTATAGAATACATTCATAATGAATTATTCATTCATAATAAATCTGAAATTTACTTTTCATATACAGATAATCTCGACATTTATAAAGAGCGGATAGCATTGCAACAATTTTTTCAGAGATTTTGGAAATATGTGGAAACCAGTTCAAATTTTCATCTACAATTGATCCCAAATATTTTATACACATTACTTTCTCTAAAGGTACACCATTCATATTAGATTGAAATTCGTCAATTTTTTTTTGCTTAATTACAATATATTTGGTTTTATCAATATTACTTTATTTGAAAACAGCCATTTACGGTAAGCAATTAGACCATTATTTGCTTGAATATTGAGGGTGATTTCATCTGATCCTGCGTTCTGCAAAGGTGAAACAACTTTCCCCAGATTGGAAAGTTCAAGTAAGTACATTCCCTCTATGTTTTGTAAATTAATGGAACAGCAGATTCTCTCGAACGGATATTAAAATCTTCTGTTCGAAAATGGGCCTAAAATATTAATTTCATTCTAATCTGCTGTTATAAGAAAGGAATTTTAATGTATGTACCTCTCAAATTTTGGTTGACTTCAAATTTTCAATCCAGGTCGTTTCATAAATTCCTTTTATGGTGATGGTTGATATTTCCTTTGGAAAATAAAAGGAATAAAATCCATTCTATTCAGAATTCCCACAATTCATTACGCAGCGGGACATTTCCATTTATGTTTTTCTCCCAATAGTTTATGAAATTATATTTCAATTCTGGCGTTCATAAAATTTGTTGTAGAATTCAAACAATTTTGAATGAAAAAGCGCGGAACGACTATGGTGCTCTTGTCACAATGGAAGGTGTGTAACTTAATAAATCTATACATTCAAAAACACTAAGAGATGTCATTTCTGTGTCCGAACTCTAATATAACAGAATATTGGTGGACGATAATATAACTAATACCATCCAGTGACTGTAGGACGATCCAGTGGAAAATCAAAATATAACAGCCCTCATGCACTAACAAAAAGAAGTAGGAACCTGCAGAGTTTAAAAACTCTAATTGACATTAAATGAGCTATTGAATGTTAGAATTGATGAATATATTTGAATCTGGTCTGTACATAGACATATCTTTTTATGTCTATGGGTCGGTATCATAGAAAAAAGTTCAATTAATTTTGTTATCAACAGTACTCAAAATATGTATCACCACATAATTATGTTGATCGACGTGTTATGACATGCTATCACTGCATAGTAGTCACCTCAGAGTACCTTATAAATGTCATAGCCAAATCTATAAACAATATTAAAATATTCGAGATCTCCTCAGAAAAACTTCAAAGACCGGTATCTCAATAACGAACCATTCTTGATCATGAATTCATAAGCAGAGACAAAATCATTTCATCGATTTATGAATATATTTGAATAGTTATTATAACTTGATCATCTTGTATACATAAAAAACTATTCAATAAAAGTCCATGGAGCCGCCTATGCCCATCTTTTGTTTTCTGTAGTTGCTCGTAAGTTACTTATGATAATTCAATAAAATACGTGAATTTCCAGGTTTCGTATTTGGTGGTAACCAATGGAACTGCGGCACCTGGATGGACAAGATGGGTTCTTCGGACAAAGCCGGCAACCGTGGTAAACCAGCCACGCCCCGAGATGGTTCGGCCGTCGAACTAATAGGTCTCTCTAAATCGGTCATCTCTTGGCTTTCTGAACTCAGTGCAGAACAGAAATACCCCTACAACTGCGTCGAAAGAACTCACAAGAACGGAACAGTGACCACATGGACCTTCGAGGAATGGAACGACAAGATACAGTCCAACTTTGAAAAGTGCTTCTGGGTGAACTCCCAACCGACAGACGGAGAAGTCAGACCGGATTTGATAAATAAACGAGGAATATACAAAGACAGTTACGGGGCTAGTCAGGATTGGACTGATTTTCAGTTGAGGTGTAATTTCCCTATCGCAATGGTAGCAGTAAGTATTTTTTTTCGAGTGTCCCAACAAACGTTTGTTTTATTATTTTCTCGATGAATTTCAGGCTCCTGAACTGTTCAATCCTCACCATGCATGGGAAGCATTATCTCATGCAGAAAAATATTTACTGGGTCCTCTAGGCATGAAGACTTTAGATCCAGAAGACTGGGCCTATAGGGGTGACTATGACAATTCGAATGATTCAAATGATCCAACCATAGCAAATGGATTTAATTACCATCAGGGACCGGTAAGTTCCCGAGTTTTATCTTCTTTTGGCAAACATTTTGGTTTTTGAATTCTTATATTTGTAATTATTACTATGCTTATTACGTCATTATACCAGGTCAATAATATTAGAATCCTATTAGAATTCAATTATGAACAGTATCACTTGAAAAGGTAAAAGTTGGTTTCTAGAAAATGCAAATTAAGTCAACCAAATGTTTTCCTCTTTCCTGATTTTATTCTTGTTCTTATTATTTTGATTATTTATATTCAATTTAATTATTTACATTGTGAAGAACATGTTTATACATAAAATAATTCATCCCTTTCACACACATACTAACCTATGTGAATGAGGAACACTTCGATATATATGTAACTGATAAACTGATATTCATTGACAAAATATTAATATTTTACTTGATTCCATAAAGGAGTGAGTACATGAATCTAATATATAAAATTCTCCTGTCCCGGTCACGGTGTTAGTGGTCGAACTCCTCCGAAACGGCTCGACCGATTCGTATGAAATTTTTTATGCGTATTCGGTAGGTATGAGAATCGGTCGTAATCTATTTTTTAAATAGAAAATTCAAGATGGCGGACGAGTATTGTTATCCGATTTATTTCAAAATTGGTATTTGGGGGTTTTCGGGGTCGGAGACTATGATTCTTTCATCAAAATTACGAAATTCAAAATGGCGGATCCAATATGGCAGACGAGTTTTGCAATTATGCTCAGATTCCATTCAAAATTGGTATCTGGAGGTTTTAGAGATATGGATCATTTGTCAAAATGGGGAAATTCAAAATGGCGGATCCAATATGGCAGACGAGTTTTGTAATTATGATTCAATTATTTTAAAAATTGGTATCTGAGGGTTTTCGGGGTCGGAGATTACGGTTTGTACGTCAAAATTTGGAAATTCAAAATGGCGGATCCAATATGGCGGACGAGTTTTGTAATTATGGTCAGATTCTATTCAAAATTGGTATCTGGGGGCTTTCGGGGTGGGAGATTATGGTTGTATTCTTTAAAATTGGGAAATTCACGATGGCGGATCCTTTATGGCGAAAGAGCTTTGTAATAAATAGTACTTTGAGAAACTATAATGAAACACGCTTTTATGAATAGCCAAACTTGAGGCCAAACTGAATAGAAGTAGAACATTGATAGTACAGTTTGAAATACTAATCAAACACGATTTTATGGATAGCCAAACTGAAAAGGAATAGAAAACGAAATAATGAAAGTGTGCTGATAAATATTTAACTAAAAAAATATTTTCTAGAAATAGATGTATATAGCAAAACAACGTTTGCCAAGTATCAGCTATTTTAATATATAGTTTGAAAAACTAATGAAACACTTTTTTATAGATAGCTAAACTAAAATGAAGTGAGTAGAAAATAAAGAGAAAAAATGAAGAGATATAAAGCGCCGAACTAAAAAGTAGAAAATAAATAGAATAGTTTGAAAAACTTGAGAATCCCGCTACCATGGATAGCCAAACTAAAACGAAGTAGGAATAAAATAATAAAAGATTTTTGATGAATATTTATCCAACAAATTTTTTTCAAGAAATAACGTTTATGGCAAAACAACGTTTGCCGGGTCAGCTAGTAAATAAATATAATCCTCGATAATTCAGAGACATATTATTTTATTGTCGATTTTTGTTGTTGCTTGTTGACACATTATCTATTTCACGTCAAACAATAATCTTTTCCCAATATGTTTTGGAAATTATGTCTAAAGCCACTTGTTACAATACGATTCATAACCTTACTTACAACTGAAATATTCGCCACTACTACATTATAGATTAAATTGTGCCCAGATTACTGTTTTGTTGTAGACCCTTTAATCAATTCTATTTACTTATTTCTACTCCAAACGTCGAATCATACTGCTGGACGTTTTTTTTTTCAATTTCCACTAGCGAATTGCTTTCTTAGTTCATCTGCATTTCTGCACTATTTCAGATATTCTGAAAAATATTGAACTGTGCTGTAGATGAGGATATTTTGGCAGTTTAAATGTAAATTATTTTCGAAAAAACTAAAAACAGTTCGTAATTGGGAGGGGAAAAAGACAGGGAAGGAGAGAAAAAGGGAATAACCTACTAGCCTACCAGGAATGATTACCGAAAATTAAATACTAAACCGCCCCTTATCAACTTCATGTCTTATTTTAGGAATGGGTGTGGCCAATGGGTTTCTTCTTGAGGGCAAAATTGATTTTTGCCGAACAAAATGGGGCATTGAAACAGACATTAGCAAGCACGAAATTGATACTAGCGAAGCATTTCGCTGAGCTGCAGACTTCCGCTTGGAGGGGGCTTCCAGAACTCACGAATAGTAACGGAGCGTGTTGTCATGACAGCTGTAAAACACAAGCATGGAGTATGTCCTGCATTCTAGAGGTATGTCTTTTATAATCTTTCTTTAGTGTTGTTGACAGACAACTTTTGGATACTTAATTTTTTGGCGCGTATTAATTTTCCGCTTGTGAATCTTAAGCACCAATGGGCGTGTACACCTTAGTAGAACTTTTAACTCAAACCATGTTTATAATGATCCTTTTATACATAAATAATGATTGACGACATAATTCGATCGGAAAATTAACTGGAATATTTTATTTTTGGACATAAATAATAGTACCTTCTGAAAACGGATCCTCTTATGACGTAGAAACCTCATCTCCCCATAGTTAAGAGAAAATACCAAGCAAATGTAGATTGACTGCCTTGGCTGAATTCCTAGCTGCCTAGTGAAACAAATAACTATTGTTTGACATACAGCGTCATAAATGATGTTCATGAACTGTCGAAAACATGTTAGCAACTTCATAATGAATGGCAGTTGTTAAAAACATGTAGTTTATTTATTAGTAGATCATGTATGAGTTAAGGTGGATTCATGCTACATCAACTAAATTATAATGAATTTAAGATGTAAACGAATTTTAAATTAAAAATATATGGGTGTTCATGCAATAACCTTTCATCAGCTGTTTAATCTTTTTCCAGCGCGGCTAGTTATTATTTGGCGCATGCGCTGTTGTGAATTATGGAAGAAATTAATTTCTCAGTTGAATGTTGGCCTTGCATGAGCACCTACATTACATTTCATAGTTTTATATTATAGTTTTAAGTTTAAAATTCATTTAAGTTTTAAATTTTGCTTGCATGAATCCACCTTTAGTTAACGTGAAGCATAAATATGTTTATTCTGAATGTCACACTTTCATAATGAAAAAGAGATCAGAACTACGAACTACTAAACAGTGATGTGATATGACCTTGAAAATACAGGAAAAGTTGATACTGAAGTTTTTATTTATATTTTTTAGGTTCTTTACGATTTGCAAAAGATCGAGTCGAGTGTGAACCTCTCAAGTGACTGACTTGCCTGCAATTTAGTAATTAGGAAAAGCAATGTTAAAAATAAGTATCATGATAGAGATGTATTGAGAAAAATAGTTGAAAAACCAAAAACTCCTTCCCCTAGAATATTCAGGATTTTGCGTAGACTAAAAATTCACACTGAAACTGTTCCTTCCATTGAAGAAACCTTGAGAATGTCTTGCCCGAGTGAGGAGGCTCAAAAAATTCCACCATTTTTAAATTGTTTGTTTTTGCCATATATTGACATTTATATTAAGCATAATCATACTATAGATTGTAGGTTAATTAATTTGAACACCTTTGTACAAAGTGATCGAAATTTACTCGTATCTAAGAATGTTCAGCTTCCCTCTGTCTATGTGCCTGTTTGTTCCAAAGTAAGTGATTTTTTTGCAAATCCTCGTGTTTCAACTAATGCGGAAAAAATGGAAATTTGCTCAGAAAGGAGTTTTTCACCGATGGTCACACATGAAAACCTATCAGCAAATCACTATTCACTAGGTAGCAGAATGAGTTCGAAAAAAAGGAGAGGAACAAAGGTTAATATGGACGAAATTGTCACCGTGAGAGAGGAAATTTGCAATTGGGAAAATGATGCAACTGAACTAGTAGAAAATAGGATGATGACACATCCACAAATTATTGAAGAGGGTGTAATTTTACTGGATCCTCTCCTTTTAGATCTAAATTCTAGTAGTAAGCAGATGACAATTCAGGCTGAACATAAACAGATGGCGAGAATCACAATAATATATACACTGGCCTTTTTTGTATTGGCAATAATAACTTTTTTAGTATTTATCTTTTTTGAGATTTCGATTCGATTTAGAAGACTGTATTTCGAGGCCTCTAGTTTTTAGATATTTATTCTGTGTATTTTAACAGTTCAACAGTTATATTTATAGGTAATCTGTTGTTTTCTTTATTGTTGATTATTCATGTTGAAGATTTTATCTATATTAAAATATGTATTGTGAGTTGCCAAATTTTATGATCTATGGAAATAAAGTTACAAGTAGGTATATTGAGGATAGTGTTTTATCTGAATTTATGCAATAAAAGAACTAAAAACTGATTTTAATCTTTATTGCCGCTAAATTATGGTAAGGAATGTAAGTACTTTTCACTTCTACAGAAAATCGAAATGAACCATTTAGAGCCGAATAATTATTACCAAAAAGGCGCCATTAGAAAGCTTGATTGAAAAACAAAATGACTAGATATGTGGAGGAAAAGTGAATATTTGCAATTAATAAGAAAAAAAAAATGGAATACAATTGAATCATTGAAAATATAATAAATAATATGTGTTCATAATTGTCTATATTTCTCCCTCAAATAATAAAAATATGGAATTATTGGAGGATATAAATTGCTGATCAAAAGTGGGATTTATGAAATTCAACAACTGATATATTCACCATTCCCACATTTTGCTAGATACGATTATGTTCAGATAACTGATTATCCAGTTATTTCCAGAATGCCTGATCATATTCCTCGAAACAGTTTTAATTCATGCCATAAATTTACTTGTGGAATCAGGAAGGAGAAAATAGAATTACAATGAACTTTTCATCAGCATTTTAAATCCTAATATGATTTCAACAATACATCGGAATGTTTGTTGACCATGCTACAGGGTCTCCTTCGTAACATGGTAGTGACCATTGACATTTTTTCCTTTTGCCACTCTACTTGTGTTAATTCAACAACATTGAAGCAACCGAACGTGTATTTATGGTTACATCACCAACAAAATATTTCAATGGCCACTAAGATGCAACAATCATTTATTTATATACCCCACACATGCAGTTTGTCCCAAATTCGACTGTCACTAAAATTCATTTATTTCATTGACATTGAAATAACTTCAATAGATCTCTTCGATCAGGTATCCTAATGGTTCCAACACCATGAATGTTCCTTAATTTGGTGCAAAGGCCTGTTCGTTTGTGTTGCCAAAGTTGCTAAAGTTGATTTTGTTTCCATAGTTGTCTGTTCATGGCATGATGTAAACAGAGAAATTCATAGAAAAAAATCAAGTTTAGCAGGTAGAGCAAACACAAACGAACAGGCCTACTGTGTTTGAAGGAACAAAGAGACACTTGGAAAGGCCTAAATGATAAATATAGCAGGGCCGTAATAAGGCGAGTGAGATAATCAACTTCGTTATTTTGTAACTTCTATATGGGAAATTTTTGGCGATTTTGTCTACTTTGATGAGTTCTACATCATCTTGAAAAAAATCCTCATCTTTGAAAACACAATACCCTGCATAAACGAATTAGATATTTCATCATCTATCAAATCCTTTATGCCTCCGACCTTAAGCTATTTTCACTTGTTTATGATTAAACTTTATTGTCCGGAAATGATATTTTCATTATGTACATTTAGTCTCACCAAAAAATTCAATGCCTACTTCACCATCCGAAAACGCCTATACTATATGTCAACATTGTACAACTTACAATATACAGGGAGTCCCGAAATTAGCCTGTCAAACTTCAACAGCTGCTTCTACGATCAAAAATAGGAAGAAAAGTTTCAATGAACATGAGATGAGAAATGTCTCCTAAGAAAGCTACGGCCCCCTGAAAGGGGGCTCCTGAAGATGATATTTCTTGACTATTTTCGAAACTCCAAGTGATAAAAAGATGCAATTTGGTACAAGAACTAAACTTCCCATGCCTAATGCAGTGAGGATAAAATTATTCCAAAATTTCACTCAGGAGTGTATAATACATGGTGGGACTACATTATATATTGCTCAAAATTTTTTGTATGCATATTTTTAGACAATTCAATCTCGGATTATGGAAATCCACACCTCTTTACAGAAAAAAGGTACTCTTGTTCCGTAACGATCAGATGTATCATTATCAAATACATGCATAACATTGCAATGAGTCGTAGTGGAAATGAAAAAAAAATGCACATAAATTGAAGTAGTTTTTTAATCATCATTTTCCTATTTTTCGCGCTTTCATGAGATTGTTTGGTGAAAAGAATGATATGAAAATTGGCAATGTTAAGCATAAGATACAAGTGTATCAATATTTTTAAATCGATTTAACTTGAAAATGATACATCTGACCAATGCGGACCAAGAGCATTTTTTTTGTGAAATGGTGTGGATTTTCATAATCTGAGATTGAATTGTTGAAAAATGTGCACACAAAAAAGTTCGAACAATATTGTATTATACACTCCTGAATGAAACTTTGCAATGATTTTATGTTCACCGCATTGGGCATGGAAAGTTTAGATTTTGTACCAAATTACATCATTTCATCACGTGGCGTTTCGGAAATATTCAAGAAATTTCATCTTCAGGAGCCCCTTTTCAGAGGGCCATAGGAGACATTTCTCGACTCATGTGCATTGTAACTTTTATTCCTAGTTTTGGTCGTAGAAGCCGCTGGTGAAATTTGGCAGGAAAATTTCGGGACACCCATGAGTAAGCTTCTCATTACCTATTGAGTAAAATGAAGTCATCACCATTTTCACTTAAATAGTTCAGCTAATGAAAAAAATAATGTAATTTTTCTAGGACTACTTCTGTGAACTGTAAGTGGCCTAATATCAATAATGAAATTATTGTAATTGTACAATTATCAATGTTGTAATAACATATTTCTACGAGTTAAACGGTTTTGAATACCACTTTGAGAACCCAACTCCAAGTGAATCTGGCGAGGATCGAATTTGAGACATGTAGGGTGTGTCTCAATTAAATTAAATAAATTCACTAGGCCTTTACTTGGACTCAAAATAGATCACATCAAAACACCCTGAACAGAGACATCTTCTTCACAACTCAAACGTCATCGAAGATGCCTCTGGGTGCGCCGCCTACCCTACTCCTATAGTTATTGTCCAATTGATAGCTGTCCGAGAACCTGGGTTCCAAATCGGAGGAGTCGTACCGCTCGTTGATTCTCGTGCTGGCCCCGAATCGGGATTCGATGTCGTCTTGTTCGGGAGGGAACCGGGTATCCACGTCCGAGGAGAACCTCGTGCCGCTATAGGACTCCAGCCCGTGGGAATCCCTGAGGACCGAGCGGGTGTTGTCCAAGGTATCCATTTGACGAACTATAAATCAATTTGTCATAATTATCGCAAGGAATCTTCGCATGAACTGAAACTATTGATTGTCGTTATCTCAGAGTAACTAGTTAAAAACGGTGATTTATTTTGCTTGTTCCTTCTGCGGAAAAGGCATCACATTCTAAGGATCTCTGTGCAACCACTGTCAAATCCATAATTCGAGAGGATAAAGAGCTTATAACAAAAAACAACCTTCAGAAATGCATTACTCTAATAATTATAAACTTATGAGTTATTCAACTAGTAATAATAAGCTAAAATACTCAAGTGGAATGAAATGGTAACAAAGAGGAAGAAGCTCAAAGGCATTGCCACAATAGTTAGTTAGCTTTGGCTCTCCTCAGTGCCCCCAGATGACATTCGTGATCGCCATCTGGTGTGAACCTGACGCAACGTGAACATCTAACACCTCTCAGTTCGACCACTGCCCCAGACGGCGTTGTGGTCGAACGCCTAGTGGGTATTGAATGTTGTTTAAAATATTAAAAATATCAAATAACCGAAGACGTTACAAAATGACTTATTATTATGTTACATAAGTGAGGGCCAATTTATTAATGCATATACACTCATTTATAGAAATTCCGATTCATTGAACAGAATGTTGACAGAATATAAATCAAAAGTATACGTATTGGTATTGAATAAACAAAAAAACCTTACGAAGTATAACTTGTTGTAAGGTATATAAAATAAAAATTGAATCAATTGATTAATTCGAGACAGAAGTAATTTATAAATAAAAATGTATTGTTTTTCATTCAATCATTGGGTATAAGTACAATTCAGTACTGTTTCAAATTTTGTTTATATAGATTAAATATTAACCAGAGAAGCAAATAAACTCGTTGAAGAGACTAATATCCAGTTTTTCATTTTAGTTTTGTAGCAATAAAAGGATTTGACTTCTTTAATATCATTTCTGTTTTTGAACATGTAAGTTGATAAACAAATATAAAGCTGATATATCCATCTTCTGCGATTCTTTGTAGGTCGGTAGGAAATAAATAATCTATTCCATAAATAATTTTCAAAATCCATTTTTGAATAATTTTTTTTCAAATATATTTGCTTTACTCCTCCCTATCCTAAAATCCCATAAACTAATTGAGATTGAACTAAAGCAAAATATATCATTTCCAAACAAGGAATGCTCAATACATATTTCAGACGTTTGAATTTAGGAATGACACATCGGAAGTTTTTTCGAATCATAATATACACGATAATCCCACTTCAGATTATTATCAATCATTATACCAAGGTATTTTATACAATTAGTTTCATGAATGTTGATTTTACTGCCGATTTTTATAGTACCTAAATTTGGCTGAAAATTTTGATAGGAAGTGAGTCATAAAATTGTTATTTTTTCAAAATTAATTGATAAATTATTAACAAACCACTTTTTGAGAATTGGAAAATCCATGACCACTTTCCTTTTCAATTCTACCCAATCCTTTAAAGAGTATAATGTAGGGTTTTCAATAAGAGGTGTTTTTTTTATATTCAAAGAAAAATGCAATTTTTTGATATAAATGATCAGATGTTTATTTCATTATGTTAATAGTGGAAATTACTATCATTCAAATGACCACCACGACCACGCCTACAGGACCATATTCTTTTCATGAACAATCAGTCACACTTTGAGGATAGAGAGGCTTTTCAACAATAACTCTTGGGTTTTCCGAGCCCCAGATGCAAAAATTTTGTTTGTTGACGAAGCTACCGTTGATGATCGTTCGGCTTGAGTTCTTGTGTTAACTGAACTTTATAAGCCTCAAGACCCAAATCTTATGCAAAATACGGTTCAATGACGTTTGTGGAATACCTAATTCCAAAGAACGACGAGGAATGGACAAACCTGGGTTTTCTCAACACTTTCAAGCTACAGCAGCAATATTCTCGGTTGTTCTTGAGCGCCGTGCACGGGTTCAACTAAGTTGTCCTACCAGCTAGAATTTTTCCACCAATTTCTGTATTGCGGTTTGACAAGGTGCTTCACGAGGACCCAAAAATATTCAAGTTTCACGAACCGTCTCTGCCAAATATTCACCATTTTTATAGTGAATTTTAATAATTTCATTGCGTTGTTGGAGCGTGTATCGTTCCATTTTTATCAATGGCGTAGTTTCTACTTGTCAAATGTCAATAAAAGACAGCTTCAAAAGTGATATCTACCGAAATAGCGGGCTATTCAAAATAACACCTCTTATTGGAACACCCTTTATAATGATTCTACAGTGTTATTCCCACCATTCGCGATTTCATTCCTTCGTCCATCTGGCGTTTAGGATTGTTGTGGCGTATTCTTTGTTATTTAGTCCAAGGTCTTTATCACCGCCAAAAAAAATTACTCTAATAGAGATATACAAGCTGATTCATTCAATTCCAAAAAATTAGGTGATAGATCTTCCAGAAAAATTAAGGACATACTACACCTTTATCAATTGTAATTCAGGGAGTATAAAGGCCGTGAACGTGTTGGCGCAATGATAGATGACAAATGCTGCGGTACTAGCAAATAATGAAATATGAGCACCTGTTTATATGCAGGTGTTCACGTCGAAGCGGCAGAGACTTGGCCGATCGGCGAAAAGTGCGAAACAGTGTTAATTTCTTTACTATTCACTGACAATTAGTCAACATAGATATGCAGAAAATGTATCGGGTGAACAACTAAGAACGGCTGTTATATCTATCATTCTTCCAACTTGAGATTTAGTTTCTCTATTACATCGTGTAATGATATGCATATACCATGAGATTTATTCTATCTCATAATTGTATCATTATTCGTTGCTGAGATATGGCCGACAGCCGTTCTTAGTTGTTCACCCGGTAGTGCTAATCAATGGATATCAACAAATCGATGCTCACTGCCAGTGATTAACAAATAAATAAACATCGTCGCGCACACATTATTGTCGTTGTCGGTCGGTAAAATCATTGCAATTATTCATTATTGAAAATGCAAACCATCATACAAAGAAGGCTATGAAATATTACAGACGACTCAATATTAAATAAAATGAGAAATTGGTCTTGAAATCATTGTGACTTAATTCAATTTGTGAAACTGATATTCATCATCCCCCTCCTTCAAAATAATACTATGTTGAAAAGTCCTGAGAACAATCCATTTTTCGCAAAAATATTTGTGGTGGACCAACTTTGGGTTTTTTGTATTTTTCTTTGAATACTATTTTGGAATCTTGTGTAACCAGATTGAAGTTAAAATTTAGGTTTGACTATTTCATTATGGTATGAAATAAGAGTACAAACATTGATGAAAACTGTGACAAACCTGAATCTGTACTGTTCCTTTGCTGCCTGAATCTTCCTGTTGAAGAAAATCTATCTTGGTACTCTCTTTTTCTAGTAGATGTTTCTTCAGCTCTTTGTCGTTTCCGTCTTTCTAAAAATTAAACATTGGTTTAACTGTATTTTATTCAACATCATAATCCTGTACTTCTTGTACTAACCTCTCTTTATCAGTTCTCTACCCTCTTCTACCAAATCAGTAGTCATTTCATCATCCCCAATAAACTGATGGAAACCTATCAAAGACAGTAACCTAGATCCTAAGCTAAAATATGTAGCCAAACAAAAGACTAGAATAGCCATAGGAAAATATATATTAAAACCATGTGATATAATGCTAATAACATCCATATGCCCCATCACCTGAAAATTGTTTTGACAGTCAATTGATTGATTTGATTTTTTTTTTAATTGTCCTTACTTGTGTATAAGAAGTCTCCATAACTTGTCTATCAATTATGTGACTGTCCATATGGATTATACCCAGAAAATTTAAGCATAAAGGTGGGGTTAGCCTACTCAACATCATTCCAGAGAAAATAAGGCTGTATTCATTGGTTTGATGATGAGGTGCCAAGTAGTACAAGTTCAACACCCTTATTTTAAGAACAGTAGAATAAGCACAGTAGCACAAATATAGGATAATCATTGTTGAGAGTAGCTGAAATCAGAATAATTATAGAGACAGTTGGGTAAATGATTAATCATTTACCTCTATTGCAAAATAATCATATTTTGTTTTCTTAACAATAATTGCAAATATTGATAATGGTGGAGATACATTGAAAAATGTAACTTCAGACCATACAACACAAATTGAAAATATCCCAGCTAGTATGGCCAATATTTTTTGTGTATAACAATAGATTACACATTTCCAATACCATTCTGAAAAAGAGGTGAGAACCAATTTGTGTGTGTGATATTTATCGAATTCATTTTTACCAACAGTAGAAGTGTAAATGTATCTTGTGAACCAGTTATGTTGTCTCTCAAAAGTCCTCTTGAACCTTCTTTCTGTAGATACTTGATTTTTCAATGTATCTTCCAGTTCAAACACTTTCTCAACTATAATACCCCATTGGGTTTCTGTTCTCTGCAAAACTTGGAGTGATTTGATGGTCTGAAAAAATGGAGAAATTCGACTTTTACAAGAATTGGTAATGGTGGTAGAATTCAATTTACTTGTTTATGTAATCTGATAAGAGCCTTGACAGAAGGGGGATCTGTGGGTGTATCTTCAGGTAACTGTCTGCGATTCATTCTGTCTTTCAACTCTGCTGGAACTTTTTGCAAAATTGTTTCTAAGTGGTAATGCAGCAAATGGCCAGATCTGACAGCTAAAGAAACTGCTTGAAGAGACTAAAACAGAAAATTATAATTGAATGTGTTGGCTTAGTGATCTAAACTTTAAAATTGGATTTTTGACAAACACTATTTGTGAGATTTATCCAGGATGTCCAGAAAAATATGGAAAATTCAAGTTGCATGTTACTATAGTATGAAATGAATTAATATCCTGCATTTTAGATCTTTCAGTTCAATACAGTGTAGTTCACGACGAGCTTACACTATCTTTATATCGAGAATCAGTCGGGAGAAATCCATGAAAATGTGCATGCTTATATTTTAGAATACGCTCTCTTCATTTAAAATTTTCGACAATGCAGTGTTGCCGCTTCTACTAGAAAGTAGTAGCAACATTGATATATCAAATGGAACACCCTGTATTTTACCGCATTTTTAGATTCTCCCTGAATCATACTTGGGGTCTATCGAAAATGATTACAGAGATATAGGGTGTTCGAAATCGAATTCAACTTTAAGATTTTTTTGTGTCGAAACTATTCATTATCGGTCAAAACGGCTCGCATGTTAATCTAGTGAATAGAGACACATAGAGGGGGTTCACCTTACGAACGGTCCGGTAGTTCTGAATTTTTGATATGTTATCTAGGATGGTTATTGAGTGTTCAAAATGCAAAATGCACAATTCCCCTCCCTCCGCGCCCTCCGTCATATTGAAACAACCCAAAGAAATCGGCACTTCCTCCAGATTTTCGCTTATATCTTCGTTTTGGTGCATTTTAGCTACAAATGAGTTTCATTCAATGTTGTAGAGGATTAAATTTCCTATAATTCTCGTTTCGAATTTTGTTTCTAGGACTGATAGTTACGGAGATATGATTTTTTTATATAATAAAAAAACGCATGTTCCGGAATTTTGTCAAACTTCTTACTTTAGAACGCTGTAATTCAGTTATTGCCTATTCTAGGAAAATAAGTTCCAGACTAAACAAGGCAAACTCATCATCAGACGTGGTGTTTGACAAAACCACTGTCAACACCGTACCTCAGGATACATTCTTGGCCAATGAGGGGAACAAGGACCGATTTGTGAAGCTGCTCTGCAATGAAATGCAAGCGTCAATTATAGCCTCAGACCAAACTTCCGAAGATGCTGACCGGTTGATAGTTGCCACAGCTGAATGTCTGTCCCCCACGTACGACGCCGTCATCATTGTCGGAGAAGACATTGACCTACTCGTCCTACTGACTGGCACAACACCCGCGGTGAACAATGTCTACCCCAAAAAAACAGTGAGAGGGAAACATCCAGACGCAATCTACTCCGCCTCCTCCTACAAGTACAACTCCAAAGGCTGTATCTTGCTCCTGCACGCAATATCGGGCTGCGACACCTCATCTAACATTTTTGGGTTAGGAAAAAACAAATTCTGACAACTTTTTAGGAACGACCCATCATTGCTGGAGCAAGCGGAGAGGTTCGAGGACCCTGCTGCCAGTCCCCATGAAATTTCAGCAGCAGGGGAGAGACACTTGGTGTCCCTTTGCTATAGCAGATTGAAAACAAGTACCACCAAACTCAATCTGGCTAAACTACCTCCGACCACTGACTCCGCACATTTCCACTTCCTGAGGACATACCACCAGGTCATGGAGTGGATGGGGATTGTCAAAGACCCTATCGAGTGGGGTTGGTGTAGAAAAGCTGGAAGACTGGAGCCCATCAGGATGAGTAGAGACGCTGCTCCCCCAAACCTGCTCAATACCATCTCATGCAGATGCACAACTGGCTGTATGGGAGCGTGTGGCTGTAGAAAAGCGAGCCTACATTGTTCCGCACTTTGCATATTCTGTGCTGGCCAAGAATGCAATAACAGGGATGAAGTCATCGTCGACAACGAAGACGATGCCGATCTAGTAACTTCTTCACAATTTGATGAAAATGAAGATACAGACTTGAATAACTCACCTCCTATGAAACGAGCGAAGCGCATGTGAATGTTTCCTTTACAGTTCTCATTTCAATTACTACCGATTTAGTATAATTATAACTGTCCTTTGTTCTTACTTTGTTTGAATAAATGAATCTTTGAAAAATGTATTTTGAAATTGAACATCCCCTCTCATCAGGTAGGTAATCAATTGAAGTAGTACCTGCATCTTAAGCATCGCGCTGTGTCATGTAAAAATTCAAACTAGGATTAGTATAAACTCCTATTTAACGTTAAAACTGGAAAATAGTTAGTGAAGTTAGTTGGCGAAAAAAAAAATTACATGCATTCCTGTAGGTAATTATATTCCCTACAGATCTTTTTCCGATACTTGTTCCCCTAGAATAGGCCATAAGTGAACTACAGCGTTCTAAAGTGAGAAATTTGGCAAATTTCCGGAAAATGCGATTTTTCAATTTTTTTTAAAAAGTGCATATCTCTGTAACTATCAGTCCTAGGATCGAAATTCAAAACGTGAATTATAGGAAATTTAATCCTCTACAATACTTAATATGACTCTTTTGTAGATAAAATGCACCATAACGATAATATAAGCAAAAATCTGGAGAAAGTTCCCAATTTTTTCGGTTTTTTAATATGGCGGAGGGCGCGGAGGAGGGGGAATTGTGCATTTTGCATTTTGAACACTCCATAACCATCCTAGATAACATATCAAAAATTCAGAACTACCGAACCATTTGTAAGGTGAACCTCCTCTACTCACTGGATTATGTCCCTATCTCAACTTTTGATTCACTATTTACTGATATTTAATCGGAACAGATACAGGGTGGCTCAAGATTCAATATTCTGATTAGAAATCTCGATTTTGAACACCCTATATCTCTGTAATCATTTCCGATAGACCCCAACTGTGATGTATCGATAAAATCAGCTCTTGAGGGAGAATTTAAAAATGCAATGAAATACAGGGTATTCTATTTGAAATAGCAAAGTTGTTGCTACTTTTAGATAGAAGCGGCAACACTGCATTGCTGCAAATATTTTGAATGAAGAGAGCGTATTCTGAAATATAAGCATGCATATTTTCATGGATTTCTACCGACTGATTCTCGTAGAGATAGTGTAAGCTCGTTGTGACATACCCTGTACATAAATTCACTGATTTAAAAGCTATTAAAAAAAAAGGATTTCCAGCTGCGTCTTGCAGGGGCTCGTCTGTCGCCTAACTTTTAAAGTTAGTTAGAAACCCTGCATAAACAGCTATATTTCTTGGGAGTAATCAATCAATTGAGATAGAGGAATCATTCCATCATAGGTTTCCACACTACAGGGTATCAAGTATGTGGCCAAACTTCAAGAGTTGATTTTTCCAGTAATTCCAAGTCGAAAAGTTCATTAAAATATTGGTCCGAAAATACACCGTTTTCAAGATACAGGGTGTCAAAGATTTGAAAAAAGAAAACGCTTTTCCGCAAATATCTAAAAAAATCTCTGATTCAATTTTGTTGAAATGTTGCAGTATTATTTGTAGTAGTAATGTACAGGCTGTCCCATATCCGATATCTCTCTTATTTTTGAAGATAGCAGTTTGCGGTTTTCGCGAACGTTGGGTACTTTTTTGTGGAACTCACAATACCACAAACAAAATTTTTATATCTCGCTTCCTTTTCGAGATCCAAGACGGAATTGAAAATGTTGCATTTTGGGATCACCCCTGTATCTCAGCTATCTTTCAACTTAAAGGAAAAGTAACAATTGTCGCTTATACAGTTTTTCACGTGGAATCCAGTGGCGTAGTCAGATTTTCAAAAGAACCTGTCATTATATAACCCAAAGGTATGTTTTTTAAATGGAACACCATGTATATTTCTTCATTATTGAATTATTGATGCTTTGCGCTTTCCAAAAATATATAACACTTTTACGATATTTTGAGTATTATCCTTTAGATGATTTATAAATCTATACTATATTTCTTATTGTCCTTGTAAATGTGCCGCATAATTCTATAATCATTCCTGCTAGACCCCAAGTGTGATGCATTGATGAAATCAGCTCTTCCGGAAGAATCTAAAAATGCAATAAAATACAGGGTGCTCCATTTAAAACAACGAAGTTGCTAGTTGTTTCTGATAGAAATTGCAACACTGTATCAATGAAAATATTTCAGAGGGATAGAGAGAGTTCAATTATCAGAGCATCCCAATTTTCAGAATGTTCTGTCTCCAGATATTTCTAATGAGCCATCCATCGTGGATCACCCTGTATAGTATTGACGTGATGTTGGGTAGTGATGACTACAAGATAGTATCAATATATTACTGAAACTTGTATGAATGTATATATAATATACATTAATTGAAATGCCGATAATGTGGCTGATTTTGAAGAAATGTAGCTCAGAAAATTATTTTGTGTATAATGAAGTAGAGCACATTGTTGCCATAGAATATTGAAATTTGAAAGAGTTAGAAATCTCAGTCAAATTCAAAGTGAAATTTATTCACTATGCACATATTTTTCATTCATTCATTCAAGACATTTTTTCACTATTATTTGCTAATTATTTTTTAATGATGATTTTAAACACTGATATTTGAATAAACTAAAAAATTATGTAAACTATGTGAACATTATGGGAAAATTATTTAAATTTGCTTACAGGTGCTTGAACCTAGTACCTATAGAATAGAATAGCATTTATTTACTCATTAAAATACCCTGTACTGGGTGTTGAGCTCCTCAAAAATATAGAGTAAAAAGATTTATACATAATAATAATAATAGACAATCTATGCCACAAACAACAAAAAATATATGAATCCATTTTCTTTGTTCATCTATAGAATGGCAATGCTTCAGAATTGTTTGCCAATGGAAGTATTCCCAAGAACTTATAACCTCCAGAATAAAAAAAAAACAATACCTTCCTTCTTTCCCTATCCTTCCTAGGTACACATGTTTTCCAAACATAATAGGAATTTGATTCAAATTTCTATTGACTTTGCTTAATACCAAAATTTTGTCAAGTATATGTTAGTACAGGATGATTTAGCATATTATCATCATCAGGAAAATACAATTTGTTTTTCACAAAAATTTAGCTCTTCTAAAGACCTAACCCTATAGGAACCAAGATGGGAACATTTTTTGGATGAAAGAAAAGCTGAAAAACAGCCTGAGTGGTTGAACTTTATCATTAAGCCATGATTTTAATAAACAAATATACAAATACCTCCAAGACATCATCCACAGTTTCCTCAGCCTCACATTTATCAGAACTCAACTTAGCAGCTTTGAAATAGGACTGTGTCAAAGTTAGACTGTGGTTTGACTTATTCCAAAGTCTCCTGGGAACTTCAACCAATGCATACCCAAGCAAGAGAACTAATAGAAATAAGCCCCAAGTGTTGCTTGCAGTAGATGCAATTGCTTTCAATTTTGACCTGCAATATTACTCAGTGAACTTTGCTGTAAGTAATACAATAAAGGTTAATATTTTACTATATTACCAATCAAGATCTATTCCAGGTTTCAGTGCAAGATAAATAAGTAAAACACCACAAATTAGCAAGTAAGAGCCATAATAAATAGCATTATCAATGAGTGCTGATTTTAATTTTCCTTTAATAGTGAAGTCTCCAGCTTTGATATATGATTGCATCATTGGCATAACCAGCCTAGAAAATAATATATCCTGACATATCTTTGTATTTTCAGAATAATAAAAAGCAACATACCATGTCAGAAACTGTGTACTCCAATAGACAGTACGCCAAAGATTTGTAAATACTCTTTCAGGTAGATTACTCCAAGGTGGTTCACATGGAGATGTGAATGAAGTACTATTTAGTAATGATGAATTGTTCCCTCTCTCATCAATACACTGTCGATAGACAGTCTAAAATAATCAAAATAGAATAGAAATTGCAAGATGTATAGCTATGTTATATTGTACTTACAGATGTAACATCAAGAGGAAGAGCAAATATAATCAAGAAACTACAGTACCATGCTAGCAGTACTATAATAGTTACAAATATATGATGCCTGAACCAGTTTCCATACCGGTAAAGTATGGTAGATGATAGTAAAAATGAAAATAAGATCTTGGAAACTAGTGGTGTATAGGTCATACTTCTCTCTTCAAGTCTTCATACAAATGGAACTTTTCAAAATGGGTATTATTTTTCAGAATTCTCCTTTACTTGCTCCCTGGCTTTTTGTGCTGTGAGTTGCATTTTCTGTAATTTTTCTAAGGTAAAACTTTTGAGGGGTATCAATCTTGGTTTACACAGCATAAGGTCAGGCACATCTTCTAACATTATTTGTCCATGTTTTATCAATATTGGTTTCAAGTTGATAGCTTCAGAGGACATAATGCAGAATGTTTAAAGATGTATTAATGTCTTTTCCATTAGCAAATATTAAATATTTCCATTTATTTCCAAATTTCACTTCATGAACTGACAACTGAAAATGACCTCAGCAGTGTTGCCACTTGGCATCGTGGCCACGATGACGTGACAAGTGGCTGCGTTTTATTGCAGTCCACCTGTGGTCTGTGGTATTGAACCAGTCAGGCAGTCAGTATTGAACTAGGCTCGCGTTTGAAATAAAAGGACTTCGAAAATGTTTAAAAAATAACGAAAAGGTCATGCTAAAAGCGTTGATTGATATATTACGCCTAAAAGTGTGCAATAAAATGCAATGAAACGCAGCTATGAAAAAAGTGCTTGAAACTTGGAAATCTTTGCACTATTAGCCTAATGGCTTAGGAGGCTTAGGAGTTAAGCTTTATCGAAAAAATAATAAGAAGAGAGGAAAGTGACAGGAGGTGGAGACTGGAGAATGTCAAAATAGTTCAAGAAGTTCAAGATCGAGATATCATGAAGGGTTCCCAAATGTGAAATGATTATTTTCAATTTTGTATTTGCAGCAATTTTATTGAAGAAAAATGAGTGATCTCTTCAAGTCAGCTTTCGAATATTTCAGTAGTCCAGTTAATGGACAAATTGAAAACAGTTTTGTTGGCCAAATTGTAGAAATTTCCAATGTGAAGCTGAGAATAAAAAAAGTCATTGCAGAAGGTTGGTTTTCAATATTGATTTTTCGAAAAAAATGTAACAATATTTGATTATTTCAGGTGGCTTTGCAGTAGTTTTTGTTGCACAAGATATAGCTACAGGCAAGGACTATGCATTGAAGGTATACATTTATTTATAGTACTTGTTTGTGAATACCTTGTAATCTTATTTTGTAGAGGTTGTTAGCAGCTGATGAAGAAGCAAAAAATAACATAATTAGGGAAATCAATATCCTCAAGAAACTATCTGGACACCCTAATATAATTCAGTATTTATCAGCTTCATTTATAGAAAAATCTCAAACCCAGCATGGTCAATCAGAATTTTTATTGGTGACTGAACTTTGTCCAGGTTTACAACTATACTTCATGTTTTCCAGTAATTTTCATATTCAATAAAATTTCAGGAGGATCAATGGTTGAAATTCTGCAAGGACGTTCCAGTGCATTTGACACAGATACAATAACAAGAATATTTTATCAAACATGCAGAGCTGTAGCTCATATGCACTCTCAAGTTCCACCCATCATTCATAGGGATTTGAAAATAGAAAATCTTCTGATCAGTAGTGAGAGTACTATCAAATTATGTGACTTTGGGTCTGCTACTACTGAAATATTTAGACCTGATTTATCTTGGTCAGCTCATCAGCACTCAACTCTAGAAGAAGATGTAAGATTCTCAACCATGAACTCTAATTTTTCATTCATAAACAGGGAATAATGTAGATGAGATCTCGACCTCATTTTCACTTTTTAGATGGCCAAATTCACAACTCCAATGTATAGAGCCCCAGAAATGGTTGACACATGGAATAACTATTATATTGGACCAGCTGTAGATATTTGGGCATTGGGATGCATTCTTTACACTCTCTGCTACATGAGACATCCTTTTGAAGATGGTGCAAAACTGAGAATCATGAATGCAAACTACACCATTCCAGCAGACCCTAGATATTCTTGCTTCCATGATACAATCAGTAAGATTTTTCAACAAGCTGTTTTATGCTCAAGTTTTTGATGTGAAGTGAATCAGTAGACACAAAATCATACATGTGAAATGAACAAATTTCTAGAGAACATTGAAATTCAAGAGTTGGTTGATAACATCTTGACAACACTGCTGAATTAAATGTTTCCTTAATCTTGAGTCACTGTATTGATCACTAACTATAATAATTATTGTAACAATACCAATTTCTTTTTTTTTAAGAGTGCTGCTTACAAGCAGATCCTGAGCAAAGAATGACAATATCTGGTGTACTTGAAAGCATAGCAGCAATTGCTGAATCTAATGGTTACAATCTGAGAGCACCACTGATTTTATCTTCTCTACCATCTGTTGATGTAGAACAGAGTAGGCAGGAGAATCAATGCAATAATGGTGTCAAAGTCCCTCCACTAAGGCCAGCTCCACCAGTTAATGAACCTTCCAGGCCATCACAAGTGGTAAAATATTCAAACCTATTTATTGTTCCTTGACCAACCAATGATCAGTATATTTCTGATCAATGATTATGACTTGATAGTTCATTATCTCACTGATGAAATGGCACTGAAGTGAAATTTTTAAAATTGATCAATTTAATCATCAGAAATCATTTTGGGAATATTCATGTGAAACATAAAATTAGCTTTATGAAACATGAAGAGAAATAGTGTTGATGGATATTTTTTGTATGATAAACTTCATTGCAGAAAAATATTCATTAATGCTAACTCTTGAATTGATAAAATTGAAAGTTGTAAGAATTGGTTTTATCTGAGTTTTATCTTATTGTCCCTAGTTTTTGACATCTTCCTAATGAACACTTTCTACTTATACAGTTGATATCAAAATTCCAAATAATTCAAGAGTGCACTGACCAATTTATTTCTGCATATTTGTGAGATGTAAATGGTTTTGTGGAAAATCCACATTATTTTTTATGTTTAATACAGGCACCCCAGAGACCAGCACCTCCTACACAAAGACCTGTTGCTGTCACTCAACAACAACAAAAACAACCTGATAGTAAACAATATGGCCTATTTTCCTCACTCAAAGGGGGAGCTGGCAGTTTATTTAAAAATCTCAAAGATACCAGTACTAAAGTGATGGCCACTGTTCAACAGTAAGAATGTTTTTCTTCTATTATTATTGAGATCATGGAGATTATGGACGTAAAAATGAGGTTGATCACAATGTCATGCAAAACAAAAAATACACTCTCAAACAATTCATGATCAGAGTTGCTCTGAAAATGTATCCAAAATACCAGTAATTTGTTCATGTACTAATACAATATCTAAACTGAATACAATCAAATATCTTGGTATTTTGGTATATACATTGATCCAAATTTGAAGTGGAATTATCATGTCTCAGAACTAACAAAGAGTCAGAAGTACCCTTCCAAAATTCAGACTAGTGAAATATTGTCAGTAGACGTTTAATAATCATGTTTTATCATACTCTCTTCCAATCTATATTATCATATGGAATAATTGGATGGGGTGGTATGTATGAAACTCATCCAAAACCTTCATTGTGTATTCAAAATTATATTTTGAAAATAATATATTGAATGTTAGGCAATTATTCTATAAGGTGTCAATAATCTTTATTAAAAACAATCCGGTAATAACAAATAAAATAATCAATTAAAGTTATGATACAAGAAACAAAATCCACAGTGTAAGACTTGAAATATATAAGCTCAGAATTTTAGAAAAACATTCTAGTTTAATGGATCTAAGATTTATAATAAAATATCATCAAAATTAAAACGTCAAAATATCATAACTTTCAAAAATGAAGTTAAAAGTTGGCTTATAGCAAATACAAAAAAAGTCAATGATCTTTTTTTAACAGGTTCACTGCCTGGTGTATCATTAATGATACACCAGGTAGTGCTTTCCACAGGCCGGGGGTATCCTAAATGATACACGGACTTTCATTCTGTCTGAACAGCGGTGTATTCTCTGTAATACACGGGCAATAAGAAATGCATTAGCTTATGATCTCTGCGGCCTGGCAGCATAAAGAGCAACTGAAAGTTTTGGCCTGGAGGGTTTTAGTGGGGACTTTTGTGTGGGTATAAATCAAATACGTACCTCATTGGTGAAAATTACCTTGGCCTGTGAAGTCATTTTTTGAAATTTCAGCTCGGCAGCGAACGTGTTTCAACTCTATTTTTCTTCATTTTGATTTATTCTCATTATTGTGTGAATTGATTATTGGTTCAAGTTTGAGTATTTATATTGTGGAATAACAATTTTATATGTGAAATAATTCATCTCCTTCACACTCGGGTCACTAACCTATGTGATAATGACAATAATAATATTTAGTTCTCAAGATTTAATTAATCCCTAATGTTTGGTAAATATAAATTGAGAGTATACATATTGGTATTGAATAAACTAAGAAAACTACATGGAGTAAAACTTGTTGCATGGAATGAATATTATAACATGATGAATATGAATCAATTGATTATTTGAAAACATTAGTAATTTATATTATTCAATGTTATAAATAAGTCATGAAAACTAGGGTCCCTTGATGGAAATTGACGTTAAAGTCATCATAACAGGGTACGGACAGATCCTCGTCTCCTCTCACTCTAAAGTGTTTGTGAAACAGTTATATAGTTCCATCCTTATTCAATTCTGGGGATAAACACTAGATTTTTGACATTCCTTGTTTTTTAGGTTATATTGAGGTCACTGGCGTATCATACGTAATTTCCATATGGAATTCCTGATTCAACTATACCAAGATATAGATGAACAATCCTCTAGTTTTAGAGTTTACTACTCCAGCATAATCTTTGGGATTTAGGGAACATATAAATTATACTGAAATACTGTCTGTAGGTTAATCGAGGAGGTGGTACATTCATTTTACTTGGTTCTTTGGGATTTTCTCTCCTCGTTTCTATAAAATAAAAGTATTCGTATTATTTCAATATATTTGTAGAGGGACAAATCAGATGATTTGCCCCAAAATGTCACTGCGTTTAACAAATTTTTCTATCAGGGAGTCTGAAACAAAAAAGAAAAATAAAGGAATCCGCTTGCATTCTTCTAAACGGAGACAATAGCATTGCTTCCTGTTCAGTTGATATTGATAGAACATGGTATTCACTACTGAAAACTGAACATGAAAATGGTAGATTCAAGATCAATTAATGAAAACATCCTGTAACTCATTTGTAGACTAAAATCACTCATTCATATGCCAACATCAGTATGACATTGAAAAGTGTCAAACTATAGGCAGCAAAAATTTCAAAGAAAAATAATTTGCATTTACATGTTGAGAACGGGAGCAGAATCGGTCCCGAAACGTCCAAAGATAAGTACAAATTCGATATTTTTTCAATATATCTATATTTCTTTCCTTCAAAAATTTTTTCAAACAAATTGTCACTGACAAGCTACTGGATTTTTCTTTTAGACTCCCTGATAGAAAAATTTGTTAAACGCAGTGACATTTTGGGGCAAATCATCTGATTTGTCCCTCTACAAATATATTGAAATAATACGAATACTTTTATTTTATAGAAACGAGGAGAGAAAATCCCAAAGAACCAAGTAAAATGAATTATACTGAAAGCTCGATATATTTCAGCAAAAGAGACTGTTCTTAGACTGTATACCAGGGTCGACTGAATTGACTGAATAAATTCTGATTTCAAGCTGAGCAGTAGTTTACCTGAATGAGCTGAGCCTTATGATTGAGAAATGGTGGAAACCTCGATGTGGGTATCTGGACTACTGTACTCATGTCATGTGTGCTAAATGTATTTTCAGAAATCCAACTCGGAGATTCATGGAGTTACTAATATCACACTATGAATGAAACTTCGTCTAGGGCGAAAAGTAGGCTGATAAAAATTAATACGTAAAATGTGCAGGAAAATAAAGAATAGAATATACTTCACCCCCATGTTATACATATGGTTTTTCAGTCTCTTTTGAATAAAGAGTCATTTTCGAATAATTTATTGATGAAAGTAACAAAGAAGTAGGTATACGCTAAGTATACGCAGTATAACTTATAGGCACGTTATTTTCATTCTTGCATCCTACATATTTTCTATTTGTGGTAGAGTAATAATTATATAAACTAATGTCTTTCGCCATATTGGATCCGTCATCTTGAATGTTTCAATTTTTGGCGAAACAATCATTATCTCCTACCCCCCGAAAACCCCCAGATATCGATTTTGAATAGAATCGGGTCTTCGTTACAAAACTCCCAATTTTGACGAAATAATTATAATCTCCGACCCCGGAAATCCCCAGATACCAATTTTGATTTTTTGAATAGAATCGGATCATAATTACAAGTTTCGTTCGCCATATTCGATCCGCTATCTTGATTTTCCCAATTTTGACAAAAACTCATAAAGTTCGACCCCGAAAACCCTCAGATACCAATCTTAAAAAGAATCAGATCATAATTAGAAATTTCGTTTGCTATATATTGAATCCGTCATCTTGAATTTTCCAATTTTGACGAAACAATCATTATCTCCAACCCCGGAAACCCACAACCCACATACCTTCCAATTTTGAATAGAATCGGATCATAATTACAAAATTCGTTCGCCATAATAATATGATCTTCCTCAACAGGTAAATACCCTGTACATAACTATAATTGAAATTTTGAATGATTTTCTGTAGCGCCCATGGATGTGACGTGACAGCAATGTCAGGGATGCCAGTAGACAAAACTAAAATCTCTAGATCATTAAAAAAGAATGCAGCTATGATCTGTCCGTACCCTGTTAGACCATCCATCCCCAAAGTGGTCCAACATGTTTTCAAAGAAAAAACAGTTTAACACAAAGTCGGTCGACCACAAAAATTATATTAACAAATCAAGTTTGTGACTAGTTTCGGCTCAACGGCAATCTTCAGACACATAAAATACCTCAGAAGACATGAGGAGATAAGTTAAACTAAAAGTTAGGTCAAAAACCGGAACATCAGGCAGATTAACTGATGTTCCGGTTACAATCAATTACATCATATCTTCTTTGTCCCTTAGAAGGTGATCAAAATTAATGAAAAATCTGAAAGTCCGTTCCATTTTACATAAAAAATGTACTCTCTTTCAAATCGTCTAGCTTTCAAGGTTTTTGTGCTATTCACTCTTGAAAAGATTTATTTATGTTCCACTTACCACATATCATTTTAATAATTTTATTTAATAGATTCAGAATGGGAAATCTCTCAACTACAGATAGTAGACACCTAAATATTTACTTTAATAGTCTGTTTGTTGTTGGCGTTGTTAGTGATTGTCATCATTGATTACTCTCTTTTTTCCACTATCACTTCGTTAACTTTATAATTCACAATTATTAAAATGTTATAAGTCGAACATAAACATTCTCTAGTAGTCCATACTCAAAGTGGAGTGGAATGATCAAAAAAGAAAACTCGTCGTCTCCACAATTTTAATGTCAAAGGAGGCAGTCAATCCTGCTTCAATAAGGTTTGATACATGTTTCGGCCATTCAAATGGCCATCTTCAGTCAAATTAGCAACAAAGTGTATCTACAATAGAAAAACCAAACATGATTTTATATAAAGAAGGAATTGAAATGGAAAAACAAAAGTTGTAAATTCAAAATTGAATTGATTAACAAATTTCAGTAGGATAAAAGAGCAATGGTGATTTTTATAATGGTTTATATGGTTCGCCATTTTGTTGTCAGAATTTTCAATTACGCGTTCACAGCCAAACTTTTTACGTTTTGCTTTTTACGTTTCGTATTCTGATTGGTGAAGCAAAATCTGTAATTGAAATGACGCAAAAAGCTGAAAATATTCTGCTTTTTGCATTGCAAGAAACCATCGTCTGTGAAGATAGTAAAAATATACAAATGATATTGTTATAAAAATGGAAAATACTAATGTTAGTTCTGATAGAACAATACATGTATGGAACATTCTGAATCCGTGAATCCACGGAATATTAGATAGGTATACTGTTCAATTTATTATTTTCTTCTTGAGGATTGATTTTTCAATTGTTTTCTTACACCTGCAGTTTGACCGGATATGACCCATATTTTCTTATTTTAAATTCAGCACTCGGTATATTTTTACTAATTTTGATAAAGAATAACATTGTGTGCCACTTTTTGACATTTGTTAGCCCTTCAAAACTTTATGATAACTTTGGAGTAAAAATATTAGCATATTGATCTTCCATGTGGGTATCCTGGTATCAATAATAAACCCAACTAATCAATCTGTCACATAAGGAAATGTCATTGGGTGTATATTATGTATTTGTCGTGGTAAGGAATAGTTATTTATAGGTATAAATAACTATTCTGAACCACGACAGCGAAGAATGATTAACATACTGGATATTGATTCAAAATATCGATTGTGTTATCAATGTGTTCGTAACAAAATACCCTTTTCAGATATGGTAATGAGCCACCCTCGTTCTATTTGAAGAAATTACGATATTGTGAATTTTGAATGAACCTGTGAAACAAATGAATAGTAAAATTTCGTAGGCAATACGATTCAAAATCAAATGTTTTAATTCATTCATGGTACTCTAGATTGAACATTGAAAAATGAAAATTTCTGGATGACAAAAAGTGGCAAATGGGGTTTCATTGTACTCACAATGTTATTCTCTATCGAAATAAGTTAAAATGAGAAAATATGGGTCATTTCCGGTCGAACCGGAAGTGACAGAAAACTATTGAATACGTAGAATAATGCATATTTATAAACTAAACTTACACACCGAATTTCAATTGTTTATCTGTATAAACAAAAAAGTTATAGGGGTGAGCCACTTTCGAAAAACACCCGGTATAACAACCAAACCCGTTATTTGCGTATCGGCCGTGTGTCGTTAAAGGCTTTTCTTAATCCCTGCTGAAATATTAACATTTTGATTCCGAGGAAAGAACAAACCACGTACCTTTTAATTCTACATCAAGCTGTTAACATTAAATCGTTATATAACAATCAATCAAAATAACAATATGGTATTACGAAAATAGCATTAACCATCAAATATATACGGTACATATTTTACGTCACAACCCAAATGACATTAATGGAAAACGATATGTATATTCAATATACTCTGATTTTTTCACTGATGTTTTTACTTCAATCTCTGATCCTATAATTATTCCTATAATGTTTTGCATCTCATTTATTTTTGCGTCCTCTATTGAGAATGTTGGGATGTTTCAATTTATTTCATGGGTTTCAGGTCTATGGCTAGAACAGATTTAGATATAAGTTATATCACCTCTAGAATCATTGTGATGCCATATCCATCAGAAGGTTTCGAATCTACTTATAAAACCAACCACATAGAAGACGTTAAATTATTCTTAGATTCTAGACACCCAAATTTCAGATATTCAGTTTATAATTTAACACATAAACCATACCATTCCAAATTTGGACAGGCCCGAATAGTAGACTGTGCTTTCGCATATCCGGAAATTTTCAAAGCACCATTGCTAAATTCCTTGTACCAACTTTGCGAGGATATCTACCAATATTTGGCCGGTGATAGTAGAAATGTTGTGGTTATCCATTGTACAGTGAGTACTATTTTTTGTACAAGTGACTGGTCAAATATCAGTCAAGAAAATATAGGCACGTCTCGTTTGATTGACATTTTTACAATACGAGTATCTAATTTATCATTCTAGAACACGTGATTTTGACATGGTTTCTTGAGGGGCACACAAACTATCTGTTAGGTTATCTTCTATGAGCATTGCTCTGGCCGTCCCTGTCACATCCACAATATAATAACAGTTTCACCAAACAAAATTATGAAATTCTTTCTGGTTCCAACTCGGATTCCAAAGGAAACGATCCCACTAATTCTGGTTTTATATGACAAATCTTGACAAAATACAATGTTTGCCCCTCAGCAACCTGTCAAATGACGTAATTCTGGAATGATTAATTAACTAGTAAAATGGAAAAATTATGAAACAAATATCACCTGACCATGTTTGACCAGTTCAAATATAAATGATTAGTCATCATACTGGGCATTCCTAAATGTCATGTACATTTCGAATAAGGTAATTCCTTGGCTTATTTTTGATCTAAAAGTTCCGATAAACAAATGTCCTAATTTGATTCGTTTCAAGATATAGGGTGTCAAGGTTGATAAAGAATAAAAAGTTTTATTCAATTACTAGGCAACCGCTGAACAAAAATCATAAATATTCTAGTGAATTGGTGAGACCCTGAGGGAAAATTAAATAGTGTAAGTAGGATATTCTTATTTGTTTTTTACTTGAAATTGAACATCAAAGGAACATTTCTAAATTTTATACGAAGCTTTGAAAAGCCTTTCAATGCTGTACGAAAAGGGACCTCGTGTTAAAACTCGTTAGTACGCACCGTTTTCGAAAAAAATAAAAACGAAAAAAACGAGACCAGACTCCAAATTTTGAAGTAAATGTTGAGTACTCCATCACACAGTGATCTTCATTCATATTCGACTAGAGGGGGAGGAAATTTAGTGCCCGGCTACCACAGGCTGCAACACACTAGAACAGACATCAAACAGCTAAATTTGAATAGCTTTTTTAGAAATGAAAAAGTATCCCCTAAAAAATGCATTCTATTCCATCTAGACCTAGATAGTGATTTGATGACATTTTGAACCTGTTTTAATATGTAAAATGTGTATCGTTCAATGTACTTGTTCAAGAATGTCTCTCACCCTTAATTGAATTAATTTGTCTTACATTCTGTTGTCGTTTGAAATAAGTTTTATACTTTTATATTATACTCTATTGACTTGTAAAAGCAGTTCCTGTAATAATTTACCAATAAATGAACTGAACAAGACATTCTTTCAGATTACTGGATAACCGTAATATGTAATATTCTGAAATTTTAGCACTATTTCTAGACCGTTGGCCGTGACACTGGGGGTGTCGATAATCTACGAAGGTATGCCATTCAAAGGACAGGAAGATTGAGTTGAATTATTGGAAAAAAGTGGTTTGTTGGATAGGTACCCGGTCGCCCCTCTCCCTAAGCAATATACTTCCGGTTGAAAGCAATGTCGAAAATTTAATCAAAGAAGAAGCTCTACAATTTATTGGAATAGTCACATCTCGCTAAATTAAACGGGCGCTAGCAGATTTGTACACGTCTAGGTCGGTCCTGATGGGCGGCATACGCACCGGAAGCTACCTTCAACCGACATTTCTATCACATTATTTACAAATGTATGCCCTTAGGTTGAACTCTCAGTTTTGACCCATCAATGTTATAACGTTTGCATACAATTTGGGTGGGCGAATTTCATGTCCCTTGAAGGTCTTACCTTCGTAGATAATCGACACCCTTAGTGTCATGAGCCAACAGTCTATTCAGTCAGGTGACAGGCTAAGTTTTGCACTCACGAAAAGCTATACAGGGTGGACAAAAGTAGAATCTCTGCATATTTCAACTTTGACGGCCTGTATACTATTGAAAACGTAGCGATTCCAGGCATATGTTAATAGGCACTTTGAGTCCTAAAAGGAGCGAAGGAATCATCTCCTCCGATGTGTACATGAAATTTAGAAACACCTTTTATAATACCATCATTTGTAGTTCCAAATTGCTTAGGTTGGTATAATTTCAGGATGGCAAAGCTACATCTTCAACTCTAGTATGTGCTTTGCTGATATATGCTAGATTATTCGAAGTTCCCGAGGATGCTCTCCAAATGTTTGCTGTGAAACGTTGTCCTCCGAATATGCGTGCCTCAGAACTCAGATATCTATATTACTTGGCAGATATCGTCAAAAATCCGCCGAATTATCCACATTACTATCCAGTTACCATAGTTTCACTGCATATGCAACCTGTCCCATTATTCACAAAAATTCGGTATGTATGATAGTGATTTATTGTAACAGTGTGTGATGATACAAAAACATTACTTTTCCCACTACTAACACTTTTTTGGACTATTCAGGGCTCTCGTTTCCCTCAGATAGACTGCTAGTAGTAAACGCAGAAAGACACAGACACTGATAAGGATAGAAAATATATGATTTCTTTACTAAACCTGAAGTTGTAACGAAATAACCGCTTGCAATGACAGTTTCAAAATACATACGTCGTCTTATGACACTATTTGCTTTCAAATTGAGTGAAATTGAATGATTTATGCCGTTTTTCAACTTGAATTTTGACTTTTTCTGCTAGAACCATAGGCTATAAAACGGTCAACGATATCCTGTATGATCTGCGAAATGTGCTTGCAGAAGTTGCGGTCATTAACTCTCACTGTCTAAATTTATTCTCCATCGCTCGTTGAAAATGATGGTATCAGTTAAAAGTACAGTCAGTCATATCGTTCAATACTGGATGAAATCGGCGTCATCTGCAAAACCGAATTAGTTGAATTCTTTAAGCTCCGAGGACTGAACGTCTATAGTTTAAAGTGTTACTTTCCCTCTCGTCCCAGAAGTCCTTTGTTTTTTTTATCTCTTGCAGCGCACGAAAGGAAATTCCGTTCTATAACATTTTATAATCATTAATCATCTATTATTCATAGTTTCAAAAATCTTTTTCAACTTCATGGATACTGAATATTTTGTTTGTTACATATGCATAACATAATAAATACACGTACTTCATATTGTCAAATTGTATTATCTATCTCAGTTTAGCTCGGAATGATAGGCATTTCCCTACAGCTGTAACAGATAATAGTGAAGTTTGTTATTTCTTTGGCTTGTAGCCTTCTGATTTTCTCTTAAGTAATGCTCTATTAGACAGATCTGGTATTGCTTGAAATTTGACGTTTCATGAGAGGTGACATTTATTGTAAAATAATAACACATTGTGTTATCAGTTGAGGGAATGAAATTGAAGACATACAATGTACCTCATTGATTTATCGAAAACAATAAAACGAGCAATTTTGTGTTATAGCCGTAGAAAAAATATACAGGGTGTAATTTAATTGATGGCTAAAAATATAGGATATGGTTCTTTAGCTCATTTTAAGAATAATAGTTCATATGAACATATGCCCTAAACTTCTTAACTTTCGAGCTATAGGGTGTTAAAATTGTATTTTCTCTTTATTATTGATTGAACTTTCACAATATAAAAAACTGTTACGTTTATGAATACTTGTCAAAACGTAATCAAGCAAATACAAAATATGGCACCAGCCTACTAGTGCAAAATAATTTCGTTATACCACAAATGCATGAAAATGGTTTTAATTTTTAAACTGTGCGTCGGAAGAAAAGTCAAATTGTAGCAAAATAAATGAGGATTCAAAAAAATGTTTTTTTTTTTTTTCGGAAGAAGCCAAGGCATACAATATTTTTTTATTAAAATCTCCAGTTTACATCAAATACGTACGCCACTGGTAGAGATATGGGATCATTTCCTGCATCAAAAAATGTCTTTTGGTGCTTAGTAGGTACAAGTCAAATTTCATGGCAATATCTAGAACATCATTGAAGTTATGATTATGAAAATATTAACACCCTATAGCTCGATAGTTAAGAGGCTTAGGGGATATGTCCATATGCAGTTGTCTTCTTGAAATTAGCTAAGCAACAATATCCTATATTTTAACCATCAATTGAAATACACCCTGTATATACCTCGGATGAAAATTCTATTGTATAAATCGTACATTATATCCTTTGCATTATAGTAGCTCCTGGGTCCTAGGTGTATATTATACTATTAAGATTGTTGATAGATGTGACGTATACAATTTCAATTGATCTATAACAAACTTATTAGTGAACCTAACCTAATTGTTATGCACCCTGATTGATCACGCTGAATTTGGAAAATATTCGTCTCGATGAAATTGAAATCTTTTAACTTTTTGGGGTTGCTGCTGTGTGGTGAAAATTTTGACAGGTCATTTACCTATTTTAGGTTTGTTCTCGTTCGAAAAATAAAGAGTCCGAAACCATCAGTAGCAAGCGCAGTTTCACAGAACTGTTGGAATGTTTCATGTTCTGTGGAGCTGCGCATGCTTCCGATGGTTTCGGACTTATTTTTCGAATGAGAACAAACCTATTGAGGTTCGGACACGACCTAAGATTTTGTGCAGCAATTCTTCTTACGCGTCAGTAAATTCAATTTCATAGAATACATTCATTTTACGGTGAAGAAAACCTCATTGGAATCAGCATATTTTGTCAGGAAATTGAATTAGTCTGACCACTTGAAGTTAGGTGATTTATGTTGGAAGTTTTTTACTATGCATTATTTTTAGTGATGGTTGTCGTCCGTATATTGAAGTGTACAGTGAGAACAAATGTATTTTATCTACTTTACAAGATTATGAGCGTATGAGACTGTTCAATTTAGCTGATGGAAAGGTATAACTGTCAAAAATATATATATTATATAGTATGCATATTGATTATAATAAACAGTCCAATGAAAACATGACCCTCCCACTATTGCAATTAATAGATTTTTTTTAACTATTTGTAACAGTCAAGGTGATTGACAGACAGAGTAAAACAGTCATTACTTATAATCTCTCTTATATGAATTGAGTGATGATGGCAGTATCATTGTGTACTATTGAGGCATCCATTTATTCTGTTAAATACGAATATTCATTCAACAAAAGCCAAGTATAATAGAATTCAAATTTCAAAAGTCAATAGTTCAATGTATTAGGCAGTCCAACTTAGATTGGAATCAATATGGCGCCTGTGCGGTTGGCACCCCGAAAGTTGCCAAATAACAACTTGATAATAATTAAGTATATTAAAGTATTAGCGACCAGCTGATTCTTCCTGAATTGTTCAATAAATATTTCTAAAATCATATCGTGAAATTGTCCGACAAAGGGTTATATTTTAAGTCTTACAATCTGAAATTGTGAATGGTTGCCATAAAAGCGATATGAGATGCCGATTTTAGTAAGATACCTACCTAGTATAGTTTGGGAGATGGAATTGAACATTTGATGCTAAAAGTTGTTACTATTGAAATCGGAACTAACGTACTTTGCTATTTTTCATTGATGTTTGGGGTCATGTTTTCATCGGAACATACTGTAATATAATTTTTTCAGTGCTTGCTTCCTATAAACACGACCCTTTGCGGCGATGTTTGTATAATAGTGTACCACGCAAGAAACGTTTTGGGTGGGGTAATGACCCAGGGTAAAGCCACCGGAATCAAAATTTGCCAAATACAATTCCATACAGGGTATATTCCAGAAGAAGAAACATGTTTGAGATTTTCGAAGTTCGTAAGCTTCATCTTGAATTAGTGCGATGTTTATTGGAAATCTTATAGGTCTGAATTAGATGAATTGGCAGAAGGCAATGATCATTACCAAGAAAGATTCACTGCAACTGTAAATGTATTTGTGACTGACGTAGAAAGAAGGCCTTCACAACCAGCACCATGGCAAACTGATCAAACAGAACGTGTTTTAGACACGGTATTCACTTCTCAGCTGGAAAAAGAAGAAACTGTTGATAATTTTGGTAAAATATTAGAATATCCAGGAGATTTTTGTATCTCTAGTTTTTCTTTAATATACAGAGTGGTGCATCTCATACGACGCGAGGTCACTTCTGATGTGCATGGAACTTTTTATTCGACCATGCTGTATGAATATGTATAAAATCAAGTGATTTGATATTACGAAGATTTTTCTATTTAAACAGTTACGAATTTTATGAATAACACAACTTTGTGTGATGTTCTTCACTCTGTATATTGTATATTTTTAATTGCTCTGAATTTCATCAAATAACTTTATAACTAGTCAGTAATAATTAGATGCATTTCTACTATCGAGAATGGCCATCAAAACGGTTCCAAACATCAACATTTTCAAACTCGCATCAATACTCAAATAATGGGGAAGACCACTGAGAGAAGAAATCCATGCAAACCTCTTTCAATCGACGAATCATGATTTACGTTTGATGTACAATCAATATTATGAGTTAAAGTTGAAGGGAATCGAATCTATATCGTTTTGAAACCAGCATATTTCATTCGATATTTCAAACAGCCAAATATGATGGTGGAGTCGTGACGTATTAGTCCCGAGCTGTAGCTATCTCTCTCTGATACCTCGTCATTCTGCAGTGTTGCAGTGTGATTGGTCTGTTCAAGGACAATAGGCGTGTTGGGAATAAGACGTCGCACCAGTCACACCAATGAATTGACAAAATTTCAAATGGCGCAGGAATTGTGTGTTTTGAAATGGACATATTCTAATTTATTTCTTCCATCGTCTTAGCATGAATGACAAAATCCAAAATTAATTCGCTGGTAGTTTTTCAGTATAGAGTTCACGATAATGTCATTTTAAAAAATCAGTGGTCTCCCCCATTCTGGACGCGGTAAACTATGTCGTAGTAGCTGAATCGGGTAGCAATTAAGTTTTTAACTAATTTAGTGAATCCTCCTAATAGGAAAGGCAGAAGAAGTAGGAAGCAGTCTGTGCATTGTAATTCTTTTTCAAAAAATAATGGGCTGTTGCCAGATATAATTAGTAACTTCCCCGAAAAAACCCGTAGAATCATTATAATTTCATAGTACAGTCGTATTCAATAAAAAAGCGTACAAGTATTAAACATAGAAGATTTCAGCATTCTAGTTCTCGTTGTGTAAAATTGGCTCAGCCAATGCTTTGTGTTTTTGAGAACCTATGATTACTCTACTGTCAACATTTCTTAAACATTCATTCCCGAGAGCCCATTTTATGCAAATGAGATGACGTTAATTTCTCCCTCCAATATACTTGTACGCTTTTTTTTAATACGACTGTACTACATTACGTTTTATTAACAAATTGTTAATGTCAAGTATTTTGTTTGAAGTTATCATCATTAACTATGCTTTTGCAATGTGTTTTGTCTTCAGTTATCATTCATCAGACATTTGGGATGAAAATTACTGAGATTAGTCAGTTCACTAGGATGAAGAAAACTTTTGAAGTTCATTATACTTTCATCACCTAGTGTTAATCAGTATTCAATGTCGAATTTCTGAATATTGACAAATTTTAACCAAAAATGCGCCTAGTGGACTCATATTTTCCCTATTTTTTTTTTTTGGAAATCAATTCCGGAAATCAAATTCGATCACTCAAAAAAAATAAAAATTCATCTTCAATATGTTTCTGAAACTTAACGAAGAAATAAAAATAATATAGGAAACTTCCCCATTAACTGCAAATTGTAAAGCCTCGTTGTTATTTTTTTTTATTCATGACCTCGGTTTTGCTAGGTTTATTAGGGTTAAAAAATCTTGAGTAATCATATCATTGAAAACAACTTGAAATAAATATTCAAAGAGAAACGAGAAGTGAATTGAAAAATTCATATAAAAAGATGTAGATTGATACCAAGTGAAAAAAACTCAAAACGTCTCGTGCAATTATTAATTACTGTAACACATAGAGTAACAAATTGTAAAAGAAAAATATGTCAATGAATTAATTAGAATATTTATTTCAGTCAGTCAATCAGTTAGGAAGCCTGTTATACCGCAGAAGAGGCCAGAAAGACCCAGTAGACCAGCGCCTCCAGCTCATTTGTTGCCTGAGTCGGCAGAATCAGACAGTGGATCGGAAACAGAACAAGTGAGTTTAACGATAATGTTTGTGGAAAATGTGGACTGAAGAATTCATTGACTCAATTTTTCATTTAGGCAATATTCAAGGATATTTAACTATATTTTTATAAGAATGGCTCAATCCTTATACTGTATACCAACACCAGAAAGCAACTTGGTGACGTCAGCTGAAGTTGATGCAAAATACAGGATTATAAATTCAGTGGATTGAGCTATCCTTTACAGATAGAGTTAAATATCCTTGGGCAATATTAATATTAGAATCACTATACTGGAAATCACATTTTTCCTATTATTCCACTGAATCATAGGACTGCCTACGTTTGCATTTTCTATCTTGCAAGACTTGTGATATACAAAACTGAGTTATTGTGCTTGCAGAACTTGGGCATTTTCGGGAATATGTTCTTGTTGACCTATATTTATTTGACGAGTACTGTAATACTAGGATTATGAAGTGTTAACTCAATATATACTTCATAATTTATATTCTCCAAAACACAATGTAATGTTGAGTCTACATAATGATATAGCGACGAAATGCTGCTCATTTCGCAATTTTTCATGACGACATTTCTCGATAACCATAATTAAAACATTGATTGTATAAAAAATGCTATAGGAATACTGGCAAATATAACATAAACTATGGTTCACAAAATTTAAGGTTTTCACACCATTTAAAAATAACGAACAATGTGCATACCTACTTGAAATATTTCAACATGAGAAATTTTTGTTGGCAGAAAGCTGCATCTTGACAATAATACAAAAAATTTCTAGGGTAAGGATAACAAATGCATAACTTAGTTGGAAAGGAAGGTTACTGACTGAAAATATCGCCGATAAGGGCGATCTTTGCATTATTTTCTTTCAAACACATGATATTATATTTCGCTCACCTAGTTTTTCTTTAGAACGTCAATGAGGATTATTCTAGTGACGATTAGTTATTTCTCATTATTGAGGATATGCAATAATTGGTTATTGACAGATTTCAACATTGACCAAATGTCATATTCTGGTGCCGTCTTTGAAGAATGCACTTTTCAATATCAGTTTTTTGTGTGGCAACGTGATATATTCTGATAAAATCTCTTTAATGTCATTATAATTATTGATGAACCGTTGAACCTTGACTGTTTTTGATACATAATTTGGTTCCTGAAGATGCTAACATAGTCAATGAAACACGTGTCGAGGCGTTTAAAAAAACGACTTGACTAGTGGTGAAACAGTGTATTATAAATGTCTGAACATTAACGGCGTGTTACTATGACTTGTATTATTCGAATAGAATAAACAAAAAATTTGTTCTTCCGTTCATTTTGTGAGAAAAAAATTAAAATATCCAATTTGAACTTCACTGAAGTAAATACAATTCATACTCATGAAACTAGACAGTTGAATTCATTGATAGCAAATCCATATACCTCCATTATTTGCAAGCATTCAGTATTCCACAAAGGAATCATATTATATGATCCATTACCTCATGAATTGAAATATATTGATGATGAAACAAGATTCAAAGTCAATATGAAAAAATATATACTTATGCCACTATAAACGGATTAATTTATTCTCATTTGAATAGTTGGAATGATTTTGTTTTAATTATTGTTATATTGACATAACTTATTAATTACTTGTTTTTTTATTGTCAAATTTATATATCACTTTTATAAACAAAACTGTTTCTTGGGGTAATAAAGTACAACAACAACAAGTTCAGCCAACTTTGAGAGAGAACAAAATATGTCTTCCCTTCTGCTTTCGGCTTTATGGTTCCATCGTAAAATAATGAAAGTCTTATGTTGGTAACAAATAATGAAAAGAAATGAATAAATGCTACAAGACAAGGACATACTGAAATACATATTTTTGTTTCTTATCAACTAGAGTTCCTATGTACTTGACACTGCTGTTTTGACGGTTTTTGTATATTAGAGTACGGACACTAGACAAGCAGTGACAATCAAACATAACCACAAACGATTTTGAATCAAATCATATGTTTTTCCAGACAAGGACAAGAATATGTTTTTCGCTTAGATAAAGGATCCTCGCATCTTCCTTCCTCCACAAGTCCTGAGAAGAGTACATCCATATATCTTCCTCTGTCTTCGATTTTTGTATGTGAATGCAAAGCGTCGCCTCGAGTGGGTAAAAGGGTACGATAAATTGATTAGAAAATTATTTCTTCTCGAAATATTGAATGATAAGGCTGAAGGACCTCAATGGAGATCGATATCAAGTTGGTATGTACATATATACCAACGAAATACATATACTATTGCCATGAAATAAGTCTCTTTTATGTAAGTATAAATATACGTTCAGTTGAATCTTTTTTTATCACAAAAATTCAGAATAGGGTGAAAACTGATAAATTTCAACCAATGAAACATACTTTTATTTCGTATGGAACAATTGCACTTGTACAAGAGTGGTAGGTAATAAGTAATTAATAAATGAATAAATGATATGGCAACAATAACAGCTGATTTCAGTCAAGATAAATAATAAAGGTTCCCCAAGACATTGGAGTGCGAAGCACTAGCGCGTTGGAGATACAACCTTCTGGGAGCAGTGAACTCTCAAGAGGCATTTTCAAAGAATGATTTGGTGAAGAGGCTGCTAAACCTCATCAAGGTAGCGAACCTGTTCACCTAAGTCAACAGCATGATCAGGAATACAATAGGCCCAAAGGCTGCAGTGTTTTGGGCTTCAAACCCTGACTGATCATTCTGCTATTAATCAATCAATCAATCAATCAATCGGAAGTAGGTATAAATTGACTTCAGTTTGGTTTGAACTCGGCCATCGGAAGATCATTTTCAATACCTAATATAAATGGTGCACTCATAAAGCGTTCTTGATTGTTCTGTGCTCTGATAATATCTTGCTCCTATCTTGGTACTCAAGAAGTGGTTCAAAATCCACTAGGAGCTATGTAGTCGTCTAGCACTTCTCAACTATTTTCCAAGTCTCTATTTTTTTATTCAATTTGTTTCCTGAATTCCTCATTCTCTTCCACTCGTAAACCTTGGATTTTTCAATATTCCTGCTCTGAAAATTCGATCTGCAAGTTTTTTGTTTCTTGTTAGTTCTAAATTGGAATAAGTTTTTTTTCGATACTCGCTCAGTTTATAAATTGTGGGTTCGGCTCTCTCTCAATACGATCCTGCGTTGAAAAATGTTCTATATCCTACCAAGAAATTTGAATACCTCGCAAATTTTGTGGCCTGAACCTATATTCCATGCCGGCCGCATCATATTCTGTTTCCATTTTTGTAGAATTACGTTATCCGATGGAAATTCATATAGAGTGAATTGATTTCCCGTGTTCTCACAGTTGGAAACTGCACAAACTCGCATCTTTCTCCTTATTCTCTCAATTTGTCAAACCTTCCCGCTTTTTCCATCAATTTATTTGTGGTTATGTCTGATTATGTCTGATTGTCAGTGCTTGTCATAGTGTCCGTACTCTGATATACAAAAAACGTCAAAACATTTAGGAACTCTACTATCAACTACTTAGCTGAACTTCTCTATTTGAATGTAATGTGCAGCAACAGCCCCAGTATTCCGATGCTCCTCCCTCGGCGCCCCTGGTAGAAGCCGTCGACCTCTTGAACCTCAACTCGATGCCCCCTCTCGAACAACCCGCTCCGAAATCCTCGCCCGGTTCGAATTTCGATCTGCTCAGCGGTCTGGCCGGTGGCACGGGCAGCGATGGTTTCGACGTTTCGGCCAATCGGCAGCCGCCCAACAAACCAACCGTTTTCGTCGACCCGTTCGGTTCGCTGGGAGGGGGCGACGGCAACAACGTATTGGGCGGATGGAGTGATTTCAGTTCGGGATCGAAGCTGAACGGTTCGGGAGCGGCGCCAAACAATCCTCAGGAACAAAAGACGAACGACCCGTTTGCCGATTTAGGTAATTATTTTCATCAACATGACACAATTTAATAGAGGAGTGTCACCTGACGTCACAACATGGAGTACTCGACGTTTTGATTAGAGTGAGTTTATAAATAGAGTGACGACAATAGTGGTACACTTTTTGATTGGTCAGATCTCTAATATAATGATAATAATAATAATCCGTCTTTATTTCCTCAAAAGAATATTACATAGTATCATGAGGCATATAGGTGGTATGTGCATCAGGCAAATTGCTCTCAATATTTTTACGGAATTGAGTCGATGGTGCTTGTTTGAATTCTATTGGTAATGAATTATACAGTATAACCGAGTCTTTCAAACAGAGACGTGGTATGATGGGGCAGTGTTAATTTTAGCTGATGTCTAACATTTATATTATGGACATTTTGTCTGAAAATGAGTTTTTCTCTAAGATAAGCTGGAGTTGAATCCTTAAGCAACTTGTGAATGAAATTAAAGAAATAATATTTTGAGGAATTGCTCATATCTAACCACTGAAGTTCCCTGAGTTTATGGGACACATGATCATATTTTCTCAAATTGAAAATGAGTCGACAACATGTATTTTGAATTTTCTGGATTCTGTAAATGGTTCTTTGTTCTAAACAGGGAAAATAAACAATGTTACAATGCTGGAAAATTGACAATACGAGACACACATAATTGTTTTTTCAGATTTAAACTCATGATGCTCTTGTTTGCAAATAGCAATCTTAACCGTGCATATGAACGCTGTATTAATGTCTTGACATGTTCGACAAATCTTAATTTTTCATCAATGATGAGTCCTACATTTTTCGATGATGTCGAGTATTCTAAAGATGTATCCCCTATGTGCAATTGTCTACTTTGTTTGAGCTGTTCTCTCACTCCTTCAGAACAAAATAAGATAGCTACACTTTTGGTGGAATTCAATGTCAAATTATGCTGAACAGAATATTGACTGATGGCTTGTAAATCGCAATTTATTTCCTCACAGGTATCAATTACAACAGAGGGGTCAAAATGATGCACAAGTTGTGTGTCGTCTGCATAAGTTTGAAGATTTGAACATTTTATTTTATCATAAATGTCTGCTGTATATATCAAAAATAAAAGAGGGCCAAGAATGGACCCTTGAGGAACACCGGAAATAATGTGAGCTGGACGCGACAAAACATCATTTATTTTAACCATCTGATATCGAACGAACAGCTAAATCGGCAAAAGCCATAATATTTCAGTTTACTACACAAAAGATCATGATCAATACAATCGAAGGCATTTGAAAAATCAAGGGATATCAAAATTGAAGCCATCTTTTTATCGCGAGATCTAAATATCTCATCAGTTAGGTTCAAAAGTGAGGTAGTTGTACTATGACCTTTGCGAAATCCAGATCGATGGAGCGGTAATATATTATGTTCATCTACAAAAAATTTTACTTGATTACATACGATTCTTTCCAGATCTTTGGATAATACACATTGGTCTCAAATCTGTGACATTTTTTGGAGAATTATTTTTTGCTATCGGGTTAACAATTGCTAGCTTCCATTCATTTGGAAAATACCCTTTTCCTAGGCAGCAACTTATAATATGGGTGATGTGATTTAGGATTATTGGAAGACACAGTTTAACCATATGGAGGTGCATCCACCATTCAGTTCTACGCATTCTATTTCACTTTGTCAATGCTTTGTCTCTGTTTTCTGTTCTTTGTACACAAAACATCCAACAATTAGACATGAAACTCTATACGTCACTACATTAGTACCTTGGATATTAACAATTAGAATCCGTCTTTTGGAACTCGTAAGTCTCAGATTATTTAGATGATGAAATGAAAATATCAAATATTTAAACCCAACATCAGGTGGGCACTTCGAAGCCGCAAATTCATTACTGCATGGGAGATACCCTTCAGATTTTCAGCTATTCAGTGACTTGACCACGAATGACATTCCGGAGGTCTATTGTCGTCACTCTATTTAATCTACTCACTCTAGTATTCATCAGCTGGTCAGGAGACAAACAAAGCTGTTGGTGAATTTTCATTTCATTCTTTCTGATCCATCGGTGATTTTGTTTAACTTGTAGATATGAGGATCTATTGACCTATATTACGGGCTATATTGTATATTAGAGCTGAACTTCAAGTGAATCCAGTAATCTTGAATTGACAAATAAACCAATTTGAACTCTTCATTGGACTCATCCACTTTTCTCACACTATTTAACAAACATGTCAATGAATAGGTATTGTATTATAGTGGTAAATATGCAAGAGAAGTTACATGTACCCTCACGGAAAATGTTTATGCTTGTCCCCTTATCAGCCCACCAATGACCGAAATTTTACGTCATATGACGTCAGTAACAGTGCTCTATTCCAATTTCCCTAAAAAATGTCATTAACGAATGCGCTTTTTGTTTCATTCAATGATTATTACCAATATCATAAAACTTTAAAATGTATATTACTATATAAAAATTGATTTGACCGAGAGCAATTTTGATTTCCCGGAATTACGGGTTAAGGATAATATGCATCTTTCACCGACGTCGGTCTTGTCTTTGGGTTGTCACAAAATTACGTAAAATTTCAAATGCTGTCATTGTCATTCATATTTTGGATGAATATAATTCGGATCGTACGTCAGATGCATATTAAAAGGCTATCGGTCGGTGTCCTTTCGCCTCTAAATTGTCAATGTTCATTAATTGTTATAGAACACTTCAATCCTTCATCGACTGATATACTTCTTGTAAGTCCCAAACATGTACCTATTAAAATTCGTGGAGATGCCTTTGTTACTCTCTGAAATTATCACTGGAATACTGCTCTTTTAAGACGATTTATCTATTCAGGTTTTCAATGTTTGAATTTGTCTCTATTATGCCTTTGGAAGGAGAGGAAAAAATTTTTTGAACAAGATCCCCAAACGTTTATCATATAGGTAATACGACTGAGTATATGAGAATGAAGTACTATTTTTATGACTTTTTTGTCAAGTTTAGGACATCTTCGCAAAGCTGGATATCCTGGTAATGAATAACTGGATAGTGGTTGTTTGATATTTGATTTTGACCATTATCTTTGACATAATTGATAGTTGGTTATATCTTTCAACATGGATTGGCCAATACATGGATTTATGTGCTGTATTTTAGCATTATCTTACACCCTGATGTAATAAATGTTGAAAAATAACGTAAATATAGGCGTGGGCCTCTTCGATGGATAACCCTGTACAGAGAAAAATTTTCCAAGTCATGAAGTACAGCCATCTCTTTCGATATGGTTATTGTTTCCCTGTCTGTTCTCAAGACTCCTAAACATGTAAAGCAATATGCCAGGAGTTTGTCTTCTGACATTGTCTTTGCTCCTAAACTGTGGTGGCTACTTGCATCTACAGAAATACACAAGAGCTTGTCATATTTTCAATGGCTTCCACTTTCAATGAATCGTGTAACTATAGTTCATAAATTTGAACTATGTTCGTCAAGAGGTACCTGTGGAGAAGTTGTAGATGCATCTATGACTGTTAAGTTCCTCAGTCCTGGAATTCTTTCTACTCGTTCAAAAAATACAGTAGGAGTATCTTGGTTCACTACCACGTTCTGAGCGTCCGCAATTTTTTCGACACAAACACACAATAGGAGTAGAGTTCAATATGTAATTCGACGTCAGCACGCACAATAGGAGTAGAATTCAATATCACTACTACCTTTAGAGATATCGTTAATATCGTTTTCTGTTACCGGTACCGGTGACCGGTGATGAGAGAGTAAGTTCCTCTAATGCGCGGCTATATCCCTCTCTTCTTTCTTCTGCGCTGAGCGTGTGAGTGGTTAGATCATTCGAAATACTTAAAAATATTTAAAAATCGTATGTGAATAAATGAGTAAATAATTATTAATATTAACAAGAATATTAATTAAGAATGAACTAAACTAACTGTTGGTGTAAGAGAGAAACGGTCTTGAAACAACCACTGTCAAGTAAATTACTATTCTCGACTACCCTACATAAAATTCATCGTTCAGCTAACCTAGGAGGAGGTCTCAACTTCAATCCCAAAAACGCAACGGTCCCACCTGCCACCACCCCGACCAGCGGGGCCCAAACCCCCAACAGAATATCTCCTACCACGCCCCAGCACCTAAGCTCGAATTCGACCACTCCCAAGCACCAAGCCAAGTCGCCTATGGGGCCAGATTATAACCGTACTCACTTCGAAACGCTCAACAAAAACCAACAGAACGACGCCAAGGGTAACCCCAGAAGTGAGGACGTGTTTGGAGACCTGTTGGGGTCTCAGGGGTATTCGTTCACAGGTAAAAAAGACACTGGTCCAAGAACCATGAATGCTATGAGAAAAGAGGAAATGGCTACTTATATGGATCCAGAGAAACTCAAGGTGATTATTATAATTAATTGTATATTTATTTAAATTCTTGTCAATTTTTCATTTATCCCATACTGATTAAAAGTGCCTGACATTTGCAATAGAAAATAAGCGTGAACCACATAGTGATGTTTTTGAAAAGCTGTCAATGTGGTCTGTTTAATTTGTTTACATTTGGTCTTTGGTTGTGCTAATTGGTCACGTCACATCCATCAAAACAAACCGCTCAGATGTGTTGAAGTTGTTATTTTATATTGCAAATATCTGCATGACAAACACACTTTTGAATGGGCGAGTGGACTCATGAATGAATGAATTATTGGCATTCAATTGAGCTCTTTTCTATCTTGAACGAGAGAGAGGAAAGTTCTCTCCTCTTCCATCACTCTCTGCAATGCTACCAACGTGGTCGCATTGAAATATAGAGAGGTCCGATAGATCTTTCCTTGTCTAACATCTACTTTGTGCCGCTGAACTATTTTTTAATTCAGCAGAGTGTCAAATTTAACGATATTAACAAGTTATGTCAAAATAAGTATGATATAAATCAAAATTTCATTTTGAAAATTCGAAATGTCATCACAATGTCATCAGTCAATGACATTCATGACATAGACATATCACGTCATTATAATATCGAAAATAGTTCAGTGGCGCAGACTATAGGTTAGACAAGGGAAGATTTATCGGACCTCTCTATATTTCAATGCGGCCACGTTGGTAGCATTGAAGAGAAAGATGGAAGAGGAGAGAACTTTCCTCTCTCTCGTTCAAGGTAGAGAAGAGCTCAATTACTACACTGTGTCGTTAAGGACCTGAATTAATTTTTGCAACACTTCTCACACTTTTTTATGTAAATAATGAGTGTATGCGTTGTTCGAAATTGTTGAATTTCGGAGCTCATTTCAAACGTACCGTCATGGCCACTATTTGGCGATACGTCGAATAAATGGTGATGTCAGCTTTTATGCTGTTTCGTTATTGGCCAGATATCTTCCATTCCCACTCACGAAGCAAGGTTGTCAAGTCACCAATTATAATCAAGTTATCAAAAAGATGTAAGAGTCATGTCGTTGAATAAAACATAATAGGAGGAACCCATAATATTTTAGTTCATTCTTGACTCTTTAGAGCAATCACCATGTCCAAATATTTCTAATACCCCATAAGAAAATTTGTGAATGTTGGAGAGTTGGCAACATTGTGCTGAATGCTGAGAAGGGACAAGACCACGCCCACAAGTCGTGCGCGCGGTGTTGTCACGTTCACCGCTTCAAATGTGATTTTGTTTTGGAGTGATTCTTTCCTCGGTTCTACTCAGATGGCGTTACTTTCATTTTATCGATGAAAGACGCCTCGGGGTGGATATAATGCCAACTTGATTTTTGTTTCGCTGAGTCGGCGGTCTTAGGACTGCTGGCTGGAGACTACACTGCACTGATGAGAGTCAAAGAGCTCGAAACCGGTCTGTGGTTGTCTAGCGGCCTGGCTTAATCTAAATCAATAGGCATTCAGGAAAGAATCACTTTTATCAGTATTCGTTTAAACGAGTCGATGCATAGATTTCAGGAGGATGTGATTCAATATCCTGCGCGGCATTAGCCAGGGAAGTAGTTGTTTTTTTCCCGAAATCTACCATTGTTGTTCATTTTATGAACACTGTGTGGAAATGACTTTGAGCTTTTTGCATTTATTTAACATTTCATTCCACTTTGAGCATTGTGGCTATTTCTTAGTTGAAATTACGCCAGTCGATCAACCAGCCACTCCTGTATGGGTATTTCAGTTTTGGAGTGATTCTTTCCTCGGTTCTACTCAGATGGCGTTACTTTCATTTTATCGATGAAAGACGCCTCGGGGTGGATATAATGCCAACTTGATTTTTGTTTGGCTAGGCTTCGCTGAGTCGGCGGTCTTAGGACTGCTGGCTGGAGACTACACTGCACTGATGAGAGTCAAAGAGCTCGAAACCGGTCTGTGGTTGTCTAGCGGCCTGGTTTAATCGAAATCAATAGGCATTCAGGAAAGAATCACTTTTATCAGTATTCGTTTAGACGAGTCGATGCATAGATTTCAGGAGGATGTAATTCAATATCCTGCGTGGCATTAGCCAGGGAAGTAGTTGTTTTTCTCCCGTAATCTACCATTGTTGTTCATTCTATGAACACTGTGTGGAAATGACTTTGAGCTTTTTACATTTATTTACATAATTGAGAATTTATTAATGTTTGAATAACTAATATTTCTGAAGTTCCCAATCGTATTTCAACACATGGCAACTGTGCTATGATCTGCCCCTACTTACGAAATCGTGACAGTTTTTACTCGCGGTAAATTTCAATCCGTTTGAAGATTACCGTGGCATTATTGATGATTTTAGCACCTAAAAATCCACCGAAACATTCTAAAAAAATATGGAATCGAAAGGTATTTCGGTGATGATTCTATTTGAGAAATAAAAAAAATAGTTCACTCGCCTATTCTTGCAAACAATATAAATATGAAATGAGAAATGGTGGTTCACATTAAAAAATTTGAGTTACCAAAATGTTCTCACACGATTTTTGGCCTTTTTTCGAATTGAAGAAAAAATTGTATATTGGCCTCAAATTGGTCACTGCAGGCGACCAAATGAACGTTTCTTTCAATATACAGGGCATTTAATTTTCAATTGCGACAATCAATAGATATTGTTTCCAAAGGACAACACACATCCTTTATTGTTTATGTTAGTGGAAAGAGGTTGACATTTCTTTTCAAAATTCCTATACCACGTCACCCAGGAACTAGGATGTCACCTAATTCATTATCCAGGAAATAAAATAAAAACATTACTAGAACTGTGAATGAGGATGTTTAGTGTACTTGTGTAATGAACAATACATTGCAAGTCACAAACACACACGAAAGCTTTATGACAGAGACTTCATATTCATATTGACAAATTTGGTTTAAGGTTATGGAATGGATAGATGGAAAGAAGAACAATATTCGAGCTCTATTGTGCTCTATGCACAATATTTTGTGGGAAGGTGCAAAATGGAATAAATGTGAGATGCATCAACTCGTTTCTCCCGCTGATGTCAAAAAGGCTTATAGGAAGGCTTGTTTAGCAATACACCCTGATAAGGTAATTTAAGATATACTCACTTGTCCAATAAGAAAAAGTTGATTATTTCATTGTGTATTACACTATCAGAGAGTTCACACACATGATATAAATGCTCGAAAGATATTGAAAAATAAATAGACATTAATGCAACCAAAATGTACTGAAGGTTGTACTTGCTGTCAATTCAAATTCCTTCAAGATACTTACCCTTAAAAATCATACCAAACTTCTCCTCGTCTATTTTTCTCGATATTTTGAGGTCGTTACACAATGTAGAGGAATAGAAAATACGGAATCAAAAATGAGAAAAGCAGGTCTACTATTGGTCAATTCTAACCTTGAACGCGTTTTGAACCAATCATAGTGCTATGCCTTATTCCTATTGTGGTGCGATATATTCTGGTTTTAACTAGAGTGGCGACTATTGACCTCAAAATGGCTGTCAATGTCATTTGTGGTCAAGTCACTGAATAGCTAAAAATCGGAAGGGTATCCTATATGCAGTAATGAATTTGTGCCTTCGAAGTGCCCACCTGATGTCAGGTTTAGTCCATAACGGCATCATATAGGCCGCCAGGGACAAATGTTGATAGTTAATTAACGTATATAGTAAATTATCTATCAACAACTACGGAATCAGAACAAATATTTATCGGTGATATAAATTTGAATATTTTGAACACTTCAGGTGCAAAAATAAATAGATATATTTGTCTTATCGCCAACTTAGAATACTTTTCGTATATAAACAAACCCACAAGGGTAACACAGCTAACTTCAGGACTCATAGACCATATGTTCCTCAAATTTATTGTTAAAAAATGTCAAAGGAATTGAAGATTAATTCATATATGTATATTCAAAGCAGATCTAACCCCCCATTACATGCTCTTATTATCAATTAGCATACCTCTGGGAAAACATAATATCATTCCAAATGCCACAACGTACAATTATTTTAATAATTACAAACTGAAAAATTGCCTGGAACAGGAAAAGTGGCCTGCAGTCTATCAAAGTGATAATCCTGACACTTCATACAATTATTATTTCATTAATACAGTCCATGAATGCATTGAAGAATGCACCCAAATTAAACAAAAAACATTTATTAATAAGAACGTCATGCTGAAGGCATGGATGAAGTCAGTACTGCTGATTTCAATTGGACGCAGATATTTTCTAAAACGAATATCCAATAAAAATAACTCTGAGGAAGCAAAAAATGAATACAAACATAGAAACTTTGTATGCAATCTATTGCAAATCACAGAACGAAACTATTATGAAAAAAACTAACGGAATATAATGCTCATGTGAAGAAAGTGTGGGTCATTTTTGACCACCATAAAGAAGAATTGACTTCTGACAAAGACAATGCAAATTATTTCAATGACTTCTTTGCTGGTATTGGTGTGAAAATGGCAAAAAAAATCATTAGGCCACCAGTTCCCGTTCCGGAAATGAACTTGCGTTCTGAACATTCTTTATTTCTACGACCATCAACAAAAAACGAGGTAATTTCCATCATTTCAAGTCAAGTCGAGTTCAGAATAATACATCTCTATAGACCAATAACAGTGATAAACAATTTTGAGGAAATTATTAATAGAGTTACTGTGACAAAAACACAATATTTTTTTATTCACAATTTGGTTTTAGACAAAATCCCTCCACTGAGAAAACTGTATTTAAGTTGACGAATACTGTACTAAACTGCTTCCAAAATAAAAAAAAAATGTCAACAATATTTTTGGATTTGGCGAAGGCGTTTGATACAGTTGCTTCCGCTCGGCTTCGCTAGACGTTCCGCCTCACAAATGCAAAATTCGCTTGTCAAACAAAGTGTCACTTTTACCCTAATAAAATAATCTACTTACTATTAATCCACAATCTACTCAAATAATTGCCAGTTTGTGAAAAAAATTGTAAAATTTGTATATCGCTACTTCAAAGTTGGGAACCAACTCCCCAGAAGTCGAAACTTGTGCGGGGTTAGGAAGAGCGGGACCTACAGCTTATAGTGGAATCTGAACCACTTCTAGGGCATTGAGGTGCTGCCAGGATTACAACCATGAATCACACATTTTGAAGAAAAATGCTCAGCCGATAGCCGGATTCGAACCGACAGTACCTTCGCATCGTGAACGGCTATCTAGCGAATTTCAGCGCATAGACAAACTCGGCCACGGCCCTTCCTAACGGAATATTTTTATGAAAGTATGATATGGATAATGAAACAATATCATGTGAGTGACAATAATTCCATGTCAAATTTTTTACATGATAATTTTTATACACACCTACAATTTTCAAAATTTTTTTTTTTTTTTTTCATTTTTCAAACTGATTTTTTTTAAATATCATCATAGGATTTTTTCAAGTTGGTTAGACTCCAATGAATGTTGAAATACAAAACAGAAAAAAAACCTTCTTCCAACTTTTTAGTTGGCTATGATATGGAATTTTTTCCTTTAGTCTAGAATTATTATTGGAACTACAAAATCTGACCCAAGATAATGTTCAATTTGATAATTTTCATACAAGTTACGAGGGGAATACAAAAAGTATTTTTTGTTCAAAGATGGCAATTATATGAGTAGATTGTGGATTGACAGTACAATTGTGATATATCCTTGGGAAGGCAATTCTAAACTGAATCGTAATTTCTAGAGAAAAATTATACTTACTTTGTATTTGAAATAAAAAAATTGGATGTCCTTCGGGTCAAACCAGAAGTTTCATATTTGGTGTGATACTAGGGAAATTATACTTTCAAAATAGCAAGATACGGGTAAATCGGTTCTGACTCACCCGTCATAGTCTAAGGACAGTACCTACAGTATTTAAAACACTGTTTGGTACTTTGTACATCACCCTTTATGTTATATCTAGGTCAAGTAGTTAAGACACCATGTATGTCCAGTACTTTACCTGTATGATCCTGTATAATGGTAGTTGCTAGTGGTATTACCCTATATAGGATAGGATTTAATTTGTTGTTATCATGACGACGTGTTGTTGAAACATAAGATTGAATCAATAAAGTTGGGAGAGAAATTGCAATCGGTTGCAATTTCCCTTTTATTCTTCATATCATATCAGTTTTTATTCAACGATCGAAATACAGTCCACACTCATCACCAAGAGCATCGAAAAAACACATTGGTTCATATTATGTCTTGTTTTCAAATTCTTCAAAGCAGCTCAATAATTGAAAAATTTGCTCTATTGAAAATATCTGGGTTACTCAGTAGTTAATAGGAATATTGCAAAATTCAATGGTCTTTATTGAATCATGCATATAAAATAATTTTTCATTATTTTTTAACAATTTGGATCTTACTTATTTGTATTTTGCAGCAAGCTGGCACTGATAATGAAAATCTAGCAAAATTGATATTCATTGAATTGAACAACGCCTGGAGTGACTTTGAAAATGATGCTACTCAACAGAACATGTTCTCTAGTTAAATTTCTCCACTACTAGTTCTAATATTACTCTTTGTGATCATTCCATTATTTTAGAGTTTGTTGATGAAACATATTTATTTTAGCACATATGAGATTCACTATGAATATATTATTTTATAATAGAGTTTTGTATTCGGAATAAGTAAGTAACGTTTGTTATGAGAAGTGATTCGATTGGAATTTTGTTGGAATAAAAATATCATAGAAACATTAGAAAATATCACTCTCAATTTGCTATGAAGGATGAATTCATTGTTGAAAATTGAAAAGTGTAAATTATTCCTCTGTTGTATATATATTTTATTTAATAATATATTCTATTTTTATATTGTGACGTTTCCTATATTTTACATGTAGTACTAACTTTTGTTATGTTTTGTGTTTGAATGAACTTATGATAATTATTTTATATTGTGATCATTATCTTCAATAGTCATTCTTGCCTATAATGTACTAAATATAGAATTTAACTTGTCTTTTTGTTTTATAATGAATATTCATCTGCTTTTCTATCCTACCCTCAATAATTCTTGTTTCTTATCCACATAAAAAAGGAACATGTCAAAAGAATGATAAAATATGTTTTGTGTCTCCATTTTTTGTTGTTCACTTCAGAGATCTAGGAAATGATAGAATTATAATTGAATAAATTAAATTACAAAGAAATTTTCCTATTATCTTGGATATGACATGAAGTCCAAGATAAGTCTTATAGTATCTGAAATAAATATACAGAAAAAAATTATTATTAATCAATTAAAAAGTAACTCTAATGTCCAAATTTCAGGTGAACAGGAAACACCCTAACTACTTTTACATTAGATTGTAGAACTTTTTTCATCACCAACAAAAACTACAATTTCTGGATTTCATTGGATTTTTTCCTCTTTTCTATAAATAAAAATGTGACTTATTTCAACATATATGCAATAAGTACAAATCAGATGATCTGCCCCAAAATGTGACTGCCTTCATTACTAGAGAACCCCAAAGAAAAGTCCAATCTACAGTCAGTGACACTTTGTTTTGAAAAATGTTTGAAGAGGAATATAGATACTGCATAGACACTTCTCAGTAAAGTTGTTACAAACAAGTGACTTACAGGATGTGTTTATTAATTTATCTCCACTATTTTCATATTCAGATAGATAATAACCATATTGAATGAACATATGCAAATGATTTATCAAAGAACATGAATGATCATACAATACATAATATATTGAGCAGAAAATTAAGTAATTCCTAATAAAGGACACCTCCTTATGAATGAACAAACTTTCAGTAGGTAATGATTTTATTTTTATTGATGATACATATCAATCATATGCAATCAATACAAATAGGTATCTGATTAACCAGATAGACAACTCCTGGACCTTGTCCATTTGAGAAATAATTTCAAACAGAAGTATCTACAAATTATCATCAGTCATTTCCAAAAACTGGGAACAAGTCTCACGAACACACTCTCCTTTTGTACTGAAAGTGAATTTGTAATAACAGCCATCAGCACAAATTACAATTACAGAGTTATCAGCAGTACCAAAAGCACAAACACATGGTGGACCATTGGGAACAGTAAACTTGCAAAAAGACCATGTTGATGAGAAATATTTTGGTAAGAATGTGGCATTGGCCAGTGTTGAATGTTTATTCAATTTTGGATTATCTAGGGCAAAAATATGTACAGTTCCATGATCAGAAGAAACACAAAGTGAAGTAGAACTTTTGTTGAAGTTGATAGAGTATATTGTAGCTTGATTAGTACCTCTTCTCAGTTCAGAAATTTTCTGTCCACTTTGAGTACTGAAGACTCTAATGAGAGTTCCCTTATCACTAGCTGTAGCTAATAATGTGCCCTGTTGATTCAGTGAAACACAACTAAGATTTGCTTCATGTGCTGCTATGTCTAATGGTGGCTTTTCTGTTTTGGCTAAGTCTACCAGTTGGACATGACCAGTTTTCCTGCCTGGAAAAGCCAGTAGAGAGTTATTACTGTTAGGACAGAGTACACAGAGTCCCTTTGTATTTGAATTTGTTTCAAAGACATGGAGTTGCTGTGGGTTCTGTGTGAAGGTATACACTTTTATAACACCTTCCAAAACTACTACAATTCTATCTCTTCTTAATCTAATTGCTAGAACTGGTGCACTAAACTCCAAACATATTGCAGAAGTTTTTTTCAGGTCATCCCATATCAAAACTCTGTTTTTTGGGTACAAGGGTTTGGTACCTCCTCCAACTAATGCTACATAATTACATCTGAACAACATCTCAATGAAGCTGAGCCCCCCATTATCGAAATCTTGTCTTTCTTTTTCTTTGAGGGGATCACAGTTGTATACTCTGAAGCCCGTAGTTGTTGCACAGGCAAAACATCCATGATCTTGATTGAAACCGATGTAATTCAGTCCATTCTGATAAGGATTGATCGGACCCAAATTCATATCCACTTTATTTATCCATATATTTCATCGCAACGGGTACAATACAAACACAACTTCAAGAAACGAAAAAATGTAAAAACAAATCAATTTTTGTTCGCCTCTAAACTGATATCACAGCTGATATGACACTGACACACGACGACGACATGTCGTTCGTGATTGGGTCGTGATGATGACATGATTGACATGTCATTTCCTTCATGTCATGTACCATTACTCCCATAGTCCCATTACATTGAGTTCAAAGTTCAGTGTCACTTTGGTTCACTGGCACAAACGAATTTTTTCAGGAGCTAACGGATAATTCTTTCTGGGGTCTATACCAACTAAGGGCCTTACTGGTATGAGCTCATTCGCTGATTTAACCGAATGACAATTCAAAAATGACATATGACTGTTATGACACACACACATCCTTGGTATGACGTTTGTTTGTTGTTGTTTACATAAAATTAATTATAATATGAGGCGTTTGCTTTTGCTTTGATTTCAGAAATCATTAGATTGAAATATCTAATTCCACAATAAACAAACATATTTTTTTCTGCAATGGCAAATAGTGCATCAGCAGTTCTGGATGTCGTAACCGAAAGTAAAGAGATATCATCTTTCTTGAAAGATAAAAATGAACTTGATTTGGAACCTTCCAGTGTATGCAGTGATAATTCACTTGTAAGTGCCGAATATTGTGATTAGAAATGAGGAATAACAGACAATTCTATTTTCTCAATTCTTTCAGATCCAGTCTCCCAGTATAGAGAGCTTTTCAACCATACAAGATATGGAAAATCTTTCAGAACTCAACATGGATGAAAATTCTGATCTTTGTGTCAAAATAGATAGCCCTCAAAAACACCTTGAAACCCTGGAAACTTATATCACATTTCGCATTACAACAAAAGTAGCTAGAATAGAGTTTTCTGATAATGAATATGTTGTACATAGAAGGTATAATGATTTCCTCTGGTTGAGGCAAAAGCTAGTTGAATGCCACCCTTTCTGTATTGTGCCTGTAAGTTAAACCATCTTGACATGACTTTTAACTATTTTCTATCATGAACAATGTTTTAGCCTCTACCTGGAAAACATTCTCTCATGGGCCAACTGGATAGATATTCAAAAGATTTTATACTCCTCAGAATGAAGGCATTGAATATTTTCATAGCTAGAGTTACTCAGCACCCTATCCTCAGTTGTAATGAGCACTTCAAAGTATTCATAACTGCTAAACAAGCTGTGAGTATGTTTCATTTTTTATACTACATCAAATACTCATAACAGCTCTCTCTCTTAGGATTTCACTCTTCATAGAAGGCAAAGACACCCAATAGAACAAAAAGTAAGGACTTTCAGTCACTCAAATTCATCTCACAGTGTTCTCAAAAACCGCCACAATGAATTTGATAAAACAAAATCATATTTAAATACTCTTTCTGAGAAACTATTGTCTATTGAAAAAATATCTAGTAGAATAAATAAGGAATGCTGTGAATATGTTACAGAACTTAACAGTTACCATCCCATTTTCACAACATGGGCAACATCAGAGACTGCCCTCTCTGAAGTACTTCAAAATATTGGAAGTGCCATGGAAAGGAGTTCATCTGCACAAAGTGCATTAGTACAAAGTTATAGTAATACTGTTGGCAATCCTATCAAAGATTTTTTAGCTTATATTGATGTTGTACAAGAGACTATAAGGAAGAGAGAATCATTCCAGGGTGCTTATGAGGTGTCCATGGAAGAACTGAATAAGAGGCATTCTGAAAAGGATAAAGTAAGTTGAAAATTCAGTTCAAATGTGTGCTCTATATAGGTTTTCTCCAAACAGCACTGATTCTTCTTATTTATACATAGAAACACTATAATTGTCATGACAAAAGATCAAGCAATAATTTTTGGGGGGAAGTTGGTCGTTAATCTATGCACATACACATACAAGGAGCACAGTTTCTCAATATTCTCTTGAAGTTATAATTTTCACCAGTGGGTCCTGTGGATAATACCATATTCAGGATTTTTTCTGAGAATAGAATCATGATAACTTTCTGAAATAGCTTTATAAAATATATGCAGTGGTGGCTCCAAGGGTGGCTTCTGGATATTTAAGATCAGTAGGTAGGCATTCTCTACCAGAATGTTGGTGAAAAGATAACAGTGAATGGAAATTTTTTGGTGTTGAAAGCTCATTCAAGGAAAATCATAGTATTTCTAAAAATGGAAATTTTTATTTTCTTTAAAGAGATAGTCTAATAAGTCAACTGAATAAAATAAAACAGTATTTTTGGTATGAAACATTTCCATGATGAACATACACAGGAATCAAACAAATTGGCAATTTCCACAGTTTATGCAGTAAAAAGCAAGGCTACACTGATCTGATTATACTGATTGAAACCTGGAGTAAAATAGTGAATAGGTACCACACTAACACATGATGGCAGCTTCTAAAATCGCCGGTATCTCAGATGCCCGGACCATACATAAGTTGAGCCGCGCAAAAGTGTGAATATTATCAAGGAAAAACAGTCTAAGGGCGCCATTGGTATTTAGAACTGCAAACAGGCTTATGCTGTGAAATACTGAATAGTTGAATTTCCCAGACTGCCAAAAAACTTGTACACCAAACTCCCCGTTGGGCAAAACTTCCCAAAGTTCATCAAAAGTTCCAAACTTCCTAGAACTTCTAACTTCCCTAACTACCTGAGACTTCCCGAAACTTTCTGAATTTTCTCAGAATTTTGATATTGAAAGTTGTTTTCCCAGTTGTATCATCTCCTATTGGATGAAGTGATGGATTATTGAGAGTAAAAACAACAAAAATGGGTTTTTTTCCTATACTTAAATTGATTGCCCAAATATATAGGGTTGGTGATATTGTACCTTGAGAACCATTCACTAGTACCATACAGATTTGATGAGAAATGTGTATGGTTTCTAGTGACCAGGGGATATTGCTGAAAATTTTGTCTGGTGTCTTCAGAGATAACACTCCAGATCGCCCGATTTTTCTTTTTCTGCTAGTAAGACCCATTAACTAAAGTCAATTCTGTATAATTTTGACTAGCACATTTGTCGATGTTTCTGAACCGTCAAATGGAGAAAAAGTGAGCACCTTGGATTTAAAAATGCCATTTAGCATTCTTTTACCCAAAATTAATATTGTCCAAAAACTTCCTAATAGCACAGCGAAAATAATTATTATGTACAATGGATGCTGATTATTTTGCGTTCTGGTCAGACAGTCATGGTCTGTCAAAACTCTCAAATGCGAGGACAATAAATCCACTGAATTATTTGTGGAAATTCCAAATCATTTCCGTGATAATAATAACTATGTAATAACTCACCAACAAACTATCTCAAACTACCTCAAACTTACCCAAACTACCTCAAACTTCCCATAATTCCTCGAACTTCCCCGAGCTTCCTCGAGCCTGTGCACCGAACTTCGTACGTGATAACCCACTTCCTATTGCATAGCACCCTCATATCACCGAAAAATCGCACAGATACCGGCCTCGCTTGACATTTCATGGAAGAAATTTTGAAATATTTTCAAATTGTGATGGTGTAAACAAAATATACCATGATATAATATCAATTTACTTTTGTGGCATTGGTCATATATTTCCATGCTTTCCGGTTCTCACTGTTGAGGCACTGACTCTCCGGACGAGCCGCCACTGCTTATATGATTTTTTTTTCTGTTCATTTAGAAAGTGAAGTAATGGATTGAGGTAATGTCAGGGCCGGATTCACACATTTGAACAAGTGAACATGACAACATGGCGCACGAATTGTGGGCGGTGCCTTGTCAGTTCTCAGCATTCAGCACATTGTTGCCAATTCTTCAACATTTACATGGTATTTTGTTATGGAGTATATAAGAAATATTTGGATATACTAGTTGCTCGAAAAAGTCAAGTATGAAACATAATATCATGGCTTCCTCCTATTATGTTTTATCCTGTGTTTTTTTCACAATAATTCATTATCAGTCTACTAGCCCAATACCTATAACACTTTTTCTGAGTAGAATCGATTTTGCTGCTTCAAATCAATGAGTACGGACTACGGTAAGCTCAGAATCTCCGACAAACGAGCCGCAAAGGATATTATGGGCACTCCGAGATACCATGAGCGCAGGGAAATTAACATAGCATGGAGTCAACCCTATTTGTGAATTTGAGGAAAATATAATACGTGATTTTTTATATTGAGCTCAACCTTGGAATACTTAACAATATTTTACGAATGTCATACCGGGTGAACAACTAAGAACGGTTGTCGGCCATATCTCAGCAACGAACAATGATACAAGTTTGAGATATAATAAATCTAATGGTATGCATATCATTACACAATGTAAGGGAGAAACTAAATCACAACAGACCATCGAAAATCGCGACATGATAGCTTTTCGCCAACGGAAGATATTAACTATCAAAGTTGGAAGAATGATAGATATGACAGACGTTCTTAGTTGTTCGCCCGGTACAATGGGAGTTTTCAACAAACAAAGTAATGTCAGATTGAATGATCAACAACACTATTCGCGATATAAAATGAGCGTACGACACCTATCGGAGTTCTTGAAAGTTGCCTGTTTACTTTGTTTTTATTGGTTCACATTTGTGTTTTGTTTGTGCTTATTATCCGTGCCATCAAAACAAACCGCTCAGAAGTGTTCAAGTTGTTGCCGTTAGGAGGAACGACGTGTTATTTTCTATAGGCGACTGAATTTGAGATTGCTGCGCCAAAGTGGCTAGTTGTGGAACTATATAAAAGTACATTGTTTTGAAATGGTTCATATACTTCTGTGTATTATTTAGATTTTTTGGTAGTGTTTTAAGCTCAGATTTAAGCAAAGAAATCTTCACTTTTGACTGTTTATTTGTGTACTCTTGTGATTCGACGGAGCTTTTCGTTTGTTTCACTTGGTACTTCAAATACAAATGCCCTAATTTGAGGTAACGTTAGTTTGCATTTCGTTCTCATTCAGAAGTGAAATAAATATTATAAGTGGAGTAATAATGATGTTGAAGTTCACAGAGTGGGTATTTGAGATGTATATATTGTAGTCGATTCATATGTGTTTATGAAAGAGAAAAAGTCCTCAAAGCTAGATGTATGTGCGAATAATTGATTTACCTCGGTAGGAAAAAATTAACATAATATGTTTTTTAGTTCTTTGCTAAGTATTTAATTTTTCATTCAAATTCCTTCTGTAACTTCACTACTGGAGAATATCTTTCAATTATAATAAACTGATTAAAATCAAATTTTTTTGTGAAATGTAGAAAACTTTCATGAGTTACATGTGAAACCGAGCAATGATGATTCAAGATACTCTACGGAAGAATTCAAAATCGAAAAATATCACAATTACTACCAAACTTTCGATAAAATACATGGAAGCTTGAATGTAAACAAACATTCAAGGTACTTTCCATTGGTTACTTGAATATCCGCCAGAGGGGGCCTATTGCTCATTTTGAATCGCCTGATAGGCAATACAATAAGCATAGAGAACAACTAACGAGGTATACTCCCACTTGAGTCTCACTGCTTATCTGTGCTATACTGCCATCAGTTCAGTGATAATGACCTCTGACGTGGCAGTCAACAATTTTTATTAACATTTTCATGAAAAGGCTAGCAATTTTTTGTAAAGTTCAGTAAAACGGTAGCAATAAAGATCCTCTCGTGGAAAAAAATCAAGTAATCGGTTTCTCAGCGGTTCAACATATTTTTGGGGGTGCTGAATCTGAATCTGAAGTTTGCAAAGAACATGTCTTAGAGCGTTCCGAGATATTCTCAAGAAACAGCGAAATTCTCGGACAATTCTCAGTTGTTTTCCCGTAACTGGGAAACAATATATTATAGCGAAAAGACCACCTACTAAACAGTTGAAGTGGATCAAATTTTCTATGCATAATTGTTTTTGCTTATGAATGTAGGAGTAATGAGTCAAAACCTAGAGCAAGTTAAAAATAGGCCAAATTTGCGTATTTTGCAAAAAATTATGTTCTTCGTCGGTGCTCGAAGATAATTCATAATCTACGCCTTTCTAGAAGAAACAAACTACACTGCCTGATGTGGAGGAGTCCTGGCCATGCGAGTTATTGCTTTACTCAGCGTGTAATTCGAATCTTGATTTCTCACAGTACTTATGTATATTTACATCAACTAGGTAGAATCATGTTCTTCACACCTGCCTCTTGTTATTCGTTAGCAGAGGAAAAAACAAGTTTTTCTCATATCCAGAACCATCCCCAGAACCGGATCCTTCAGGGTACCAACCCCCCGATTATAGATTGTAGATTATAGGGACATTGTCGATCTAAATGAAAAGCTAGTAGGCGACCTAGTTCGCGAGGAGATAGCTCTTGCCTACTAGGTTGTCATCTAGAACGACAATGATAGGGATTACCCTCGTCTAATTGTCTTCTATTCGCGGCCGCCAAGGTCATTAGATGACGTTGCTATCATGGTGGAATTATATGGTGTGCTACGACGCATCTTCGTATACGTAAAAACGAGTAAAACGTTATCAATTCGCCCGAGTCGCCGTGATCATTTTGGTGCGAGTATGGTCTCGCAATGACGTTATGACCAGAAAAGACGAATACAAGATACCTGAGTAGCACACCATATTATATTTTCACCATGGTTGCGATGACATTAAAAACTACCGGAAATATCCTAATCCCTGGCATAGATTGAAATTTAGACCTGTTTTCCGTAGTTTTTACCGTCATCAGAACGTCATCTAATGACCTTGGCTACCGCGAATAACCCAAGTCTTCTGATGAAACCTAGGATTTTTTTGATAAAATTTCAACCACATCAGGCGTTAGGTAGACCTGTTTCAGGTAATTCCGCTTTTAGCGGACTAATATTCAGTAATCTTTGCTAGAATATTACTCGAGAACATTACATGCATGAGCAAAGTATGTATCCCGCGGTTTCGGTCACGTTGCGACGAATGCCGCAAGTTTAAATCTCCGCTAGCCCCATTTTTTTAGGTAATTTCTCAGAGGGCAGTGCTTGAGCTCTGGTTTGCTGAGGCACCAGTGGGAGACTTTTCCGCTCTCTTTCCATTTCCTGAGCTCTGCAATTAGATGACATTTGCTTGTGCCACAGGAAGTCTCAGGTCCAAAGAATATGGACTAATGCACCTTTTTTGCTAGGCGATCAGCTGCCTCATGCCCTGGAACCCATGCACATTGCGAAGATTGATTCCAGTACTTATTTATCATAAAATGGATAATTTGATACATAGTTTGTCTAGTTATTATCCGTTTTTCATCAAAATATGTCCCCCTCACCATACTGAATACAAAAACAAAACTATGATCTATTTATACGTTTTAGATATTTTAAAAATATAGTTAATGGTTAATTTGACAAATCAAACCAAATCAAAATTCAACCATCTAAAAACATTTCCGAAAAAGCCCTGGTTCCACAGGGTAGAAGTCAATAGAGAAATCTCCTCCACAATGTGTAGAATGAGATCCGGACATTGTCTCACCCCGGAACACCTTCACAAGATTAAAATCAAAGACTCACCAAGATGCGAATGCGGTATGACTGGAAGTCTACAACACATTTTATTGGAATGCCCTAACCACATATACAACTCAAATATTCTGTACAAAAAAATTATATCCTGTAACAGTACCCAAATCTTTTCCGCTTTATCAGTAGAAGACCTGCTTAGGAACACCTCTGCCTACTCTGCTTTAATCGTTTCCACGTATCTGAAATCTATAAATATGAAACTGTAATAATTATGGCACTACTATGTTTCATGTTCATGAGCTCTATAGGAAATTCGATGTATTTTCAATTTGTGCATGATGTGTTTTCTCGAGTGATACGAGTAGATTATGAATTATCTAGGATAAAACGACCAAGAACGCCATTTTTTGCAAAGAACGCAAATTTGTTCAATTTTTAACTTGCTCGAGCACCTTACTGGCAAGTTCTACATTCACAAGCAGGAACTTTTCATGTAATGTACTAGTCAGCCAATGGCTACTAGGTTTCATCAGAAGTCGGGGGATAGAGATGACCATGAGATGAGATCGTCTTTTGGCGGGGGCTGGTACCCTGAAGGATCCGGTTCTGGGGATAGTGATGGTGCAGGTGGAGCAGATCGTGTTCGCTCCAGGATACTTTCATCCTCTATCTGGTGGTATGTGAGAGAAACTCGATTTTTCTCTCCGCTAACGAATAACGAGAGGCAGGTCTAAAAAACATGATTCTACCTAGTTGATGGTAAATTTACTGTACTGTGACAAATCAAGAATCGAGTAATACTGAATGACAAAAGCAATAACTCATATGGCCAGGGCTCCTTCACATCAGGCAGTGTAGTTTGTTTCTTCTAGAAATGCGTACATTATGATTTATCTACGAGCACCGACGAATAACACCATTTCTTGCAAAATACGCAAATTTGGTCTATTTTTACTTTGATCTAGCTCCTCATCTGTTGGTCCTACATTCATAAGCAAGAACAATTATTCATAGAAAATGTCATCTACTTCAACTTTTTATGGGGTGACCTTTCCACTTTAAAGTATAGTTTCCGAGTTACAGGCAAAAACTGAAAATTTCGCTGTTTTTTGCGAATATCTCGGAAAGCTTCAGGAATATTTTCTTGTTAACTTCAGATTCAGTTTCAGCACCCCACAGACTTATAAAACCGCAGAGAAACCGACCACTTGAAATTTTTCCATGTGCAAATTGCATTTTATTGGACTAATAGCGCTTTGACCAAATCGAATATAGGTACAGTCGTCTTCAACGAACATGTCGCGGTTGGACGGTATGAGCGCTTTTATTGCAGCGGCGATCAAGGGAGCTGACATCGTCCATGTGGGACATGATCTCTGTAGACGACTGTACTACGTTTATCATATCATCGATTAGACCTTAAGTCACTCTATATTTTGACCGTATTATATCAAGTATATAAGAAAAACATTAAATATTTTGTGAAAAGCGGTGAAATTATTCGGCTGAATCAAATCTGCCATTCATTTCATTTCATTTTAGCTGGTTGCCATTTCTCAAGATCCGTCCCAGTCTGCGAGCAGTAGTTTTTCTTTTTGGAAACAATCAAGTAGTGATGATAAATTGGAAAAACTTGGTACCAGCATTCCACAATTACTAAAAAAAGTTGAAAAAAACCAGGACAACCTCGAATGTGCTAATGAATCTTTACGAAGTGACCTAGATAGGTGGCAGAGAGAAAAACAACAGTGTTTGAAGAAGATATTACTAGATTTTGTGAACAAACAGATAAATTACTATCAGGCTACAGTGAACTCTTGGGAGTATGTCACTAATGAATTAAATCAACAGAATGCCATATCACATAATAACTGTTCAAAGTAGTAATGATAAATGAATGTTGCCTTATTCACATATTCGATATTGTATCAATAAGTACTCTAGCATGCTGATGATACTCTTTTGAGTTTTATGTCTTGGTAATCTGGTATGCCTATATTTGCTCCCATTTATTGATATTAGATGAGGTGTTTTTGATAGTCATTTTTTGAGATATGATGTATATATATTTATGGGATTCATATGGATTAATCTTGTAAATCTCTTAAAATACATTCTGTGGGTGTCTCACTCCAACTGTGCTGCAGTCATCTGATATCTGGGAATTTATTGGTTGATTATACATGATATATTCCAATCGTAAATCCATCTTTCTGAAAATCACACTATCTTCATACAAGTTGCAATAGCCTTTTCATAACACTACTCAGAATCACACTCGATCATGGGTAAAATGGACGAGTTTTTCGCTCATTATATCATCGAAGTCGTTCAACGTACTCCCATCAAACACGGTATCGTTCAATAATTCTTCGGGTGTCCAATTAAAAAAATACTATGGCAACAATGACTAATCGTCTGTGACATTTTCGATTTAAGTATAATGGGGAAGACCATTGAGGGATCAAATTTATCTCAACCTCTTTCAATCGATGAATCATGTTTCACATCTAATGTAAATGTTAAAGTTGAAAGGAATCGTACCAATAGCGATATTTCAAAAAGTCAGATATAATGGTGGAACCGTAACCGTATCAGCCCCGAACTATAGCTATCTCTCTCTGGTCCTTTGCCATTCTGCAGTGTGATTGGTCAGCTCAAGTACAATAGGTGTTGGGACTAATATAATCACACAATACTCTCTCTCACACACACATACACACACACATCGACATCATTTCAAATGGCACAGTGTGTGTTTTGATTTAAACATTTTTTATCGCTCTGGTATGAATGAGAAAATTCAAAAATATATTTACTGGTATAGAGCTCATCATTATGTCGTTTTAAAAAATCAGTGGTCTGCCCCATTATATTTTTTTCTCGAAGATGTCATAACTTCAGGTGTCGATGCGTTTAATAGTCAGTTTGTGTATTTATGTATACCGGGTTATTCACGTTATTCGATACGAAGCATTGTGGCTAAAGAATTTGATTGTATAAGTATTTTCTTTAGGATGGATAGACACCTATTAGCGCTTCATTCTAAAACAACATGAAAATATATTCTTTAGCCACAATATTTTGTGTCGAATAACGTGAATAACTCGGTATATTCACCCTATGAATTGGCTTTTTCTAACCAGGTATAGAAATTATTCAATTTGGTATGTTTCAGTGAGACACCCACTACTAGTGAAAAATCAGTATAAATACCTGAAACGCGAATTGGAATACTCTCAAAATTTCTCAACAATATTGGAAAAGAGCATGTCATAAAAGTCATGAATGATGAACTATTCATCAATAAACTCAATGATAATGAACTGTTCAATGATTTTTGTTATACAAATTATTTTTCTACAAACGTCGAAAATGACAAGGTTCGCGCATTGACAAATTGCGAAGTGGCACTTTTTTTTTCAGTTTTTTACGTTATCATGACACCATGGGCGAAGCAGTGTGCGAAGTACATACTTCGCGCATTGTATGTAAATATAAGATTTTTATAATTTTACTTTATGGTCCTCAATTGGGAAAACATTCAAGAAATCATTTATTTCTGAACGTTTTACAATATTTTTTTCATCTCTTGGACTGCACGAAAGGAAATTCCTATAATGTTTGTGGAACATCGTGCGTACCTAGAGTGGATAGGGGAGGCCTTTTTAAGCCAGTTCAACACCATTTTTTCATGTTTAGCTATGCATATTACTACTTCAGAACTATATTTTTTACGTTTGTAGAAAAACAATTGTTTGCATCTCGTCGCGAAATACTTGGTCATCTCGAATATTTTTTTCTCGATCACCAGTGGCATTTCACGCACTAGATACAAAAATAACTATAGGTACTGTAATTCGAAAATAGGAATGATTTGAATCATTTCGATTGTCATAGATTGCAAAAGCATAATACTAATTATTGTGAAAGTAATTCTATCTTTTTGTTAAATGTTTTTTTTTATAATTTTCTATAATTTGGTTGAAGTCACTGCACGGTGGTATAGTATGATGAATTCGAACATCAGAACATGGAGAATTATATGTATAGTATTATCAATGTCCTGCCAATAGTTCAAACATACTAATAGCACGTGGTGGACATTCCTTGCTAACTGACTTACGAAAGACTACACCCATGTAATAAATACAGTGTGATCAAGATAAGGTTGCATAGAATGGGAATTTCACAAACGAGTGAAGATATGAATTCAATTGAGTAAAAAAGTTGCGCATTCACAGGGTCATACCAACGGCCTCCGAACATTTTCAAAATTGTAACTGGAAAACTATACATTTCTGGAGAATCTATTTTTTTACGTTATTATCAGAGTTACAGAAAAACTTGAAATATTTTCCATATAAACTTTGATGGGATTTAACGTGGTGATATCTAAACTGCTCCACATTTGAAGTGAGACAAGCGAATATTTTGTTTGTTTTCGCACCATAATAACTTTGGATGGGATATAACATAGTTGAACATAGTATAACATAGTTTTCTTACGTTTCTCCACCTTTCCGGAATCATGACCAACAGGATGATATCTGAAAAAAATTTCGAAAAGTTCGCCCCGTTAGTAGGATAATTTTATAAATTTTTTTCTGACTGCAAAAACATGAAGCCTGATGTGTTTTCCCGAAATTGTTACGGATTCATCATGATCCAAACAGGATGTTTTAAGATATGCAATTTTAAAAAACATATGACTTTTCGAATTGTTTGAATAACTCAAATTCATTGGTTAACCCCTCAGTATAGTCGCATGTTGTCTGGGAAATGATAATTTCTTAGTTACTTCGGTACGTCGTCTTCGAACACAGACTGCTGGCCAACTGAACTGGACACTATGAAATGGAAGGGGAGTTGTTGTCTCATATGAGACAATCAGAAGAAGGCTTCATGAGCGCAATCTGAGAGCTAGAAGGAAGAACATCTTGTACTTTGTTAAAGCTGAACCATAGGATAGCTCGAAGAGTTTGGGCTCAGAACCATTTCGTACTGGTCGATGATAATGCACGACCACATCGTGCGAGAATTGTCACCGAAGTTCTGAGACAATATAACATTGAAAGAATGGACTTGACAAGCAGTATGCCGAGAAGAGAAGAGTTAGCACCTCGTAACAAAATATTGATAAGTGCATTACTTCAAAACTTCCGTTGTTGATTTTTCTTCATTAAAAAATATTGTGTTACATATTATCTGTATTCTCTTAGTGGTATGTTCATCAATTCTCATAATTTTCATCCTCTGAAAAATACATCCTAATGAGCTTTGACGAGCTTTGACTATTGTCTCAGTCACAATTATGCAGATTAATGTAATATTCTACAAAATATTGTATTTATAGCCAGAATCATTTAACATAAAAAAAACATATTATTGTTGTTGTGAAATTATCATCATGATGATGAGAAATCTCACATTTCTAAAGGAAACAAAATTCCACTATACTACTGGAGCAACAATGAAAAACATTGTATTCCTCCCTACGAACTAACAGTTTGTCTTGGCACGAGTATGTCGCAAATATTGCTGAAGCAGTTTCACGGAGGCTGAGATATTTCTTTCGCGCCAAGAAGTAGGTACTTCACACCGCAGCGACTGATGCCTTTACAAAGCTCAACTAGCACTATCGGTTCGACTGGCTGAAATATCACATCCTTATTCAGTCAGAATTTAAACACCTAGAACATCGTGTTACAATGTTTTTTTTAGCACATCGTCACTTTGGAATTCATCTTCTGTGGATATCTTCCCAGAAAATTACAATTTGACGTATTCCAAGAGAAGGATTCACAATTTTTTGTCATCCAGCGCTCGCAGTGCCTCTGTGGCATCATAAGTCCAATCCTTTTGGAAACACTTCACCATAAAAACAATATCCAGACAACATGAGACTATACCGAGGGGTTAAACCAATGAATTTAAGGAATCCAAACGATTCGAAAATCCATATGTTGTTCAAAATTGCATATCTCGAAACATTCTGTATGGATCTTGATGAATTCTAAACCATTTTGAGAAAACACATCAGGCTTCATGTTTTTGCAGTAAAAAAAAATTAAAAAATTATCCTACTAACTTCAAACTTTTCTAAAATTATCACACTTTCAGATATCATCCTGTAGGTCATGATTCCGAAAAGGTGGATAAACGTAAGAAAATTATGCTATACCCAATCGACTGAGCAATCCGAATCCCAAAAGAAATCAAATATCGGTGCGAAAACAAACAAAATATTCGCTCGTCTCACTTCAAATGTGGAGCACTTTATTTCTCTAAGCAACGTTTTCTATTCGAAGAACCATCATCTACTTCTGCTTATCTGTTCATAGGTTCTGATAGCTTTTTTATTCGGAATTCAACCATGTATTCATCAAAGTGGTTTGAATGTGTTTCGACCTAGTTTTAACCATTTTCAATGTTTTTCCGAAATTACAAAGAGGAAATACCATCAGTTCCACTTATTTCTGATCATTCAGTGTCAAACATTGATGGAGTAGTCATTCAATACTGAAAAATAAAATTTCAAAAATTATTATTAAATGTAGCACAACAAATTGTTGATGGATTCTTACACGGATTTCCTTGATAACTGATCTTGTTCTACATTTTCTTGACCGGTGCGATCGCCTGACTGGACACCGCTGGATTTTTTCTTTTGGGATACGTTGAAAACTTTGTTCACTCAATTAATTTTGAAAACGAAGAACTGAGGGACATTATTGTTATTGAAGCATTCAATAGTATTGCCCCATAAATGCTTACAAATGCCTTAGAAAAAACTGTAATAAGAGGATCTTTGTTTAGAAAATGATGAATATAATTTTGAAGTTTAGGTTTCAAGGTAATTTGTGTAAGAATCCATCACCATTAAATATTTGAAGCGCTGCATTGAATAATTCAGTGAAATATTTCATTTACTTTTCAGTAAATACTTTCACGTTAAATCTCACTAAAAGTTGCTATGGAAGAGTATTTTCAGTTTTTCTTTATCTCTCTAATAATAATGTAGAAAGAAAAAGAGATAGATTTTCCAAAAATTAACTTTTTTCAATATATTTGAAAAACTAAGAACAATTTTGAAAAATTAGGAGAGCTGTTGGAATGACCCTCTGAATGCACAAATTTTTTCCCATTCATCCAATTTCGTATCTCCTCTCGTTTCAAATATCCCCGTGCAGCTTCATCTTGGTCACAGGGTGTATTGAATTCTAGGGTGAAACTGATAGAATATTGTTCCATTATGTATTTAATTGATAATTCAGTTTTGAGAATCACTGTCTATGTTTTAGTGGTTGTCGACCAACAGCAATTTTCAGATATTTATTTTGTTAAGTTTGAAATTTCATAATTTAACCTTGTTATTGTGTGAATGGAGTAACGTCACTGCCTTCGATATTGTTGATAGGGAAAATAAAAACAGAGAAACTGCCCTGAAAATAACTTGTAATTTCCGTTAACAAACTCACAAAAAACATTGAATATCATGTCATAACTGTAAAAATCACTGCAAAAAATCTAAACACAATAACATTATGCTACTTCAATCAATTTAATAAATAGCAAACAATTACAGATATATTTTACTATAGCAAAAATTGTGCTAAATAAATAAATTCAACAAAAATATACCAGGAGGTAATTTACATTTCAGAAGTCAGATCGCTTATCCCTATTCTTGGCTCTCGATAACGTTCTTGCTTTGAAATTCGCTGCATTCAATAAGCGCTGAAAAGAATAATTACCATTACTCAAAATTCACTTTTGAAAAGATGTATGTCCGTGAAAAGTAGGTGACTTGGTTAATCATATTATTAACTATTAGCCCTCCCTCTGTTATGCAGTACCAGCGCCAATGACTTCACAGCTATTTTTTTAAATGATGATTCAATTTAGAACATTTTTTATCATACAACAACAAAGATTTGTTGTTGATTTGTTCACTCATTTTGTCATGAAGAAATGAAAATATAGAATTTAATTTCAATGAAGTTGATAAAAATAGGACAATCAGTAAAAAAATTCTGAATTACCTCTGAAAAGAAACAATATCAAAATTTCCATAAAACAAAGAACAATTCAAAATGCATGATCATCACAAAAAAAAGCTGAATTTCTGGCGTTGAAAAACAGAGGAGTCAGTGGTTACTAAACTGATGCCCGCCCTGAATGTCAAACATCAAGGACTCAAAAAAAAGGCATATCATGGTCATATCAAGTGGTTAAGGGATTGACCTGGTTCAATTTTATTTTGTATTATGCATGTGGGCAACAAAACTGCAATCTTCATGTGACCATTTTTCATCAAATTCTTATAACTTCGATTACAATGATGTAAAATAAATAAGCGACTGGACTGATATTGCGTTTTTCACATTGAACAGTACACTATGTTGTTACAGACCTCACAAGATGTGTTTTCCCATTCTAATGTGATTTTGTTGCACGCCTTCCAATGGGCTTATATCACAAAAAAAATTTATTTCATAATTCGATAGAACTCACCCAAACTAGCTCACCACCGCAAACCGTTTCTTGCTGTGAGCTCCCTACGTTTTGTAAAAAATGATTGAAATCCCCGATTTTTCGGACCTTTGAAAACGAGGCGATGATGTGACATCAAAACCCTTATACTGAAACAAGACTATTCCTGACAGAGATGAATGATACATGATTTCTGACAGAGTGAATTAGCGTGTGATCACAGTTGAAAGAATTAATATATCAGTTGCCTCAGTCTCCGTCGGGCGTTTGGTATTCTCTTTCAACTATGGCGAGATGAGGTTTCTACGTCATAAGAGGGTCCGTTTTCAGAAGGTACTATTTTTTATGTCCAGAAATAAAACATTCCAGTTAATTTTTCGATCGAATTATGTCCTCAATCATTATTCATATATCATTAAGGATCATTATAAACATAGTTTGAGTTAAAAGTTCTACTAAGGTGTACACGCCCATTAGAATTTTATTGATGTCGGCTGATTATTTGAAACACGTTGTCCAATCACAAATTATACACGAGTTGTCTGGAATATGTATGCCAGTAATTTCATCAATACTATCGAAATTCCGATTAGTTGATGGTTAAACGTAATGCCCACTTTATGCTAAGAAAGAATGGCATATTTATTACATATTCTGAGTAGCTATTTGAATATTATAGGGATTCCCTTTCGTGCGGTCCAAGCGATTTTTATTGGATAATGATGGAGGCAATAGTACACCAGCCTAATATGACTTATGGCGTGACGAAAGGTTGAAGACAAATCCATGTTCAAAGTAGAATGTACTATGATATCGGCAATACCAAACATTCGGTAAAAACTGGCTGGTGGCTCGGCAACTGCGCTCTGCACGATCTGACATATACGAGAAAAAAGCACTAACAAAAAATCACCTAGACCGCAAATGCCATCAGAAGGAAGGTAAGCTACTTAAGAGATTGAACTGAAGAAGATGAATCCTGCGCATTTAGGATGGAACATTAGGAATATTTAGAGAACCGAACAGGTCATTTTGAAACTTTGTGGGCGCGGATAATCAAACATGCTCTATATATCTAAAATATTTACAAAAATACAGTGTTGCCGCTTATATCAGAAAGTACTAGGACTTCTACCAACGTTAGAAAGTACTAGCTACTTTGTTATTTCAAATAGAACACTCCGTATATTATGTCATTCTTTGAATCCTTATAAGATTCTTCATAACTTATCTTGAAAATTCCCTATACCTATCTGTAACAGTTTTCGCGTTAAAATTTTTTTTGAATGGATCATTCTGTATATTATTACTTATTTGGAAAGTTGAGACATTTTTACCATTCAACTGTGTGTGAGTTCCCTATATATCTATCTCGTACAGTTTGTTAGTTATGGTCATTTATGTTATAAACTCTTTGTCATTCTGTGAATTCAAGTTTCATAGGTGTACTATCTACTAAGTACTATGGCAGAAAATAATGCATAACATGCCAGATGATATTTTTCATTGAACTTCCGGCCTGGTCTGCTTAAATTTTTGTTACATTGACCAGAAATGCTGGGTGAATTCATCAAAATACATTTGAGTAATTATTTCATGCCATAGTACTTTCACACCTATGGAACTTGAATTCACAGGATGACAATAAAGGCATTATATGTCTACTTCTTAGTCACTAACCAGTAATAATTTTATTGAAGACTAGTTCATAACATGAATCACATTATAACTAACAAACTGTACGAGATATGTATAGGGAACTTATGCACAATTGAATGGTAAAATGTCTCAAGTTTCCAAATGAGCAATTATTTACAGGGTGTTTTAAAATGACTAAGTTTCAATCACTTTCATGAGTCCCCGATAAGAAGTTACTTCTGAACCTCCCTGTATGCTGAAATTGAGATCCAGATCGGCAGAATACTTGATAGTCTTATGTAGCTATGCATTGCAATGTTTTGTGAAGTTGCATTTTGCAAATATCCTTATTTTTTCATGGATTAGTTTTTGCATGAAAGTTTGACAAACAAAATTTTATCACGAAAACTGCTACAGATAGGTATAGGAAACCATCGGGAAGTGTTATGGAAAATCTTATAAGGACTCAAAAAATGACATAATATACGGGGTGTTCCATTGGAAATAACAAAGTAGCTACTACTTCCTGATATAAGCGGCAACATTGTATTGATGAAAATATTGTAGATGGATAGAGCATGCTTGCCACGTCCACAAATTTTCGAAATGATATCTCATTCGATTTTCCAGATACTTCAAATGTTCTGTGAAACACCAGGAAACATTACTCGCCGTCATGAAAGACCGTTTGAGGGTTCTTGCACATTGAGCAGAAGCGTTCTCAGGCGAGCAACTTACCCGAGATTTCCAGAATAAAGCGACTGATAATCTTTTCAAATAATATAAGGAGAGCAATAATTGATCATTTATGTGGGAAATGTTCTACCATTCTAATGAGGCTGTGACTATTTGTGGTTTCAAGATATTCAATAATATTTTGAACAATATCAGAATTGGATAGTGCAAGGATTCTTGATGAAAATTAAACAAAAAAATCAGTCCAATCGCCCATAGTATAATGGTGATCCACAGTATTTGCAATACCCATTCCAATATTTTAAAATCTTGTAATGTACTTAACTATATTAAATCGTATTAAAGCATACTGAAAAAAAAACGCCAATCATTATTCATACTCACTTTCCTGAATCGTTCCATCTGATGTTGAGCAAGACCTCCTATCTCGTTTGTAGGTGGCGGTTCCAATATTTCGAATATATCGCGGAGCAAGAAGTTTTCTGTAAGGTGAATATTAATGCTCGGCCCAAGAATATTGCACAATGTTTCATATTGTTTCCTTCTTGTCCAAGTATCCAGGAGTAAAACTTCTTTGCCAAATTTGACTTGTATTTCAGGTACTGTATCATTCTAAAAAAAAATTGCACAATATTATACTAAGGCCGGAAATATGCTAGAGCGGCGCTGTTAGAGCGATAATGAGAACTACGAGTAGCTTATTCAGGTGAAATATTGGTACAATAAACTAAACTTACACTGACTTGCCCAACTTTTATATCGTACTTCCCCAATCTTAAGGATTCATATTACCTGTGGAATGGTTCACAAAGCCTTCATTTTCGGAAAGTAGGCACAATATCTACATTAAGATTAAGTGTACTGGATTAACTTGAAAGGGTTGATGGCAACTATATTATTACCTACTCCCATGTTGAATCAACCATATATTAGAATAAAACCAGAGTTTTGATGATAATTTCGAAATTTTACACAGAAATAAAGGAATAAAACTCAATCATTCGGAATAATTAGAAATTAACAAACGCAAAAATTTCACTTTACGATCAACTAGACCTCGATAATTCACCGCTGCTGACTTTGTTTTCTTAGTAGCTAATAATTAGTTGCTATCAACCCTTTCAAGTTAATCCGATACACCTAATCTTAATGTAGCTATTATGCCTACAAAAATTGTTCTAAAATTGTTCTATTCGTCATTCCGTTGCCCCCTTACGAGCAACCCTCAGAAGTCTTCGAGAGACTTGTGCGAGCACTTGTGCGAGCAAGGAATGACGGGGGCCTTACCTTTTAACGTGTGATCCCAAACACTTTCTTGGGCCATCAGAAAAATTTCTGCAGTCGCGGGAATTGAACCCACGACCGGCAAGCGAACGCGGATTAGAATACTGACACTCTGTCCGCACGGCTACCTGGCCTACTTTCCGAAAAATGAAGGCTGAATCACTGGCCGGTAATGACGGATTTTTTGCAACGTTTTTTTAATGTATGCAACTTTCAGGTAACGATTTTTATGGGTTTTCAACATGTCCTAGGTCCTAGACAATTATCAAGGTCTAAATTTTTTTCTGTAACGGGAAAAAAGTTTGAAATTCCATCTCTGTTGACAGGTTATAAAATGTCACTTTTCATAAAAACCCTTTTTCCACGGGAAAAAGTGAGTACTTTTTACCGGATATATATCACACATATACAATGTTGATGGCGTTGTTGATTGAAATAAGCCAATAACACCGTCTCCGAGAAATAACTGCAAGTCCTTTTATCTTCCATTCCACCTCGCGGTTACGTAAATTACTAAACGACCACTAAATTCACAATTTTTGACAATCCAATCACAGAATTACACTGACGCGTCGGGAGACAACACAACCTAGATCTCCTAGAGCTAAAATCTACTACTTTTTCCCTTGTATAATAAATAACTAGTATTGAACAACAAAACGCGCCACCTAATCGTGAGGTCAGGGTTGGTAGAACTGTCAATGTAAGAGCCGGTTCAATTCTTTCGGTAACTTGAGGTTTTTTATTTGTTCAAATATTCTACATCATTTTTTCCGAATATTTTCGATAACAGGCTATCCAGCAAAATTTTGAGATTTCTGACTTTGACACTGACCTCACGTTTTAGTAGCCCTCATTTGTGCTCGCTTACAGCAGCGTCATCAAATATGAATTTTCATTGAAAATTGATGATTTGGAACAATGAGTAAATTAATGCAAATTGACAAAAACAAAAAATATACCGCGTCTGAAAGAATTTGCATACGCTGCACTGGTAAAAAAATCGCGAAATTTTTAACTGAACATGTGAAGAAGAACAATTATTTAATGTATGCATTTTCGCAGGCATATTTTTGCTGTTACTTGTATCATGATAAACTACTTTGCATGAAATTTTAGCGTGGACATGCGCTGTCGTAATTTTTCAAACTTGCACTTTTTTCTGATTACATAATTTTCTTCACCTACGGCCACTATAGAAAGTAGGCAAAAACACACGAGATACAGCCTCAGTAAGTAGCTCTTTAAGCACAGTAACCACATCGCACAGTTTTCGTTTATTCCGCCAGTGATGATCCGTGTAATCGCCGTCAACAGCGGATGACATAACTGTCAATAATTATAATTCACTGTTCAAACTTTTTTGATGCACTATATGGCAGTAGGTAAAGTATAGTACGTAATGCGTGTTGTAAAGGACTTACGCACTCATGGAATTAAGAACACTTTACACAATATGCTAAAACATTGCAAATTCTTTCCGCGGTATATAATTTTTTGAAATTTCAACAAAAACCAATTTGCATGCATTTACTAATCGTTCGAAATCATCAATTGTCAATGAAAATTCGAATTTGCACGAGAGCACAAATTGATAATTGTCTAGAACATGTTGAAAACCCATGAAAATCATTATTTGAAAATTGCATACATTAGAAAAACATTTCAAAAAATCTGTGATTACCGGCCAGTCTATCAGCGAAACTTTTCACAGGTAATGTTAATCCTATTCATTGGGAAATTAGGATATGAAAGTTAGGCAAGTCAATGTTTTTGTTGTATAAGTATTTCACCTGAAAAACTACTGTATTAGCAAAGCATGTCCTGCGATTAAGAATTTTGTGGAAATCATATTGTTTGTGAAGTTTTTTACAAGTCGCGTTTTTTTGTGATTTTCTGGTGTATGAATTATGTAGGAAGGAATAAAACTGTAAACAATGAAGAATGACATTGATGTGATGACAACCGTGTGACATACAACCAAACTGGAATCCACCAAAGAATATATAAACGCAGTTGGTGGATTGATGGAGCCACCGGTAAATAAAAGAACGCCCCTATGTTGTGTATAATCTCTGGTAGAAGGATTTGTCTGAAATTTGGTAGGTACCATCCAATATGGCGGACTTCCGGTTTTCTGGATATGCCGGCAACTTTGTTCCCTCAAATGGAATAATAGGTGTGTTTTGTTGTGCCATAACTCAATCTGGTTCTTGGAATTGTACACGTTTTTTTGTGCATTCAAACCCATTCCCATTCACATTCCTTCTCATGAGAGGGGTTGAAAATTGGAATGACAAATAATAGTGACTTGTGATCATTATTGTGTCATGAGAATTGACAGTTCAAAGAAAAAATTGTCAGCATTTATGGCATACAAGCTAATAATATTTTCCAATAGAACTTCAACACCAATTTCAAAAAGGGCACTATTCGTGCGCTCCAAACGAGAATTCCTTTATCTAAGGCATTGATATCTTCCAAAAATCCAATCATAACTCTAAAACGTTCGCTGAGAATCATATTGGAATTGGATATTAAATTAGTCAATATCAATTTTTGATTCATGGGAATAAAAGCCGAATGATGGTAATGGTAAAATTGTTACATACCAGAGACAAATACGAGGACAAATATAATATGAAAGTCAGATTTTGAGGTTGAAAATGTCAAATTTTTCTACAGTTTCAAATGTTCTTATTGTCTGGCGCCGATCCTTTTTCTTGGGCCCACTCATTCTATCACTTCCGGAATGGCACAACAAAACGCACCCACTGTGTATTTTTACATAGTTCAACAGGTTAAAACAAGTGCAATCTTAATGTCAAATGTCATATTTTCGCAAAAATTGTTTTTTTATTTTACCTCATGGATAAATGAGATGTGGTCAAGGCTATTCACAATGAGTCACACATAACAGAGAACCATGTTTTTTTCTGAAAAATTATATTCTGTGTCACTTATTGATGAATCATTCCAGTCACATCACACTTTGATCAAAAATTCATTTTTTTCAAATCGGCCACCTGAATGTCTCTAGAACATACATGTAACAAATTGTATACTTTCAAAAATTGATAACTAGTTTCATGAATTTCCTTGCAGTTGGAATAATTTTTCAAGTAAGCAAAGCAAAAGCAAAACTTTATAATGTAATACCTCAATGAATTGCAGAATATCTCTGAATGTGGCCCGTTGTTGTTTCCTGTCTTTCTTGGCTCTGTATTTATGTGAATCTGTTGCTAATTGTTTTAGAGTTTCTAGAAGGTCTAGGGCAAAATCGTCTTCAAAATCTTCATTCTCTTCTCTACCCAACTCGTAAATCAAAGCCAATGCCTCCCCAGCAGCCATTCTGACATCTAAGTGTGTTGAAGCTAGGAGTTCCGACAGCTTTTCAAGGGATCTGAAAAAATTGGAATTGAATGAGATACACTTGCCAGGAGATATTTTATCATAAAATGGCATCCATCAGAATTTGGCGGGCGAATTGATTTCCCAGTTTATGATCATAAATATAGTAGAAATAGTAGTTTATATAATAAGTCCAGCAATGCGATCTTTAGAGTATGGAGTAAGTCTGGAGCATGAAACTGTACTTTTTTCATTTGAATATCACTTGTAATGAGTGTAAAGCGTTTGTGTTACTTTTCAGCTACAAACAATCACGCTCTACAATGTGCTTACCAAAATGATTGGTTGTTATACTGTTATAAAAAAAAATCTGTGATATCGTGTTTTGAAATTTCACTTTATTCGGACGTTTCCTCTTTTCAACATTCAAATGGGGAACAATTCTTGAGATTGATCTTTTTGTTACAATTCTCAGTAACAGAAAATGTCAGAAAAATGCGTGAGTTACAGAGTGTTTCTCTAACTGGATCTTGAATAAACCTTCTTTATTCTTCTTCAAACATTTTTCACACAAGGTGTCACTGACTATCAATTGAATTTCTCTCTTTGGTTTCCAATAGTAACATTTCAAGTCAGTGACATTTTAGAGCAAATCACCTGATTTGTCCTCACTACAAGCATATAAGTTGCCCGGTGCAAGTGGACCTACCACTATAAAATAGGTGGCGCCCGAGTTCATTAGTTAATAACCCGAGCTGGGGCGCTAAACAACTTACCTCAGAGTAGATAACGTTGCAAGAAGATGATTGCGATTTATATATCAATGGAGCAATAGCATTTCCTCCTAAGATATATACATGGTGTCCGGAAATTATGCGCAAAAAATCAAGGGGGTGATTCTACATGATAAAATAAGAAACTTATTTCATATGTACGTTCGTCCGGAAATGCATAGTTTTCAACATACAGTGTGTTAAACTTAAAAAATATGAGGTCTTTGTTTCATTGGTAACTAATAGATTGTGACATACAGTTTGTTTACCACAAATTTACATACAGGGTGACTAGAATTCGTGCGCAAAAAAATTTGGAGGTGAGTCAACATGAGAGAACATGATTTTTTAAAATTTGTATCTGGGTCCGAGAATACCTAGCTCTCAATATACAGAGTGTAGAGTGTGTCAAACATGTATTATAACATCATTTGAAGGTTTGCGGCCTTAAATGATGGAGCAAACGCTTATTTTCAAAGCAGTGAGTAAATAAAATTCATATTTTCATCGAGAGAGAAGAGGAGAGAAAATCTAGAGAAATGAATATTCCAGTGAATATTTATGCCACCTCCTGAATAAACAATTTTCTTTGTTGCTTGTCGGAAAAAAAGTGTACGCAACACGCCTGGACTTTTTACTATTCACTATTTCCTACTGGGTGTCTAGAATATCACTTACGGTAGATTCTTCGAGTTGTTGATCATAGTTCCGATATTTCCAGGGCTCATCAGCGTGAAAAGTAAACTCCAGGTATTAATCGCAGCTGCATGGAGGGTAGCAGTTTCAGGGGTGATATTTGGTATGGTTCCATCACCTTTTAAGTAACTCCCAGCAAAAATGGACTCAAACTGCTGCATGAGAATCATCACATCTCCAATTTCACCACTAGTTAGGAAAGTAATGCTACCCAATGCAATGCAACACTAAAAATGAGATAATAATATCGTCCTTATTATTTTCTTCCACGTGTAAAAGCATTACTATTTATACAAGTTGTTTATCGAATCTTTACATATGGGAGTATTAAGAAAGGATGGCATTTGGCAACATTGCCAACTACGGAGTATTCGCGGTCGCAAAGAGGTCATTAGATGACGTTGGGATGTCATTAAAAACTACGGGAAAACATGTCTAACGTTCAATCTATGCCAGGAGTTTTGAATGTCAACGTCAACAGCGGTTGTATCACTGAAGGGGGCGGAGACTAGCGAAGACGTGCGTTAGCCGAATGCGATGTTGGCATCCAAATGCCCTATATGTAATGATTCGTAGTGTTAAAATTTTTGAAGAGAATGAAAGGCGAGGTTCAATATCCACGATGAACACATGGCTTTCCTACTCAACCTCAAAAATATATTGATCGGACAGTGTTTTGAAAACTTGAAGATTCAAGCAATAATAATCATGATAATAATATAATCAAGGCAATCACCAGTAAAAAGTGAAAAGTACATTTAGTAAATAATCAATAATAAGGGGTCAATGGCATCAAAAGGGATTAAATAGGATCTAATAGATAAATTGCATGTCAGAAATCAGTTCAAATGGATCAGGAATACCATTATAAATTGCATATACTTGATATTTGAAGCATCTAGATAAAAAAGATCTTCGGAACATTTTTGAACGGAGTTTGGGAGGTGTGAGTCTGCCTTCAATTCTTAAATTGAGATTATGCACGTCTGCTCTGAAAGATTTTTTCAAAATATTGATGAGGAGGGATTTTATGATTATTTCATGAACAAAGTGCCAGCGAGTAATGTTCTCCTATTTTCCATGTCTAATCTTCTATTAGCCTTTACTCTGTAAGATATTCTTTCTGCCTTCAAATTCTGAAAATGAAAATGTCCGAAAATGATTCATTTCTGAAATACAGGGCATCGAGTATTCCAAAAAGTGAGTTTTTCATTAATAGCTCGAAAAGCCGATTCCATTGAAATTCTCGTTTGTTTAAAGAATTTTTAGACATCTACTGCACCAATCACCTATCTTTTTTGAGTGCCTTGATTCGTTTTTGAGAGAAAAAAAAATCGTTGGAAAGCTGGCTGCAAATTTTGACCGTCATCTGATAACGGAATGATATATGTCCCAGATGAATGTAAAAACATTGTAGTTTATCGATCGGCACCTGTACCAATCACTATCCTGAACAAAATGATTGAAAAATTGCACTTTCCTGTGCGAAAATTTGCACTTGATTTTGCAATCTGATAACGAGATAAGGATTATATATGTCATCCGATAACAATTGAATGGTAGATCTCAAAAACCTACCTGTGCAACCCCTCAGTCTGAGCCAAATCCATGGCTCAGCGATTTATTTGCTGCTATTATTCCGGACATACTTTCGTCATGTGATAACGTGTAGGAACAAAAACCCAGTTCTCAGATGATACTACCCTATTATGGAAAAATGGAAATGAAATGGATTTGCATCAACAAATCAAAATGGATGTTGTCAAGATAAAAACGTGGTGTGATGCAAATATGCTATCTTTAAACATAGCAAAAACTTATCACTTTCAAAGGTCATCTACCACTTCTACCAGAACTTTATCTGGGGAATCAGGTAATTAGCAGCATGAAATCAACCAAATTCCTCTGCTTATACATTGATGATAAGCTAAAGTTTGAAGATCATATAAAGACGTTAGGAAAAAAAATTGCCTCTGGCTGTTTTGCAGTAAAAACAACCTCATGGGTGCTGGGTAGGGACATGGCCAGAAAAGTTTAGTTTGCTGTAATTGATTCACATCTTAGATACGGAATTTGCTTTTGGGGATCTTGTAGTGGTTTTTTACTTGACATGATATTTGTTTTGCAAAAAAGGGCGATAAGGTACATGAACAAAGCCAAGCCCAGGGACTCTTGTAAGCCTTTATTCATAGAACAAAAAATCTAACCACTACCGTGCATTTACATATTGGAAACTGTATGCCTCATCCACAGTAAATTTAGAGATAGAGTACATTCTACTGCACAATACACTACTAGACAAGCCCTTACCTTACCACTCCCAAGGTCTTCACTAGTAAAAAATTCCTTTATATTTAACGGAAAGAAAATGTTCAACCACCTACCTAATGCAACTAAAATTATTACTGATAAAAGAAAATTCAAAACTTCCGTGAGAAATATATTACTAGAGAGAGCATTCTATTCGCTGGACGAATTCTACTCCGAAAGATTCTAAATAAATTTAGATTTCACTTGTTTACATCACCCCATAACTTTTTATATACATCATCCTCTTCTATTCTATTCTGCTTCTTGTTTCAACTCGTTATCACAGGACGGTAGTATATCCGGAATGATAGCAGCAAATAAATCGCTGTGCCGTGGATTTGGCTCAGACTGAGGGGTGGCACAAGTAGGTTTTTGTACCCATTTAATTGGTATTTTATCTCGTTATCAAATCGCAAAATCGAGTGGACTTTCCGCACAGGAAAGTTTCAATTACTTTGCTCAGGAAACTGATTGGCATAGGTGCCGTTCGATAAACTACAATGTTTTCACATGCCTTTGGGACATGATATTATTATATCATTTCGTTATCAGATGACAGCTGAAATTTGGAGCCAGCTCTTGGACTAAGGTACTCTTCTCATTCACAATGCTACTGAATAATTAGTGGATACAATATTATTTTCAAATCTGCAGGTGACAGATCGAATTGATACCTCTAGATTTTTAGATAGATCTGCTTAAGATGTTGAAAATTTTTGATTGAATCAGGCATATGGTTTCCCTGAAGTCATCATATTATTGAACTATATTTCCATTTTTGGAAATCATTCCCGATCTAGTGGAATGAGATGAGAATTTACAGTATTATTGGTTTCACTACAAACCATAATAAAATTAATTTTGGCAAATAAGTACAAAAAAAAAATTTAAGGCCTCATTTGAAAATTAAAGTCACCCAACAAGCAGTTTTTATTCAACAATTTGTATGCATGTAATTTTCAACTAGGATTAAGTGATGTAGTTATACACATGACCATGAGAAAAGATAAGCTGGGAATTTCATTTTCTAAATTGCGAACATAATATTTATTCAAAATCAATGTTGTTATATGTAGACATTTTTTTATTATAAAAAATATGCATTTCATAAATTTCATAAAATATTCTTACTTTTGCTCTGACTGCTGCTGCTACAGAATTGTCACATACGATGATAAGTAACACAGGTTTGAGTAGATCGTAGATTTCTTCACTAGCAACCTCAGCTCCCAACTGAACACAAATTACAGTTGCCAACTCAGCGGCAGCCGTCTTTTCTGGACCACCACCTTTTTTCAAACTTCTCTCAATGCCATCACAGATTGTGAAATTCCTTAAAAAAATGAGATGCGCTGTAATGTCATAGGAATCATATACAGAGTGACCCATTTGAAAGCGGGCCATCCTCATAATTTTTTTATTTATGGAGCGATTCTCTCGTTTTTTTTTTAAATGTAAAAGAAGGAAAGGTATATTTTGAAGCTAAGCAGCGTCCACTTCTTAAAAAAAAAACAAGGTCTACTAGAGATCACATACAGAGGCTGAAAAATCCTGTATCCATAATAGCGATTTTTTGTAGAAAAAAATCGCGTACACCAATGGAATTGGCGTCCTCTGAAATATATTTGTAAAAAGTTTCATGAAAAAATATTCAACATTAACGATTCTACCCTAAATTTGGCCAGTATGAATAACCATCAATATGATCAGTTTTTCAGAGACGAACATCCTTTTGGACAGTGCCGTGCGTTTTTATTGAAATGAAAAGGGGTAAATTCTTTATGAAATCATATTAGGAATTGTTTTGCTGCAAGAAAACTAACTCTACATTATTATTGTTCCTCATCGAGAGGAAACAAGTACCCAAAATGTTTACACCATATTTAAATATCTGACAAATCGAAATGATCTTGAAATACTTAAAATTCCATGATGTACACCTATTTAAAGAGTTGATTCGTTCCTCATGCTTTCGAACCTCCATTTGCAAAAAATCACCCCATTCCAAATCAACAGGATTGGCTTCATTTTTTTATTTTCAGTCTCGGAAAAATAATGATATCAAATTAACTGCAAATTTTGGGACGTACAATAGCTCCGGTAGGTAGGAAATCGTAATTTGAAATAACAAATAGGAGATAATATTTTATGTTGGACTCACCGTTTCCGAGTAAATAATCATTACGTAATTTTTTTATGAAATCATATTAGGCATTTTTTACAGGAAAACTGACCTCATAATATTGTTCTACGTAGGTTTTTATATGGAGGGTTTTAAGAAAACAGGCACATCTGAGAAGCATTTTTGCGAACGAAATAATTATTTACTCGGAAATGGAGGGTTCAACATAAAATAGTATTTCTTGTTTATTCTTTGAAATCATGATTTCCTACCTATCGGAGCTATTGACCGTTCCAAAATTTGCAGTTAATTTGAATTCACTATTTTTCCGAGACTGAAAATAAAAAAAAAATGAAGCCAATCCTGTTAATTTGGAATGAGGTGATATTATTATGGAGATTCGAAAGCATGAGGAACAATAATATGAAGTTAGTTTTCATGCAAAACAATTCCTAATATGATTTCATAAAAATCGAACCCTTTTTATTTCAATCAAAAGTACGGCACTGTCCAAAATGATGTTCGTCTTTGAAAACCTGATCATATTGATGATTACTCATACTGGTCTAAATTTGGTACGAATCGCACGACTAATATAGCTGAGATAAAAGAAAGGCGCCATTTGAAATGAGACACGCTGTAGAATCGTTAATGTTGTATATTTTTCATGAAATTTGGTACAGATCTATTTCAGAGGACACCAATACCAGTGGCGCACGCAGATTTCTTCTAAAAAATCGCTAGTATGAATTCTGGATTTTTCAGCCTCTGAATGTGAACTAGTAGGCCTTGGGTTTTGAAAAAAATTGACGCCGCTCCGCTGCAAAAACACCATTCCTTCTTCTACATTTAAAAGAAAAATACGTGACAATCGCTTCATAAGTAAGAAATTTAGGAGGGTAACCCGCTTTCAAATGGGTCACTCTGTATATAATATGATTTCTAAGTGTAATGTTATGAGATTTCGATGAGAGTTATGAAGTTGGCTGTATTACCTATCTCGGATGAAACTCGGCATATATTTTTTGACAAATGCTTTGGTGAGTGACTGAAAGCAGTTCGTTCTGCCCTGTGAAGATTTTTGGGTGAGCCCATCGAGAAAATCGGACAATTTCTCTTCAAATTGTTCTTGGGCTAATATTTCAGTTTCTTCACATTCTTCTGTGCTTCTGTTTTCTGAGTAATTACTAACAACGCTCACATTGTCATTAGATTCATCATCAGAGGAGTTGATAGAACCGTCGTTACGGCCACGTTCTGTAATAATAATAATTTGGTAAAATCCTATGTACACAGGGTGATTTATTTAAATTTCAAACTCGCGATTGTCTTGACTATTTTTATGTGGAATGAAAAATCAAAAGATTGGACTGAGTCTAACATAAAAACTTCCAAGAAATACAATCATGTGATGAAAATTATTGATTAGTTACAGACGAAAAATCAATACAAAATATTACTATGCATTTTATCACTGCCTTTTGTAATAAAGCAGTGGCGCAACGATCCCCTGAATCCAAAATGTTAAATATACAATATGAAGGTAAAGTCTACAGTGAAATATCTTTCGACTTTCATTGACATAACTACTCTATCTAGACCGCTAATGCCATGAGAAAGAATGTATGCCACTTACGAGATCGCACTGTAGAAGATGAATCATGTGCATTTTCGGATCTGTCATATACAGCGTCATCCAGAAAGTTGGCATCATATGGAAAAAACTTGATAATAATTTATTTTAAAATTCGACTTGGGCTTTTAGTTTGGCTTCAAAATACAAAGTGGCCTACTATAGGTTACATTTTACAAATTAATCACTGAAAATAGGCTTATTTTTTCGAAATTCAAAAAAGATTACATAAAAACTTTGTATTTTAGTTTTTGATATTTTTTTATTTCTTCGAACTGTATTTAGTGTGTCGGTAACCGCTTCCTTTCACATCGTATATCGGCGAGTTTGAGTTTGAAATCGCCTTATTACCTAACATTCGACCACTATACCGTTTGGCGAAAAACACAATAATGTTGATTGGGGCCATATTGAATAGCACTAAAAGGATTTCATCATCGACATAAATTACTAACAACACGGCTTAATGCAATAAGATCAATGATCATTCATTTACGAGATCGAACTTGGTCCAATGGTCATATGTCATAATGTCTTACTCATTTTTACTTTATGTTTCTGAACAACAAGAGACATGACTTGATGTCATCAACGACAGTTTGGGAGTTCCTGCGCATTGAGCAGAATAGTTTTCAGGCGAGAAATTTGGATGACATGTTAGAATATTTAAACTCAAAAAACTGCTAGAAAAAATTTGTTGTGTTCAATTTCCAGGCAACGAAATTCTCTTTGAAATGGCAAGTATAAATACTGTCTATAGGTTAATCGAGGAGGTGATACAATTTTATTTTATCAGGAAGCCTAATAGAAAAATTCAATAGCTTGTCAGTGACACTTCTTTTGGAAAAAAGTTTGAAGAGAAGAAATAGAGATATATTGAAAAAATATCGAATTTTTACTTAGCTTTGGACGTTTCGGGAACAAATCAGCTCCCGTTCTCAACATAAAAATGCAAAATATTTTTCTTCGAAAATGCTGTTCTAGTTTGACACTTCTCAGTGTCATACTGATGTTGGCATATGGATGAGTGATGAATTTACAGGATTTTTTCATTAATTGACAATAGCATTGCTTCCTATCAAGTTGATATAGATAGAACATGGTATTCACTACTGAAAACTGAACATGAAAATGGTAGATTCAAGATCAATTGATGAAAACATCCTGTAACTCATTTGTATACTAACATCATCACTCATCCATATGCAACATCAGTATGAGACTGAGACGTGTCAAACTAGAACAAAATTTTCAAAGAAAAATATTTTGCATTTTTATGTTGAGAACGCGACCACATTCGTTCCCTAAACGTCCACAGCTAAGTAAAAAATCGATTATTTTTCAATATTTCTCCTCTTCAAACTTTTTTCCAAACAAAGTGTCACTGACAAGCTATTGAATTTTTCTTTTAGGCTTCCTGATAGAAAAATTTGTTAAACGTAGTGACATTTTGGGGCAAATCATCTGATTTGTCCTACTACACATATATTGAAATAATACTCGTTTTTAGTTTGTACAAACGAGTACAGAAAATCACAAATAATCGGGAAAATGGGAAGACATCTATACTTCGACAAAAAAAAACTCTCAAATACAAAATAGTGAATAAGTGAATACAATTTTTTGTCTGAAATTCCGTTGTCATTTCCAAAATGGTGTGCAGACGTCATTTTGAAGGATACAAGTTTTCTATTGAAATCAAAATGTAGCACTTGGACCACCACTGAAGCAAATAATTAAACGTACCCAGCCGTTCACTTGGTGTGTATTGTTCCTGTATAATTTTTCGTCTTAAAACAATATATTCGTAAAATATTTATTCATTGAATATAAATATCCTCGTAGATATCCCTTATTGTCACAGACACTGAGAATACTGAGAACACCATACCCCATACAAGAGTGAAAATTTAGGGTAGGAGGGTGACGTTTGTTGCGACAATTAATATAACAGAGCTGAATACGTGGTAAGAATGGGCTGCAGAAAAAATTCGAAGTCAAATGCATGAAACTGAAAAGTTAAAAATTCATATTACAAAAATATTAAGATAACTATTGAAAAAAGGTTTTGTGGAAAAACATTTTTTCTTATTTGGGTAACGATTTCAATTTGATCAATATTTTCGTTTTCAATATTCAAATTCTTTGTATGTTCGACTTCGATTTTTGTCGCCCGCGGCCATGGCCTCTCTTGCCCTGCCCTAATTACGGCCCTGATTATACGGATTATGGAGCAATAAACAAATATTTCTCGAGGATGACCTTAAGATCATGGTTAAAGAAGAAGGAAGTAGAAAAATAATAATCATTCTAGAAAACTATGAATGATAGGTAGGTAGGTACTAGGTAGGTGCATGTATGGCGAGGTGTATTATTTATTATTATTATTATTATTATTATTATTGTTATTTGAATTCATATAATTCCAGTCAACGACTCCGCGGCCTCCGACGCCACGCAGAGTCGTGCTGGATAAAATCCAGTGACTACTCTCTACAGCCTGTGGGGTGAATAATCACTGGGACCAAGAACCGTGTGTATTATTATTACTATTATTATTATCATTACTATTATTATTATCATTACTATTATTATTATCATTACTATTATTATTATTATCATCATCATCATCATTATTATTATTGAAAAGTGAGAATGTGCTGAGGTGTGAACCTATAAAAGCCCATTTATAAATGGAGTAGGTATATGCTACATATAAACAACAACAAAATAAAAATAGCTACCAGACAAACAATTGGATCAAAATGGATTTTTTTTTTTTTTTTTTTTTTTTTTTTTTTTTTATCGATTGGAGCGCACGAAAGGGAATCCCTATAATAGAAATTGAACATTTCAAAATGAAATAGACAGGTAAGTATAGTGCGATTTAAAGTGAAAAATATTTTACTCGGTAGTACGATTAAATTGTGAGGTGTATGGTGTATATTGTCATATTATGTGTATTCAAATATGGAGAACACGAGTGGTAAACCGCGGTCAAAATTGTGTACACCAAATTTCAATTTCACAAGGAATTCCAAGAAATTTCAAGGAATTCCAGTTGTTTGTACACCACAATTATACTGCACTTCACTCAAAGAATTCCAAGGAAATCCAAAGGATTCCAAGGAAATCCAAGGAATTCCAAGAAAATCCAAGGAATTCCAAAGATATCCAAGGAATTCCAAGGAAATCCAAGGAAATCCAAGGAAATCCAAGGAAATCCAGGGAATTCCAAGGAATTCCAGTTGTTTGTACACCAGAATTCCACCGCGGTTTACCCCTCGGGAGAACATCATTAGGAAATCGAGATGAATTTTGGTGTAATATTCAACTCGCATTCAAGAGATCATATAACATCAAATTTATCCCTTTATTTTATACCAGATTTTTTAGTAGTAGTGAAACATCCAGTAGTCAAAAATATCTCAATTATTATAATGGAAGCATGATAAAGGTAAGTACAATTAATTTGAAGAGCGAAGTATTCTAGTTGCTTCCGAATACTCCAATAGATGGCCTACGCTTATTTTCAATCGCGAATCACTATTCACTATTCTAATAGCATTGTCGTTCTAGATGACAACCTAGTTAGGTAGTTAGTAGGCAGGAGCTATTAATAGCCATTTAAAAAAAACAACAAACGAAGATGGCTTTGAAAAGTAAATTATTGACATATTAAACTTCATTGAAGTGTCAAGAGTCTATTTGGGCTTGAGTAGTCAATAAACTAGGTTTCATACTGTTAACAAGACTATCTTTTGCGAAATAGACTCGCGCACTGTTCTCGGAAGCCCCGGGCGTGTTTACGCGGAAACGAGTTTTCAGCAAATAACTTTTGATGTGATAGGAATTTCGACAGTGTTGTAGTTATAAAATGTGAGTTTTTCAATTAAGCATCCAATGACTTTACAATGTACAATTTGAAATAAGAAAACTACAGGGCTTCGAAATTTGAAAAGTTTGCCACTAAATGTTGCACACCCTGTGATGATTCGTGTCAATGGAACTCGGTTAACGACCCTCTCAGACTTATTTAATATATATCTTTAATGATTTTAATAACATGCATTATATTTTTTACTGATAGTGTAATAGTAATTTACGTAAAAAGTCCGGAAAATACTGTTTTTTGGACCAGTAGACAAAATTCTATGGAAATCTGCGAGTCCAAAAAAACTGTTTTTGGACGTGTTGCGTACACTACTTTTTTAGCAACCATGTAGAATAACAAATCAATGAGACACATTTCCATATTATTCTTCTTTGTAGAATACAATTTCTTCTTTAATAATTCTCATTTGTATGTCAAATACTAAAATTTGTAGAGAATACCTATACCTACTAACTGTTGCATTGGAAATTTCCTATGGACATTTTCAAACTCACTATTGCAGCTGCTTTCGATAGTTTATTGCGATAATTGCAACCAAACTTTCAAAAATCAAAATGTCAACTAATTTCATGTCAAATAGCTGTCAGCCGATATTTCGCTGCTATGATAATTATCATCTGCATTCATCAAAACCATATCTACCAAGATTTTCTTAGTTACAGTGACAACAACGATGTGATAGTTTCCGGCCTAGTCCGGGAAGTACGTACTTTCTCAAACTAAAAGCGTCCGGGAAGTGAGCACTTTCCGGACGGTTGCCGAAAAAAATGTTTTTTTTTTTTCAGGTAGGTATAGGTACCTATCAGGTATAAATTTCTCTTCATGAATACCACACTGAACCGATTTCAATATAATGGGGGAGACCACTGGTTTTTTGAAACGACATTATCGTGAACTCTATACTGAAAAACTACCAGTGAATTGATTTCAAATTTTTTCATTCATGCTAAGACGATGAAAAAAATGAATTATAATATGTCCATTTCAAAACGCATAATCCCTGCGCCATTTGAAGTTTTGTCAATTCATTGGTGAGACTGGTGCGACGTCTTAGTCCCAACACGCCTATTGTCCTTGAACTCACCAATCACACTGCAACACTGCAGAATGACGAGGTATCAGAGAGAGATAGCTACAGTGCGGGACTAATACGTCACGGCTCCACCATCATATTTGGCTTTTCGAATGAAACGAATGAAATATGCTGATTTCAGAACGATATAGATGCGATTCCCTTCAACTTCAACTCATAATATTGATTATAGATCAAACGTAAATCATGATTCGTCGATTGAAAGAGGTTTGCACAGATTTCTTCCCTCAGTAGTCTTCCCCATTCCAGGAGTATGTAGGGAACGAGGTAGGTAACCACAAGAAGTACCTACTCAAATGTGCAACAAAAGATATAGCATGCCATAAGTCACAATAATTTTTTGCCACATCCTGTATAATCGAAAATATTTTCTTGCTATGCGCCCTATGATACAGATGAAGTAAGCAAAATAACATAATTTCAACTCAACAACAACAAGTTATAGAAGACGGGAGGTGAGATGCAGGACCCTGTATAGTAAAGAGTTCAATTTTAACTTGAACCTGATGATATTGGTATTATTCTGGAATCTGGATAGATTAAATCATTGTCTGCTAAATATGGAGAAAAAATCTAGGATACTCCAGCTCACTAGATTTTTTCTCCATATTTAGCAGAAAATGGATTAAATAATACCAATCCTCCCCTATCCTCCCTAGGAACGCACGATGTTCTTTGAACATTGTAGGGATTCCCTTTCGTGCGCTCCAAGCGATAAAAAAAAAAAAAATCAGAGATAAGTTACCCACGTGGGTAACTTATCTCTGATACCAATATAGAAGGTAAGTAATAAGGAGCCAAAATAATGCATACCTACATGTAACAGGGTGTTCTAGATTTTTGTACATTAATTCAGAGAGGTGATACATACTCGCAAAATGAACGAACTTCTCTCGAGACTTCTCTCAATGAACGTCCAAAAATGTAGGACGTTTCATATCATAGTATATCAAAACTGATTCTTTCCAATTCGGCATATTTTTTGGTAATACAATGGTAGGAAAGTCACTCTAGTACTTCCTACATTCAATTCAGATGTTTCATCAAAATTTGTTCAATTTCACATATGTATTTTTTTATGTAGAAATTCCAAGCAATTCCAGTGAATTCCGATTTATGGGAATTCCAAGGAATTCCGGGGTATCCTGATATACTTAATTATGGGAATTCCAGTTTGAACATTTCTCCTCAGTGGTCAACCCCTCACAGCAGGCCAATCGCCAATCAAAATGTGCATCTGCATGGTGAGACATGGAAATGGTTTCAGAATGTTTTAGCTACTTACCTATCCTATAATTCTATAATTCTGTTTTTAACACTTTTTGAATGGTATTTATTGTAGGTTAGTGTACTGACTTGATATGAAGCATTGTTCCATGGCTGAAGGTATTGAGTTCGATTACAGCTATCTACAACTTTGTTCCAGTGATAATTTGGAAACAAAGTTGATTTAACCATAATGCCAGCCATTATGTTAACCTTGAATTTATCATCAGATTATCAAATCATTTATATCTCATGGCAATCTGGTATAATCTAAACATGAATAAAAATCTAATATTGGGCAGTGAGATTTGGGCAGCTTGATATGCTTGATACCTACCAACCATACCAGCTTATTATCATTCTATAGGAGGGTGGAGGGTAGGTACAAGTCACTCTAGGAACAAGATCATGTCTGTGTAGGTATAGGCATGATGGTATAGGTATGTATGGGGCCACATAAAGGTAAGAAAATTGAATAGAGCATCAAAATTCAAAACAGGTGATTCAGAGGGTGATTCCTTTTCAACTAATAATCAACATTTCTCATTTTGTGCAAAATGAAATCGAGAAAATTATTGTTACATAATAATATACATCTTGAATACATTCAGTACCAATCTCAATTCAAAAAATATTTCCAATCCTAATACCAGAGAAATACTCATATGCATTGGCAAATATTTGGCAAGAATTGGTGTCTATACTAGAGGTATTTTGATGATTCATCGATAATTGAAATCATTATAATTATGATTATAGGAGAAGGCCAACAAATATTTGTGGGGTAGGTAGCGAGGGAGGTAATTCACAAAGGAATTAGGAAAGGATTTCTCAGATCGTCACAGTTCCCATATGCCAAAATATAATATATATCATTCTTCTGAGGAATGGTGATTTACGCAAACATCTGTCTAACAACTTTACATAAGGCCCAATTTCGTAAATTACAATATCTACATCTACGACTTACCAAACCTTCCCTTTCGCTTTCCTTTCGGCATGGTCACAAAATTAAACAAACTTCTCCTTAAATTTACTATAAAAAACAACTAATTTAGCACTTGATCAAGACGGTAGACCGTTTCTCAAAGTATTTTGAACACTTATACTCGTCACTTGACATTTAATTTGATATAAAAACTTGGAGAAACTAAATAACATGTTTCCAGTTGAACAGCAGTTGATCAACTTGCTCTGACCGCGAAAATTTTCCTTTTATACTCGTTTCAGGTATTTGGTATTTAGAAGTGCATACGTTTGCGCAGCATGGTGCAATATTATAAAAATAATCAATAACTTGAACTCCAGATTCTAGAAGATGAATGAAATATGATATTGTACGAATATTATTTTCGATGATCAATCATTTATTCTAAGAAATCTATGATTATAAAGTCGCATTTTATTTAGCAAAATAATTGTTTTCAATCCTATTATTTCATCTGAATGCAACAGAAAAAGACTACCCAGCCAACACATCTGTGACATGACATCTATCAGATGTCGCGTATAGGTAACAGTGCGATATCACAAACTTTCCATCGCAGCATAAATGAGCATAAGCAAAACACATCTGCGAGATGACATCTCTGAGATGTCGCGATGAGGAAACACTGCAATATTACGAATGTTCCATCGCTGCGATGTATAGAAGCAAACATACCTGCGATATATAACATCTCTCTGAGATGTCGCAATGAGGCAACACTGCAAAATCACGTATGTTCCATCGCTGCGATGTACAGAAGCAGACACATCTGAGACATGACATATCTGTGATATCGCGGATATGAGGGAACACAAACACAATCATTGCGACATAACATCTCTATAAGATGTCATGATGACGCAACACTCTGCGACATCACGTATGTTGCATATAGTTACGATGTACACATGAGGACTTCGTATTCCCAGACTTATCGCAAATTTGATATTTTAATTCTTGTTGGGTGAAAAAGAACACAAGAATATACGTTACTTAACAAAGTGAAGCTAAATTCACAAACATTCGTTACATTGCTATCAAACTATTCCTGGTATGCTTACATCTCGCCGACACACACTACATATTTTTTTATACAAATATCGAGTAACTGATCTCATCATTCTCATCCTCATGGAAGGATATAGTGCCGCTGAAAAGATGATTGAATGGACAGGAGACTTGAGGGACCACCAACCAGTCACAACAATGCATAATTAATATTATTAGATGTCATATCAGATGTCAGTGGTGTATTATCACAATTTGTGTGAGGGAACTCTTTTATGTCATTCCCCGTCACATCTCAGTTTTATCGCAAAAACACATCGCTATTTCAACACAAATAACATATCGCAATAACATTGCAAAAAATATTTCGCTGTTATATCACAGATAACTTATCGCAGCGTCGTCGATAAAACTCGAGTGGGATAAAATAGCATCCCTCTAACATCGCAGCGACGTCTATGCGACATTGAATGCGATATCGCAGATCACAATTGTTACATCACTGCGATATCTCTGTGATGTAACTGTGTTTGCTGAGATCCGCTCACTAGTGCTCGTGTCTCGTGTGTGCTTATGTGATGCTTATTAAATAGAATCATTATTTTTCTGTATCTGCTGTCTCTTGCCTCATTCCACTAAATTCATAGGGTTAAATATTTATTATAAATTAAATTTATATTCGAATTATCTACACACCCGGCAAACGTAAATTTAGTCATATCGTGATTTGGTCATGAAAGGTCGAAAGCACGTCAAAAGTCTGTAACGTAAGCAGCACTGGTAAAGTGGTAGGGTAATGACGGCTGAATATCTAGACTGTTCAGACAGTCTAGTTATTTAGCCGTCATTGGGTAAGGTAGCTAACCACAGGGTAGCATCATTGTAGCAAGAGGTCGAATTTCGGTCATCGAAAGGAAAGAGAGAAGAACAAGAACTGTCAGGAAGAAGTGTTTTTTATGGGTTATGTTATGGTAAATATTTATTATGATAACATTGACAATGTGTTGTGGTTTTTCTTCTTGTTGGAAATATAAATATCTATAATTCTCATTCAATTCAAAAATGGATGAATTGGTAAATAAAAAACATGAATCTTTCACTTTCGAAAAATTCACGCCTGACATACACTTATCTTTCAATGATAATCATATCTGCAATGTTCCTCCTATCAGTAGTTTTGAATAATATTTTATTAAATAATGGTAAGGGCCGCAAGATGACATTGTTTGAAGAAAAAACTCACAGTATCTATTTTTTAGAACAATGTAATTGCCCATCTGATAGAATCAAGTATGAAATTATACCAAAATCTAGAAAGAGGTTGCTTACCTATAAGCATCGCCTTGCTGTATTAGTTCCATATAGGGAACGGTTCGAGGAACTTCTTGAATTTGCACCTTTTATGTGTAAATTTCTCAACAACCAAAAAATCAACTATGACATATACATTTTGAACCAAGTAGACCACTATAGGTTCAACAGAGCATCTCTTATCAATGTTGGATTTTTACAAATACAAGCTGATTATGACTATATTGCAATGCATGATGTGGACTTGCTACCTTTGAATTCTAACTTAACATATCATTATCCAGAACAACCTCATCACTTAGCTGCTCCAAATTTACACCCTAGATATAATTATGAAAAGTTCATAGGAGGGATTCTACTCATCAACAGATATCATTTTCAAATGGTTAATGGTTTGTCAAACAGATATTGGGGATGGGGTTTAGAAGATGATGAATTCTATGTGCGGCTCAAGGATGCCCACTTGAACATTAGTAGACCCCAGAATATCAACACAGGAAGACATGACACATTCAGGTAAATATAAAAAAAATAGTTCCATTCTGTGGGTATTAATAACTTTCCTACATACCTATATTAACATTATGCTACCTGAAATTTGCCACCCAGATAACTCCATACACAATCCATCCAATAATACATTCCTTGAAACAACTTAAATTAAGCCTGTATTGAAAATTTCCAAAGAAAAAAAAATTCCTAGTGAAAACACTTTATGAGTATATTCTAAAAATCATCTACACTGATTCAAAGCAAGCACACAATTCCTGAATCTTTATATACAGGGTGTCCGCTAAAAGGAGGTCAATCCATTAACCATATATTCCTTGAACAAAAACAATATGGGTTTCTAAACACCATTTTTCAGTGTAGCCCTTCATATTCGATATACAGGGTGTCACAGTTGGAAATTAAAAACTGTATTTTTTCAATTACTTGCGTATTCAATAAGATATTAATCCCAAAATTGGTACATTACTTCAGCACCAAGAGGTACATCGTGCGAGGAAAACAAAACAGAAAATAACTGTCAAATATTCAAAATACAGGGGGTCAAGTACACACTTACCCCCATACCATAACCCATATTTTTTTGTACAAAGGGTCTTTTGTTGATCTGAGGTTCACATTCTCCTATTTATTTCGTCGAAATTGGAAGAGGGCGTAACTTCTTACGTACGAAAATGTAAATATGGAAATACCCAGTGCTCAAAGCCCATGTATTAAAATAATTTTTACAAAAAAAATTGATAGAAATTCAACACGTCTAAAAAAAAAGGTTGCTTGATATGACCTACAATTTTTTTAATACACAGGCCCTTTTGATCAATTTAATTAAATAATTTCGGGAAAATAATGATTTTAGGAGGATGGGGGGGGGGGTCGATTGACGAGCCCACCCCTTTAAATAATTATTCAATTGATTTTTTTCGAGAACATCCAATTTAAAAAAAAAATTTAAATCGGTTTGAGCGGTTTTGGGGGTTGCGGATTTTTAAAAATATTTTCGAGCCCTCCCCCGTATGGTATGTCGTGCGCGAACAAACGGGAAATAAAATCGGAAAAAATTTAAAAAAATATTTTCGGAAATTTTGAAAAAGAAAAGTGGGGTATATCATGTCACCCGGTATATTGCGAAATTGGGGCCATCAATGAAATGGATGATAGGAGACGTAAAAACAAAACCAAATTAAAGAATACAGATTTTGTCAAAACATCAGATATTTTGGAAGATAATGAGTTGCAAGTAGTAGTAGTAGTAGTAGGTGGGCAGGCTGTAGCCAAGCAAGTAGGCCCCGATGGGCCCTTTTTGCTAACCCCTGCTCTCCACATATCTATGCTTCCTTCACCTAGATTTCCTTTACGAATCTCCCTGACCTTCTGATGAAAGCCAGTATGTCCGTCCACTCTAATATAATCAAGTCCTCCTGTTGAAGTTTGTCTACTCCAAATATTTCAAATCTCAGCCTTCCGTACGCCTCGCACTCGCCGAGGAAATGGAGTGACGTTTCCTCGTCTTCCCCGCATCTGCGGCAAGTGGGGTTGTCCTCTATTCCCATAAGTGATAGGTGTCTGCCTAGCCTGTCCTGTAAGTATTTCAGTCAGACGGTATCCGTCTGTGTAACATATTAAGCTTCCTGGGCGAAACTCTACTGTATTGTTTCTCCATTCCTCTCTGCTTGGAATGGAATTTGAACTTCCTATTCCATCTTGGCTTGTCCTGTACTATATTCACTCTGAGAGTGGAGATAAGAATCTCTTGCTCCACCCACTCTGCTATTTTTGCATGTCCTGTTATTGTTCCTTCACTTGCCCAGTTTCCTGAGTCCCGCATCCTTAGGTGAGTCGCCATCGCTTCCTTCTTCATCCAGATTTGAAGCAGTGGTAGCCCCAGCATTACTTCTAATGCTGCCGTTGGCGTCGTCCTCATTGCACCTGTTATTGCTAGGCATGCCATCCTCTGGACCTTACTTAGGTTCCGACCTATCGTAATGGTTTCTGCGCCAGGCCACCACACTGCCGACCCATAATGGATCTTTGGTCTTACAACTGCTGTGTACAGCCAGCGCATAATCTCGGGGTTGATGCCCCAAGTTTTTCCTATAACTCTCCTCAGTTGCTATAAGATATCCACCGACTTTTGCACTACCCTATCCGCATGCGGTCTCCATGAAAGTCTGGAGTCCAGAACCACCCCTGACCTGCTGGACTAATGCCAACTCTTGGCCAAACATGGAGAGTGGCTTGAACCCAATCCCTTTTCCTTCGTTTGGTGAATAGGATCATCTCCGTTTTCGTCGGATTTACTGAGAGTTCTGATTCATCGCACTACCTCTCAATTATCCTGCAGGCCATTTGCATGCGGTCACAGACGATTCTTAAGAATCGTCCGCTGACAAGGATCAGTCTATCATTCGCGTATGCTTGTGCCTCGAAACCTTCATGTAAGCCTGCCCAGGAGTTCGTCCATGACTCAACACCATAGGTGGGGGGAGAGACAGCTTCCCTGAGGACAGCCCCCCTCCACTACGACGCCCATCCTTTGGTCTCCCTGTCCTGCCTCCACCCTTCTGCTGGTCAGCGACGATACCACCCAGCTGACCAATGAAGGGGGAGTTCTCCTGGTTTCTAATGCCGAACGTATCGTCGCTATCCTCGCCTTGTTGAACGCTCCCTCTACGTCGAAGAACACTCCTAACGTCACCTCCTTGAATTCTAATGTCTTTTCGACCCTTCGCACTATAATGAGTTGCAAAGTTTGCCAGAAACCAATAGGACTTTCAATAATTGTTGAATCGACTAACTCTTGTATTTCTAATGAAAATTGGCTTTATAACTTTTGACTTTTATTAACGTCAGTCATCGAACAAACTAAACTCAAATATATCAATAAATACAGGGTCATCATTATTTCACGGCAACGCCTCTACATTTCTTCCCCCCGTGAAGAAACCTCTTCACTTTTTTTGCTGTCTTCTCCATAATCTCTACTGCTCTGGTTTCTGCTTTATTCATTCTAGTCTGATTTACCGAAACTCCCAAGGCATCTGTGGTGAAGTAGGCTTTCACCATTTCATGTAGCATCTTGTCTGACGTTTCTTGATTACATACATGAAAACTGAAAGAATTTGTCTGCAAATCATCGTTATATTTCCCATGCAGTGACCATCCAAGGCACGATTTCGTGGCTATGGGGAGATTCTCGGGACCTTGCGAAATTTTTCTTGCAATTGATAAACGAATATTATCTTGGCCGATTAATATCATTGGACGTTCGAAAATGTCTGTGATTGGAATGTCTTTCAGATGATGATATTTTTTCCAATGACTGCCGAAAACTTTCTGATATGGAAGAGACAAATCTTCAACAGATCTTACATTCTTCATCGTAAAATGTTTGGCGACTTTGGATATACCAGATATCTCCATGTTCAGTAGAATGGAACTTTCATGTTTCGAAACTATATTATTCGTCCATTGTAGACAAAGTGGTTGTATTTTTCCATTTAAACTTAGTCTTTCGATGATTGATTTGTCAACGAGTGTCACCGTCGATCCTTCATCGAATAATGCAGTAGTTTCCAAAAAGGTTTCATTATTTCCATATAGTCTCACTCTAATCATTCTGAGGAGAATATTGTTATCTACGGGGTGAGTCAAAGTCAAAACACTTTCATTGGATAGATTTGTTGTACCAGGAGTATCTGATGGCATTAAATTGCTTGTGTTTCCTTGTGATTCTTTATGCAGAAGCTTATTGTGAGGTTTTGTGCATCCATTTATTCCACAGGCCTTCTTTGATCTACATTTCATCGTTTGATGATTAGCTCTGAGACATGAGAAGCACAATTTTTTTGTCGTCACTGTAGACCATCTAGTTTCTACATCGTCGTCTTTGAATCGGGTACAGTTCTCCAGGGAATGTCCTTTTTGGGAGCAGTATGTACAAAACATGTTGAAGTTTGAAGTTGAAATTGATGTCGTACATGTTCTTTCAAATCTCTTTCTCCCAGTGTGGAAATCTTGTGTAATCTTCTCCAAATTTCTCGGATTGCTTACGAATGAAGCTGCTGATGCAATATTGAACAGCCAATCAGCAAAATCTCCCAAATTATTTTTCTTGTCGCTCTGCATGACTAATTCTCCCCAACGAAGCTTCAGTGAGTCTGGTAGTTTCTGGACCTCTGATAAGTTGAGGATTCTGCAGGTGATATTCACAGTCGACGGATTTGATGGTAGCAACAAGACTTCAAACCTGACCTGATAATTGAATGAGATTTTCCATGTCATGGTCTCTCACAATCGGATATCTTCTAATTCTCTGAAGGACAGAGTCTATGATCTGGTCTGGTCTTCCAAATCTCATCTTCAGAGTTTTAATAACCAGTTCTAAATTTTCAGGTGTCATTAACATACCTGCTACGGCGAATTTCGCTTCACCTTTTAGACATTTCTGAAGTTTTATTAACTTCTCTTCAGGAGAGTAATCACACAAAGATGAAATTCTGTTGAACTGATGGAAGAAAGTCGGCCAATCTTCGGTTTTCCCGTCAAAAATTGGAAAGTCCCTTTCGATTATCTGACGAGCACCTATTTTTTCAGTTTTTGATGTAGTAGATTTCAAAACATTAACCATTGTTTCACAAAGAACTTTTATGTCTGATTTATCTTCTGAAGCTCTATTTTCTGGAATACTGTTTATCCAATCAGCTACATATCTTTCATCCGGGTTCTCATACTTATGAGATGTATTCATTTCATTATCTTTTCCATGAATTTGATCGGAGAAATGTTGAATATTCACAACTTCCCTTTCTGGAAAACTGGAACGTATTGCTGACTGTCTTCGAGGAATACTTTTTTCATCATGGTTCATTTCATGAAGTAAACTTCCAGACATCTGGGATTGTAGTTCGTCTACTTCGGCTTCCTTAATATGTTGTTCCATATCAATGAGTTTCATTTTATTTATCAGAATTTCGTTGGCAATTGCTTGTCTCTGCTTTTCTGCTTCAAGTGCAATCCTTTTCTTCTGAAGTTCGACACTGGTATTAGAATGCATTGAAGACTTTTTGGAGTTGGATTGTTTTGATAGTAGAGAATGAGCAATAGATTGATTGTCTTCATTTTCCTGTTTTTCTCGTGAATTATCAATTGTTGTCATTTTTGATTGTCTGTCTGACATCATTCCAAAACCAGCTGGCCAAAGGTAATCACTGTGGAGATTTTTATGAATACCTGCTGTCTGCCTTTTGTTATCACCTGGTTTTAGATTTTGATGAATATTTGAACTTTCTGGAATATTTTCGTCCCGTTTTTTCTCTCCTTCCATAGGACTTCTTCAGAGGATCGAATGGACCAATGTTGAATCGACTAACTCTTGTATTTCTAATGAAAATTGGCTTTATAACTTTTGACTTTTATTAACGTCAGTCATCGAACAAACTAAACTCAAATATATCAATAAATACAGGGTCATCATTATTTCACGGCAACGCCTCTACAATAATACTTGAGAGATGTAGTATGGTGGGAGCGCACATTTTTTGTAAAATTTTTACATATAATTCCCCTAGGGAATGAACTATAGCTAGAAATTTGTTGAGTACATGAATTTTCTTTAAAAATTCATGTAAAAAATTTCCCGCAATTAATTCATGCACGTGGGGGATTCGGTAAGAAACTGGAATTATATTTAAAAGAAAACTTCTAGTAAAATACAATTTTTAGTATCAGATACGTTATTTTATGAAAACAATTGATTTCATATGCTTTTCTTGCTAGGTTTCCGGAAAATAAAAATATTGTCAACATTACTTCAGTTTTGTTTAATTATATGATAGCTTTCATATGCCAGAAAACTTCCACTTAATTTTACGACTACATGCTCATGTGGATGAAAAATTTTCAAAAAATTTGCTGGTTACCATAGTAACAATGTGGAAATCAAGCATCTGATCAGAAGAAAGAGCTCTACCCTATAGGAAAATAAAATACAGGTTGTTCCATTTGAAGAATACTAGTTTAGGTAGAATTTTTAGGTTTATGATTATTTTTTGCATTTTCTAGTACTGAATTCTGAATGCTCATAAAAATACTTGATATTTGCCCATTTAAACGTTTTTGTCTTAAAACCAACATTAACTGAGATAGCTATTGAGTAAAATATAAACAATCACCCTGTACACAGTAAAATACCATAAAATATTCCAATTGCCTCGCGAGTGTGACGGAGAATACAATTGATTTCACTCGCTCAGTCACACTCATAGGGCAATAATAGTTTTTCACCCATATTTTCGTCATAGTAGTAAGTATACCTATCTTAATAAAACTAGCATTCTTAAATTCCTTATTCTTAAATCCCTAACCAAATTTGTAATAATATAGGAACAAGTTATTTCTTCAAAAATACCTGTATACTTTTGGTACAATAAGAAAATGTACTTTCAAAAATGAAAATTGAGCTGTCTAATGAATTTGTTGAAATATTTTTGCTTCGAGAGATAATGATTTCATACTGTATGATTGTGTTAGTTTCCTTCATTTTTTCCGAATCCAAATTAGTAGAGGTAACAAAAACTCAACAAAAGATTTTTAAAAATTTTCAATTTCCTTAGGCACATTCATGGCAGGGAAAGAAAAAGAGATACAGTTAAATGTGATAATCAGAGAGAAATAACAAGAAAAAGAGATCGACAGACAGGCCTTCATGATGTGAAATATACAGTTAACAGCTCTAAGGAACTGGAGATTGATGGGGCATTAGTAACAGTCATCAATATACATTTACACTGTAACCATACTGCCACGCCATGGTGCGACTGTTCAAATAAAAAACCAGAAACAGAAAAGACGAAGAAAATCAAAGGAAAGTGAATATGAGCCTTGGGCCTTGATTCTCAAGTGTCCACTGATCAAGCTATGAATAGTAGGCTATTTTGAATACAGGGTGATTTACCCAAGGTTGCGAAGAATTATTCAGTGGGTTGTCCCCATGAAAAATTAAAGGAATAATATTGATAAATAAAACTGGAAATGTCAATCCACGCATTGCAGGAAATGTTATACCATAATAATATGTTCATATCACAATTTTTCTGTGAAGTAAATCCTATTTTTTGAGATTACAGCAGGATCTGTGGTCGCCAGAATATGTAGGTAGTAGTTTAGTTTAATTTTTCGTTAGGGTCTCTGGAGGTTTAAGCATGAATAATGATCACAAATTAGTCGGAATGTTCTCAAATTTCATAAGCTCTTTCTCAAATTTGAGACTAACAAACACACTGATATTTTTATTTCGCAATCTAGGGTAAGTTCCTGTATATTATAATACACGGTGTTTCAAATGGTGATCGGGAAGATTTAATAGGCGACAGGAAGTGCAAAAATATTAAATTATCTTGTATGTTTTGGATCTTTGTATTCGAAGTTTATTTTTGAAAATACTTTTTTATGCACAGTGCAAAAACCATTTAGCTAATTTTCTTCTACCCAGCTGGTTACCTTGATTGATATTTACGGTAAAAATCATTGTGCTTTACTGATTTTTCCAACTGTGATATTTTTATTCCATTAAACAAATAACAACTTTCTTGTTATATGAGTATATTTGTATCTTGTTCAGTTCTCTACATGGATAGATACTTTTTAATTTTTATGTAGTTGATGTAGGTGCATTCAAGACATCCGTTAAGATTACTTGATAACCATAATAAGTATATTTTTGAGATTTTGAGAGTTTTTCAGTCACCAGTAACACTGAACCTTATCATTATAAAAGCTCATACAGGGCAACTAAAATTGTTCTAAAATTGTTCTATCCGTCATTCGGTTGCCCCCTTACGAGCAACCCTCTTGTGTGAGCAAGGAATGACGGGGGCCTTACCTTTTAACGTGTGATCCCAAACACTAAACTGAAAAAAACAATTGATATTTCTAACATCAACACCTGAAAACGAAGCTCCAGAACATTCAAGCTTATATGAACTTTTTTATTTTTGTGGGTTCTATCGCCAAAAAATGGAATTATGACTTGTATTTGATAGAATTCTGATATTCCTAACTTGAAATATCTAATCATTATTTGTAATATTGTTCAGTATCTATGTCAGAATTTTGACTTCTGAAATACCCCTATCAACATTTCAGAATGCAAATTACTTTGGAGTAAAAATATTAACATATTGAAACATGATATAGTATAAAAACATATTAGCCAAAAATAGTTTTATTTCTGACAGTGACATTATTAGCTTATATCGTCATAGTTACGATATCTATTATGAGGGTCATAACTCCCTTGGGATGTTATAGATGTTATAATTCCCTCTAACTAAAATTAAATAAGAAATGCATAGCAACAACCACGCAGTAACGTAGCAATAAGGAATCTCCTATTCGCGGTAGTCAAGATCATCATCTGACGTTCTGATGACATTGAAACTAAACGGAAAAACATGTCTAACTTCCAATCGGGAAGGTATCTAATGAATGAAATCAGTCAGAAATAAAATTATCTATGTATCACGGGAATTACTGAGCCTCAATAACCTCAGGCAATTGCTGTCCCTCGGGCCAGAGGCCCTCGGGACGCAAACTTTGCCATCGGTAGTTAAGGCCCTCATAATTCCCTTAATACATAAATAACTATTATACATACATATTAGGATCAATGATAATGCTTCCATTCAGCTTAACAGGACTGTTCCTAATCAATAAAATTTGTAAAAACAGTTCATCTTACCAATATTTAGTACCTAATCATCTTCCATGTGGGTATCACAATATCAATAAACCCAACGAATGTGGTTTGTTTATGAACCCAACTAATCAATGTGTGACATAAGTCATAAGGAAACGTCATTGAGTATTTATGAAATAACTCTCAAAAGTGGCTCACCCCTATAACTTTTTGTTTCTATAAATAAACAAATGGAATTCGGTCAAATATGCATTATTTGACGTATTCAATTTTTTTCTGTCACTTCCGGTTTGACCGGAAATGACCCATATTTTAAAATTTTGGAAGGGTCACCTAGTACATTTTTCCTTATTTCGATAGAGAATAACATTGTAGGGACAATAGCACCCCATTTGCCACTTTTTGACATTTTTCATCATGAAATTTTCATTTTTCAATTTTCAATCTAGAGTGATTATGATACTGGATATTGATTCAAAATATCGATTATGAGAGCACCTAACAAAATACCCTTTTCAGATATGGTGATGAGCCACGACCCTTGTTCTATTTGAAAAAAATTAGTTAATAATAATAATAATAATAATAATAATTACAATATTGTAAATTTTTAATGAACCTGTGAAACAAATAAAAAGTAAAACTTCATCTGAAACTATTTTTTTTAGGCAACATGATCCAAAATCAACTGTTTTAACTCATTCCTGGCACTATAGATTTAAAATAAAAAATTTCAGAATGATAAATGTCAAAAAGTGGCAAATGGGGTTTCAATATGCTCACAATGTCATACTTGATAGAAATAAGTAAAAATAAGTCGTAGAAACCATCCATCCTTCTCAGTGGTCCAAAAATTTTTCTAAGAAAAAAACAGTATAACACAAAATCGGTCCACCACAAAAAGTATATTAAAAAATCAAGTTTGTGACTAGTTTCGGCTCAACAGCCATCTTCAGACACATTAAATACCTAAGAAGACATGTGGATATAACTTTAACTAAAAGCTAGGTCAAAAACCGGAAAATCAGGCAGGTAATTAATGACTTTGTGTTACACTGTTTTTTCCTCAAGTACAAATATACTGGGTGCCCCATTTAAAATAAGAAAATATGGGTCATTCAAACCGGAAGCCACTGTTGAGAAACACCAGGTATATCAAGAGATCAATATTCGCGGTAGTCAAGGTCATCATCTGACGTTGCGATGACATGAAAACTACGGGAAAACATGTCTAACTTTCAATCTAAGCCAGAAGCTAGTAATGTTTTTCCGTACTTTTCATGTCATTGCAACGTCAGATGATGACCTTGGATACCCCGAATATATGTTTATAAACGTTTATGAACCGCAGCGTGTAGGTTATTCGCGATAGAAAATAAGCTTACGCTACCTATCGTTTTGAATGCTCTCAAAGCGGTCTGTTTACTTTGTTTTCATTGGTTCACATTTATTTTATATTTGTGGTTATTGCTATTGGTCAATCCTTCAGAACGTGTTCAGAACAAACCGCTCAAAAGTGTTCAAGTTGTTGCCGTCAGGTGGGGCGACGTGTTATTTTCTATCGCGAATAGACTGAACGGAGTCTATTCTGTGGTATATTATCAATATGACTTTAAACGATGCACAACCGTTTGATACATTAATTAAAAACTATATGGCATTGATGATTTTAACGGACAAATATCAAATGGTCCACTAGAAATTACTAAAAAAAATAATGATGTCAGTGATATTACTATTATTACACCTATTTCAACTTCCGCCGGACTATTTTAACGCCCGCTATAACCCTGTAACACCTTATTGCACTAAGGTGCTAAAGCAATATTTTTGAACGATCAAACGAACTCGTGATGGTATAAAGCGCCTCGCCCGAATAGATCACTATGTAGTACCGCTTTTTTGTCGCCAGGTGGAGTCACAAATTTCAAAAAGAAATACTCAATATCACTCCGTTCCGTGGTTATGCTTATCTGTATAAAGAAATATTGCAAGGAGATAGAACATTTTCACTGCATCGAAAGTAAGCATTTGCTCCCGCATTTAAGGACACAAACCTGTCAATTTACTCCCACGGGAGTAAACAGAATTTTACCTCCCGTGGGAGGTAAAATAAATCGGCTTCAGCTTGCTTCCTTGGTAGAGATATAAGTATAAGATCTGTGCTACCCAAGTAACTAATCAGTGTCTCCTTCACTACTATAAAACAAATAAGAATTTCCTTTCCAAACTCCAATACACTTCCCCATTTTCCAAACTCACTCAATCGAACGTCAAAACTTTGAATAAAATGCAATATTACAATGTGATTACAATAAACAAACTCAATATGACAGAGATGTCGCATTGATTTTCGTTCAGATTCAAATATACTGTCAATAATTGTCCATAGCATACTCTGTGGGCGCATACTACTTTTGTAACCAAAATTGAGTTTTACCACTAATTCAAATCCTCGGGCTGAAAGACTTCGGTCAATGGCCTTTTGGGGTATATCCCTAATAAAGATGTTCTCTCTTTCTCAAATCCTCTTTGATTGAATCTGTTCATCTGTTCATCATGCAGTTATAATTCTGATCAGCTTTTATAAGGGCTAAATACTTTGCTCTCTCAAGAGATTTTGTGTAGACCCTACCATATCTTACAGCAGAACAAGCTGATACAAGTAACCCTATGAATTGAGCAAATTATCTGATTTTTAAATGATTCTTGGATTGCATGTTCAGAATTGAGTTATAAATTTTCATTTTTCTTGTGTTAGTTCTATTGCCATTTCTACCGAATTGAATACAAAACCCAGATTTTTTGGGCTGATTTTAACTGACTTTTGTCTTTATTGATAATAAAACCTAAGTTGTTTTAGATAGTAAGTGTAAAAAGGACTGCTTCTTCACATTTATTTTGTGATTCTGAAGTTATCCAGAAGTCATCCAAGTAAGACACACGAAATATCTTGTTATCTGAGTTTAGCTAAAACTGGTCTCATTACTTTGGTAAAAACATATGGTGATGAGGAAAACATCATCGAACTTTTTTTTATACTTTCTGTTGGCATATAGTCAAACATTTTTGGTTGTTTATCAAATGGAATTTTATAACCTTTTATAAAATTTAGGATCAGGTGGTTTTACCACTGTGTTGGTGGTATTTGGCTTCCTGAAGTCCCTGCTAGACTTTTCAACTGCCCTAGCTGCTTTGACTTTTTTGCTCAAGACAGAATCAAATAAATATTCACCTACAGGTGATGCACTATAGAAAGTGTTTTTATATTTTTATTCAAGGATTTT